TCAGGAAGTTTCTGATATTTGATGTTTTATTATGTTTTTATATGCATTGGAAACCACCTAGAGCGGCCTGAGCAACCCAGAGAGATGGGTGGGGTATAAATAATAAAATTGTTGTTGTTGTTGTTGTTGTTATTGACATTTGCACCAGGACAGTAGGCAGGTGACCAGCTCACACAACTATGGTGAGCTTCATTGTATTTAAATTGGAAGAATTATTTCTAAGTTTGCCCATATATAAATAAATTAGCATGTGGAAATTGTGTGCAGCCCTGTGCTCTCCCTTGGTGACGCATTTCCTCTTTTGTGGCAGTGCGGAAGTGGACACCCAAATATCGGTCCCAACCCAAGCGATTGTGTGTGTATCAGGAACCACCAGACTGTCTCCAATTAGCAGAGCGGATGCAATTAAACCCAGTATCCCTCTTCCTTAAGCTGTCTATTGGCAGAATTCCACCTTTTCTTATAATCAGAGGTTGAATTGCCTAGGGCAGGGGAGACAGGATCGAGCTCCCTGTACCCTAATGGTCTCCTTTACCTATTACAGTGGTGCCTCGCAAGACGAAATTAATTCGTTCTGCGAGTTTTTTCGTCTTGCGATTTTTTCGTCTTGCGAAGCACGGTTTCCCATAGGGTATTAACGGTTTTAAGAAAAAGGAAACAAACTTGCAAGACGTTTTTGTTTTTCATCTTGCGAAGCAAGCCCATAGGGATATTCGTCTTGCGAAGCAACTCAAAAAACGAAAAACTCTTTCGTCTTGCGCGTTTTTCGTCTTGCAAGGCATTCGTCTTGCGAGGTACCACTGTACTTATAGAAGGTCACGAGGAGAGGCCTGATTTGGGAATATTGTGTGGGGAGGCTGGGGGCTTGTGGGTTTCATTAAGCCACCTCAGCCACATAATACAAACACTACTACTCACCCCTTCCCAAGCTGTTGTCTTGATCCAGGGAATCATATAAGTAGCACCCGTTTACTCATGCAATTCGCATTTTAGCTATGGATTCATGAATGTTTAGCAGCCTCTAGCAGGATTTGGGCAAAGAAGCAATCCTGGTTTTGCAAGGAGAAATAGGCACCTGTGTACAAATGCAGGTATCTCTGCTAATAAATGGGTTTGACTCTTGGAAACAATTCTTTCCCCGTGAATAAAGAATACAGTGGTACCTTGGGTTAAGTACTTAATTCGTTCCGGAGGTCCGTTCTTAACCTGAAACTGTTCTTAACCTGAAGCACCACTTTAGCTAACGGGGCCTCCTGCTGCCGCTGTGCCGTCGGAGCACAATTTCTGTTCTCATCCTGAAGCAAAGTTCTTAACCCGGAGACTTCCGGGGTGGCGCCATCGGCAATGGCGGACTCCCTCTGAACCGGAGGGACCAGCTCCGCGCGAAACGGGTCTTTTCCGCTGTGGCAAAGCGGGGAGCCTTTTAGAAATCACAGGCGGATGAAGCCTGTGACCGTGGGACTTGGATAGCACCCTTAGCGCCCCCCCAACCCGCAAAGGAACCCACTAACAGGCTCCGAAGCGAAGAGGGGGAAGTGGCGCGGTGCTGTGAGTCAATTGCTTTTTCCGTGGAGCGAAGCCGCATAGCCGTTGCCGGAGAGCGCTGCCTTTTTCCTGGGACAATTTGGCTTCTAAAATAATCACCCGTGAGTACTTAAACACTGAACAATTGGACTTCAAATAAGAACTGGCGATTAGAAAGGAATTGGATTTAAAAATTTACCTTAATTTGGTACTGAAACAGGAAGGTCTAAACAGGAAGTCAGCCTTCCGTTTCCTTGTAGTCAGAAGAAAGCAAAGACAACGTAAACCAGAGATTAGAAAATCACTTTCAAAGGATTGGTTTTCACCATTTAAAATCGTTGAACCCCACTTCGGTGGCAGGAGAAGAAGGGGGATCTTTTTTGGACTGTTTAAACCTGCAGAAGTGAGTTTAAAGTAAAGTAACTTTCCACCGTCCTGATCCTGGAGCGGGGTGTCAGAATTGACGTTTGAAGCTCATTGACCAGAGACAAATGTTTTTGACAGACAGCTAAGAGTAACATTGTGATTCCACTGTTTCCTTTCGCATTTTAAAGGAACAAATATTGACAAAATATCTTTAAAAAAGAAACTTTGTTGCTATTGTCTTTAAAAGAAAGAACAACCAGAAGTTTTCCCCCTAGAGGGGGACTGTGAAACTGTAACTAATTCTAGGGAGCTTGCAGCTGCCACAGATTACAACCGTGGGAAAGGACTTGTGACCTTGCAGGACAATGTTTTCAGAAGCACTGTTGGGTGCTTTCTGTAAAATAAATGCCCTATTGGATCAGTTAAGCCAGAAGACGGATTTGATGACTAATGCGGCCAGAACATTTGAATAGGTAGTGGGAAACTATATGGAGCCCACCCAGGAACTTAAACAGGAGTGTGCCATGACAGAACAGTTGAGAGAAGAGGATGTTGCTGAAACTTGGGCGCCAGAAAGGGAGGAACTTTTGGCCCTGCAGGAAAATGAGCCTTTGGATTTGACAAATGAACTTGGAAAAAACCAGATTTGGAAAGATTGATTTGGAAATGTTTGGATTGATTTGGAAATGGGGGGTTGGACATTTCCAAAGATTGATTTGGAAATGTTTGGATTGATTTGGAGATGGGGGGTTGGACTGACCCCCCTATGCAGAGATGTTTGGACTTTCCGAGTCTGGCAATGGGCCGTCAGATGTTTGGAGCTTGGGGGCTCCCAATTTTGGAGGGAATTTGATACATGTCTTAAAATACCACATGGAGTCTAGTCTGGACTATGGGAAAGGGGCTGATTTGTTGAAAAGGGTCAAAAACACTGCCAAGCTGGAGTTCCCACGAGTGAAAGGAAAATATGAAGAAGAGCTGCGGAAGGGACATGGAAGAGACTTGAAGGCCTCGGATATAAGATCACCAGGTTAATGTGCCAGACTAATGGGATAAAAGGACTGACAAACCCGGGACCAGGAGGAAGGGACGCTGGAAGAAGATTGGATTGTTCTTATTTCTTTTTCTACCATTAGGAATGTTTTATAAAATTGATGAATGTTAGGAAAATGTTGAAATGAAATTACTTGGCTCTTGTAAAAATGTTTAAAGAATTAGGTAAAAAGGTAATGGTTATGAGAAGTTGGTAAAAATAAGATTTAAGTCTTAAGCTTTAAGGTTTTTTATAAGATGAAAATAGAGTAAGGTAATATAATGACAGAATACTATGAATTATGGAAAGGATTTGCTGTGACAACTATTAATCAAGATACAAGAAAAGGGAGGAGGAGGAGGAGGTCATAGAAAGAAGGTAATGAAAGTGGAGAATTTGAAAATGATGGTTTTATTTTTTTTCTTTTTCTTTTTCTGTTTTGTCTTTTTTCTTTGTAATTTCAAAAAAAATTCTTTTTTCAATAAATATCATTAAAAAAACAAACACAAAGTTCTTAACCCGAGGTAATATTTCTGGGTTAGGGAAGTCTGTAACCTGAAGCATATGTAACCCGAGGTACCACTGTATTCAGAAGATTTCGTTAGTGTTTGGGCAGGAGGAGGTTTGCTTATTTTTTTGCCAGCTAATTTTGAAACTGCTGGCAATCCGATATCTTTGATTACTTAAGTGCAGTTAACTTGTTGCTGTCTCTACATTTTTTGTTCTAGCCATACCTTGTTTTTCTTAACTATATACCTATTTGTGTTTAATGCCTTTAGAATTCCTAGCATTGGGATTTTTGAGGGTGAGGGAGCATAATTTCTTATTGATCATCACGATTTATTTTTTAACAACTTCTTGCAATTTTTTCACAAAGTGAATATAGCTTTTTCTTTTTCTTTAACATTTCCTTTTCAGGGTCACATTGGCCTAATTTACACATCACTTTAAAGCACAAGTTAAACACAGTTTAAATGTGAACATGCAGAGTACTGCTGCAGGACGGCTGTTTTGCTCCTCCCTATATCCTGTCAGGAGCCAAACCATGGTTTGATTTAGAGTTACATTCAAAATTTTGTGGTTAGTCTCCCTGCAAAATAACTATCATCTATACCCAAGGTTTGTTCTCGGATTACTGACTATGGTTTGTTTGGAGGGAGTTGGTTTGGAGCCCAGTTTGGGACATAACCCCAAGCCAAACCATAGGTTAGCTTGTGGCAGCACTACAACTGTAGGAAAAAAGTGAAATAGCCAGCCATAGGGGCAGGGCGAGGGTGGGGTAAGGCCGGGGCCTCCAGAGTCTGCCTGCCTCCTCCCACTCAGCCGCCCTACAGCTGGGGGGGAGGCAGTGGGCGAACTGTTTGGGCAGCACGGAGCCTGCACGCACCAAAGCCACCGTGTCTCTCCCAGGAGAGACGCGTGGCTTGGGAGCACTGCAGAGTGCCATCCGACATTTTGTCACCCCCCTCAGTGGTGATACCCGGGGTGTCCTGCACCTACTGCACCCCCCTTCCTCCGCCCCTGGAAACAGCCACAATTTTAGCCTCATGTACCAGCATACCACACACTCATTTTTAAATCATAGCTACCCTTAACTGTGGTTTAAAGCAATCTCCAAACCATTGTCTGCAAACCCCTAGGCCTGACAATATTAATTTTTTAAAAAAAGTTTATAGGCCTGCGTCATGTTGCCTGTAAATATTAATTTTCTCCCTTCCTTTCCTTTCCTTTATATGAAATTTATCCTTTGGTAAATTTTCCTGAAGTGACTTCATGACATACAATCAGCTTAATATAAACATAGATTTTAACTTGGACACTAGAAAGGGAGAAGCCGAAATGTATCCTAGTCTTCACTTCACAGTAATGTAATAGTAAGATGCTTGCCTAGAGATGCAAGTTCAAAATGATTTTTCGTTTGAGATGCCAACAAAATGTGTAAACACTTGGGTTTCCTGTCACCTTCTCTTCCATTCCAACCAGAAGCCTTGGCTGGAAACAAATCTCTCCCTAGGCTCCATTTTTAAATCTACCAGTTTCAACACAGGTGGTTTTAAGGTCAGAGAAGGAGTGAGTCATGAACAGCGCGAATGGCTATTGCCACACTTTGATGGAGGATTCCACCTGCTCCGTCCTAATTGTTGAGGAGGTGATACCAGTGTCTGTGATTGGCTGGCTTCCTTTCTCCGCCCTGCTTGTGATTGGTGTATCCACCCACCTCTGATAGGCTTTCCTTGCCATTCTTAGCTCAGCTGTTGCACTCCAGGGCTGTACACTTGCTGCACACTGACCACAGGAGTTGCTCACAGCTGATCTGCACTCCAGAAACAAGGTGTGTTGGTTGGAATTTGTGGGGAGGAGGAGGAGGAGGAGGAGGAGGAGAGGTTTCACCTGCTCCCTTTGTCACCGCAGTTTGCTTTAATGGGATAGAGTGATTTCATTCCTAAAGGGAAAGGATGTGCTATGCTAAGAAATATTGAAGCTGGGTGGAAATCTGGCTGAGAAATACGCAATTGGGACAATGTCAAAAACAAAAAAAAGCATGTGGCTTCTTTTGCTTCTTGAGGGTGCTCTTATTTAGGTTTTCTCCATAGGGATGAAATTTTCTGCAGCTGAGGCTGTTGTATATGTAAGCATATATATTGCTATGAGGGACATGGGTGGCACTGTGGGTAAAAGCCTCAGCGCCTAGGACTTGCCGATCGAAAGGTCAGCGGTTTGAATCCCCGCGGCGGGGTGCGCTCCCGTTGCTCGGTCCCAGCGCCTGCCAACCTAGCAGTTCGAAAGCACCCCCGGGTGCAAGTAGATAAATAGGGACCGCTTACTGGCGGGAAGGTAAACAGCGTTTCCGTGTTCTGCACTGGCTCGCCAAATGCAGCTTTGTCACGCTGGCCACGTGACCCAGAAGTGTCTCCGGACAGCGCTGGGCCCCGGCCTCTTGAGTGAGATGGGCGCACAACCCTAGAGTCTGTCAAGACTGGCCTGTACGGGCAGGGGTACCTTTACCTTTACCTTTATATTGCTATGAAGTAATGCTAAATTATAAGTGGTTGGATGCTTTGTGTAAATGATTCGACAGTGCTGTCTGTGGTTGAGGGCAATAAGACTCGGAACGCTTTCAATACAAGGACAAAATATAGTACAGCATTTATTTCCCATTTGCACAGTTTGGCCAATTCAATGTCTGTAGTCTTTCCTTCTGTGATAGTTTATCTGAAATTCTGGATACATTTCTTTCCATGTGAATGTCACCCATTTCCTTTTGGTTAACATTTATTTTCAGGCCTGAATCAAAAAGTCCCCCCCAAAATTTTTTTTAAATCTCCAAACATCCTTTGTAATATTATGCAAAAGATATACATGATAACTTTGAGCATAGGATATCCACTTGGTATCTTTGCACAAGATTCTTATTTTTTATAATGGAAGAACACAACCATTTGTGGATTAGTTCCAGCTGTGTGTCAGTGGTTCTCCAAGGGTTTGGCAAGCCTGACTGGTGCGGCAAGAGAAGATGGCAAGTATGGCAGGAAGATTAATGACAATCAAAGGAAGGATATTTCAGTGTAGTATAGTATCAATTTAAAAAATATATATTTGCAGAATATGGATATGAATATCTTTTGAAAAAGAGAGGAAGAGCGTCAAGTGAGACTGAGGGCAAGCCTAGTTGTGTTTTCCATCGTCTTGCTTATCAATAAAAAATTTGGTGTGGGGAACAAGCAACTTTTCCCCCCTGAAGTGTGGCCCAGAGAAACAAGTTTGAAACTGCTGTAGGTGAAGTGGTAAAACTTCATAATGTGTGTGTTACGAGGGGTGGAGGGGAGTAATTGTATGGTTGAATACCTTCCCGTGGGTGGGTAGAGGGGAAATCACTGCATGCAAAATTAAAATATCAGGGAAAAGACAATTCTTTAGTCGTTTCCCCCAACATCTACTTTTGTGTGTCTAAACCCAGCCAGATGGGCAGGGTATATATAAATAATAATAATAATAATAATAATAATAATAATAATATTTGTTTTGCATACGGAGGGGCATTCAGTCCCTGGCTATGCAATTTGAAGTGGAACATAGACTGTAGATACAGAATATATTTACCACCTCACCTGTTAATTGTATGAGCCAGGGTTGGTAGACATGTGAAGCAAACAAATGAGAATCTGTGGTTCCAACTCTGGTGGCGATGTTCTACCTCCACTGTCAGAGGCAATATCCTTCTAGATAGGAGTTGCTGGAAGCCGCAGGCAGGGAGAATGCAAGTTGCACTCAAGTTGCTAGTGACTTGGTATGGACACTTGGTTGGCTACTGTGAGAACAGAATGTTTGACCCAACGGCCTGATCTAGCAGATCCTTCTTGTGTTCTTATGTCCCTCAGTGCAACTCTGATTTTGACCGTGTTGGCAGTGCCCAGCATGGGCAGCAGCAATCTCTTGGGTAATTGTGAGGGCAGAATGAGGTAGAAGTCTGGAGAGAAGGTTTACTCTGCCTTATTTGCTGTGGTTGCCCCAGTCAGGGATGCTTCGATGTGCAAAGGAGTTTTGGTTTTATATTTCCTTCCTGCCCTGGTTGCAGCCCCTCCTCAAGCAGCATTACTGACAAAATAAAAATGACTGGGAAAGGCTGCTACGGTGTTGTTGTTTGTTTGCACATGAAAGCAGAAGCTGAAAGGGACAGAGAGAAGAGATTACATAGCTTTAATAAGGCTGAGTGGTGTGAAGGGCAGTTGATAGACCTAAGGTCATTGGTGCCCAAAGTTGAGAAGATGAAGGACATGGCAGGCATGAAAACATCTACAGACGTTTTCCTGAGGTGAAGTGGCTTGTGGCGCTGCTGTGAGAAAAAGCTGAGGGAGTGCAGGAGTTGTGGGGCAGGCACATTAAGCTGCTCCAGAGACAAGGCCAGGCTACAATAAGACAAATGTGGGTTAAAATAGGCCACAACATAATTGTGGGGTTGGCATGGCATATTCTCTGCTGCAAACGTCTGATGTTCTTTTCACAGAAAACCCATCCCAGAATGCCAGCTGAGGAATGTCATGGGAGTTAACCAGTGGGGAGGATCTAACATGGTGCAAGTCATGCACGGGATGCCGCTGGCAACCTGTGTTGAGTGACACCAGGCTGAGCTCCACGGGAGCTGTGATGGCTGCTTGGTGCATCACCTCAAGATCCAACATGGGGTTCCCCATCCCTGTGATTGAGATCCTGCCCAATGCTATGTCCTCTGCAAGAGTGGGCACATAGCAAACCACTTGCTGCCACCCTCACCTACCACAGCAGCCAGCCTAGCAAACCTGAGCATGGGACATCCTGCCTCTTCAAGAGTTCTGGAAAGAACAACGAAGAATTTTGAGGTTCTGGAATTGGCAATGGTATAAAACAGGGTTGAGCTGGTTGTAGCAAATATAATCAAAAGGCCTGTGGCATCTTAGGACTCCTGTTTAATGAACACTCATCCTGATTTGCTGGCACAAAGCTTGCATGGAGATTATACAATGTCCACCTTTAACAGAGCAATCAGTTCTGGTTTCCCTGTAGGGAGGTTGTATGTCTTCTCATCAACCAGTCACTATCCTATCCTTTTTGGTGCACTTTGCTTTCCTAACTGCAAGATTACCTTTTTTTAAAAAAGGGAGTGGAGATTTGTTGCACCAGAGGATTTTAATCCATTTTAATTGTGCAAGACTTAATTTCTGCCATGCAATCGAATCCCTACCGCAAAAATACCGATCGTCCGGAGGTGAACTTAAGAGCCTATCACATTTATTGTGGCATAAACATTTGAGATCTACAGAAAACTTCATCAGATTCATGAAGTGATCTGGAAAGTTGGTCAGGCATATGGATTTGCAGAGGGAAATAATTCCCCACGTCTTGATTTGGAATATAATCCTGGTTCTTCTGTACTCTTCTGTATGGCCAAACAGCCATGCACTAATCAAGCTCTCTCAGCCATACTTGAGTTTCCTTTCCGTTTTGGGTAGAGTGGGCAATTGCTTCTCCTCCAGTCCAGCCCATTGCTTGGAGAAGAACAAGGACACAAGGTCCTCTGCCCCCCCCCCTCCACATGTCCCTGCAGGACCAGAACATGCAAATGCTAACTGCACATGTAAAATGCAACAAACGCCAGCTGAAATGATGCTGACGTTTGTCACATTTACGCTTCAGATTTGTATGTGTACTCTTAAACCATCTTAGGCTATACTCACCTAAACAAACACACACACCAACAACCGCAGTATATGAAGTGGTCCTTTCAGCTGATTGTGCTCAGGGATGCTGTGTTTTGCTCCTTCACCTCCAGGTCAAGAAGGAAGGAAGATAGTACAAAGTTCAGGTTTAGAATTATTTCAAAGCTCCCATTTCCCAAACCTGTCTGATTTAAATGTCACATTTCAGACCAGAACAGAGCGGCTCATTACTTAGGAGTTATGAGTCAGAGGGAAAGATCTCAACAACACAGAGACTAGCTCATACGAAATCGCTGTTTATCACAGCACTTAAAAGAGCAGCACCCACATGCCGTACTTAAGATTTAATTAGAGGTGGGTCAAGTGGATGTACCCACAGGAAAGCGAGAAACCACACCTACCACACTGATACCTGAACATAAATCCATGCGGAACATCCCATGTGAATGAGTTCCCTTGGCACCCGAGAGCGAAACAGTCTCCATCCCTTTTGTTTCATAGGGATGGTCATTGTTCCTCCAGGCGTCTGATTGCTCAGTACCTTGCATCGATTGTGACAACGGCAAAGCTTAAGCAGGTCCTCCTGGGCTGTTCCCCTGGCATGACTCAGTTCTTTCATCACAGCCTTTGCAACCTCCTCCTTTTTCTGCTGACACTGTGACTTGTTCCCATGGCTGCTTGGTTTCTGTTGTCACTTAAGCTTGTGAACCTAAAACACAGCTGCCAGAAGACTCCAGCAGCCCATGGATCTTGTTTGCTAGCTTTGGGATTTGAACTTGCCGAAGTGGTCTTAAGCAGGGGATGGGGAAGCACAACTCACCCATACTCCTTTATAATATCCGAAATGGGGCTCAGAAGATGTGCTTGGTCCCACCTAGATCTTGTTGATGCCCCTCACTGATCCGAATCTGCTTTACTTCTGTTGATCGACTCATGTACTATGATTCTGCTTTTGTTATTCGTGCCTTTTGCAAACATTTTTGCAAACTGGGCCCCTCTGTGTGTTTGCGTAGATGCACATGGGTCTATATCCAGCACTTTCACCATCTCCTTCATGGCATCCGTCTCACGGGGGTAGGTTTCTGCCAACTAAAACTCATGCCACAATAGATGCATCAATTTCTTGGTGGTTTAAAATCTTGCACCCGTTAAGAAAGCACTCATTTCAGAAATTACAAAGAAAAAGTGGAAACGACTTCTATGTCCATATGCAACCCACTGACATCCTTAGCATTCATTGTCTTTATCGGTGGTTCTATGTCCACTCACTGTCTCTGATGGGTGCCATTGCGGACTGCCATTCCTGCGCGCAGTAGAATCTGACATGGGAAGTCCCAGGGACCGTTTCCCAGGCAGCAAAGGAAGCCTCTGGGATTAAGCTTGCTGTCTGGGTAACTAGTCCCGCCCGATCACCTAATCAGCAAATCACAAGAGGGCATGGGCCACCAGGGAGCAGGCTTAGCCCACCCCTCCCATATAGAACATAGAGCTGTGCCTTCATTGGACCCAGTGCTCCCCTTGCCATTAATATTGGTTCTATATTGCTCCTACGTGCAAAAAATAAATTATATGCCGCTTTGTGATTTTTGTAGGATCCGACAGCAAGTGTATTCCTTTCGCTTTGCTTCAGGAAACTTTCCTCCACCTTGAAAATGTAGAACCTTGTGTCGACATTGCACAGGGACTTGGCAAGCAGTGTCTCCTTTGCAGGTCCTGCTAAAAAAGCAACTCCCCCTTTCTTCCCATGTGGACAGTCAGGGGAATTGAAAACAGGCTCCAGTTAGGGACCATGTGGCAGCCAGTGTGGTGTAGTTGTTAAGAGCAGTGGACTTGTAATCTGGTGAATCGGGTTCGCATCCCCGCTCCTCCACATGCAGCTGCTGGGTGACCTTGGGCCAGTCACACTTCTTTGAAGTCTCTCAGCCCCACTCACCTCACAGAGTGTTTGTTGTGGGGAAGGAAGGGAAAGGAGAATGTTAGCCGCTTTGAGACTCCTTCGGGTAGTGATAAAGCGGGATATCAAATCCAAACTCCTCCTCCTCCTCCTCCTCTTCTTCTTCTAGAGATGTAATGAGTGAATGCAATACTGAGTACATCCAGTATGCTGAATAAAGGCTCATCCAGGTTTTCTAGGCATCACCCATGATTTCTAGGCATGGGTCCATAATGTTGATCTTTTGTCCCACTGCTTTTCCCAGGAAAACCCCACTGTTTACCCTACGTGTGCAAAATCCACTTCCTCCATAAGCCTGTGTGGATCTGTCCATCTGTCCATCTGAAAAATTGTACCTAAAAAGAAACAGAATGTTGAACATTGGGCTTGTCCACACTTCTGCTTCTCCTGTGCCTAGAAAGCAAGAGTCCGAGCAGTTTTCCCTTTGCCCGCCCCTTTCCCAGGGAAAACCCACTCTTTAGTGCTAACTCAGAGCAGACGTTAATCCGGAGAAAACCCGAATTGCCATTTGCTCTGATTGAGTGGTTTCCCCTGGTGGAGGGCGGGAAGCAGCAGGACAAGAGGAAGCGTGGCTATGTTCATTGTCAGGCCCTGGAGTATTAAATGAAGGATGTGAGAGTAGCTTTCCAGTGGGTATGGGAAGAATCAGGCGATGCTGAGTATGAATGGAATCCTTTAAAGGAAATTAATATGCCCTGAGCTCTGAATCAAACATGTCAGTGCAGGTTCTCAGCTGATGTGAGTCCTCATAAATAAGAATCAGGAAAACAGAAAAGAGGATCGTTCACTTAAGGTGAAACATCAAGTTGGGTTGCTTTGTAAGGATTTATGTGTTAAAAGATTTCGGTGGATTCACTGCACACATGATGCAAAAGGTGAAAGCAGTCATAATTGTTAAGGCAATGTGATTAACAACTTAGAGAAGGCTGTCATGAAACCACAACATTCTTTTTTAAAAATTCCTGTCCAGCCTTTCTTACAAAACCTTCCTGGGGTAAAAAGGTGCACACTGTTGAATCCAAATCACTTCCCACAAATAGGCTTTGGTTGATCAGTAGCTGCTTTGAATTTGACAGGTGTCAATCACCTGGTGTCATTATGATGGCTGGTGATTTCGGATATAGGGTGGTATAGAAATAACAACAACAACAACTGGGGAGTTGTTCTGCTCAGCTGTCAAAGGTGATTCACTGGGGGTGCGGAAATTAGGGATTTGACCCACTGAGCAGATCCCGTTTCTGTCCTCCAGTTAAACTGCTACTACATTTGCTGATTTCCTATCCCCTTAATATTGATTATTTAATTTAATAAAATTCACATATTTTTAATGTATTGCTCAATTTGCTGCTTGCACTATCTCTGGTGGCTGTTGCGATCAGTTGTTCCCCCTTTTTGGCTGAGATGCTTTCAAAATAGTTGAAAACTGATATGCCTCTCACTTACATTTTTCATTGAGGCAGAAAAAGCTCATTCATTTTCATTGTCTAGAATTATACACAATGAAGTTGCTTAGCATTGGCTTAGTTGATAAAAGCCTAAAATGATACCAGCTTTTCGTGCATTGTCATCATAACTGATTTTCATGCTTTCCTGTCCTTTATAACTTTCTGAACCCTATTCTTAACTCCATAACAACTTAGCCAGTTATTACACATTTTGAATTTAATATAGTTTTGTGTCAATTAAGTCAATATGTCTTAAGACTGCACACAGGGAAATCAAATGCGCACTGAAGCCTTCGTGCACCATTTGTGCCATTGTTGTTCAAAGGCAATAAGCTGGGAAGGAGAAACGGAATGCCTGTTCTGATCATTTGCCAGTTTTGCATTCACATTAGGCATTGATTTCAGGGCTAGCCAATTTAAACTTGACGTATGACAACACCCTCAGCCACCTTCTTAATCAGGACAGTCAGGCTTGATGGCTATGCAGAATAGATATTGCGTATAGGTGAGCCACCTGAAAGATGATGCCTGTGCAGGATGTTTTGTTATCAACATCCTGTAATGTGAGTGGCCAACCTGCAATGCAAGGTACCACAACTGACATAGCACACTCTGTGTTTTCCTAGTGGTTCTAGGATACTAGAATCTGGATTAGTTCCAGCTGAGATGTTATGTAGGATTCAAGCTTGCTCTGAACACAAGATAGACCAGAAAGGTTCTGGTAGAACTCAGTCTGAGGTTGAAGCTGTTGTAATGACACCATACTGTCTCTGCTTAGACCACTTCTCTATGTTTCCTTGGGTCCCTCAATAAAATGACAGCTTCCACTCCAGCCCTTTACTTACTGCCAAAATTGCCTTGGCCAATGGTGGGCTCCAGGTGTAGTGTAGTGTATCAGAGTGACATCACCTCGTACTTTGACCCAAGAGGTTGGCTACTATGAGAGTTGTGCCATTTGTGTTTGCTTACTGCTTTGGTCATAGGGACGCGGGTGGCGCTGTGGTCTAAACCACAGAGCCCAGGGCTTGCCGATCAGAAGGTTGGCGGTTCGAATCCCTGTGATGGGGTGAGCTCCCATTGCTCGGTCCCTGCTGCTGCCAACCTAGCAGTTCAAAAGCACGTCAAAGTGCAAGTAGATAAATAGGTACCGCTCCGGCGGGAAGGTAAACGGTGTTTCCGTGTGCTGCTCTGATTCGTCAGAAGCGGCTTAGTCATGCTGGCCACATGACCCGGAAGCTGTCTGCGGACAAATGCCGGCTCCCTCAGCCTATAGAGCGAGATGAGTGCCGCAACCCCAGAGTCATCCGCAACTGGACCTAACAGTCAGGGGTACCTTTACTGCTTTGGTCACTAGACTTCTGCTCACCTATTTCTTGTTCTCTGTTCCCCTTCAAGATGGAGAGGTACCACTTGGTTGTGCTTCTGCTCTGTGGCGTCTTCATGTCAAGAGTCTTCAGCGTTACGTACAGGAATTTTTCAATAGATTGTGGAACTCTGTTGCCCGACGACCCAGCTCGGCCTCAGGAATCTGAATTGCCCTATTCCATTTCTGTGCCATCAGAGGTGTACGACCCAGGAAGTGAAATAAAAGGTATGTTACATAAGAGTCCTCTTACTCTGCGAATTTTGCTATAGTTCACCATCCTTCTTATTCTGAACACTTTCTTGTAAAGAAGGTGACTGGAATAAGTTGGATGGTGAGTTATGAGAAGATAATGTGTCTTATGAGACCAACTTGTTGGTTTGTATGCCAAATTACTATAGCAAAATAGACTATAACTTTAATTCCCTAAAAGTGTCCATATTTTTCCTGCTTTTACAACCTGTGCATTGGGGTATTATAGAGATGCTTCTTTAAAATGGCTGTTTTAAATTACTCATGATAGTGCTTGTATTCTTCTGATAAGCGACTGATATGTAGTGGACACCTTGTGGAGCAGGGAATTTTCTCCATGCCATCATCGGTCTTTTTGCAAGAATGGAATTTGGAAACCAGAAAATACATTGCATAACTCCTATTTCTGCTTTAATAGAAATATTATGGATTTAGCTACGGCAGCTAAAAATGTGCCATATTACTGAAATTAAGGCAATGTGGAGAGGCGTAAGTGAGCCCAACCATCCATATATTATGGTCAGTACTATTGAAACAGAATGCAAAATATGTTACACTTATGATTCTCATGTTCTGTGTTTCTCCAGTCGACATACAAGGAGCATCCGGAGCTGGATTTAAATGGTTTATGCTACAAGCCCGAGACATTGATGAGAACATCCCTGTTGGTTCGTTTCAAGTCACAGATCCAAATACACAGACCCACGACTGTTACAACATGACGGTATGTGTTTACTCCTTCAGCTTGGCTATTTAACATGGTTGAATTTGTTGGTCCCATCTAGAGGAAATCTGCCTGGTACATTACACAATAAGCTACATGAAAAAGGATTCTTAGTGGGACATCAGTCAGAGCTGTCTAGAGGGAAGACAACCTTTGATTTAACCCCAGAACGGCAGTAATAAACAAATCACTTTCGCAATAGCGGGAAATAAGCATTGGATTTTCCCCAAGAATAAATATTGGGACCGTTGCAATATATTTATGAATGAATACAGCTGCTGTTATACTTAATGAGGATGAAGCAGGGATGTGTTTATAATAGGGAATAACATTTCGACAACAGGCACCACTCTCTTACTATGTGAGCCTGCGTAGGGTGTGTATGGTGTCTGCACATGCACAGTTGTCCTCACTGGGCTGCCTTTGCAGGGCTCAGCCTCTTAAAATCAAATAGCAAATGGGGACATTTATTTTTGCAGGAGTCTGATCTGTACTTATGAGTACAAAGCTCTGGATCACGCAGTGGGTGGGAAAGGCATCTTGTTAACTGTTCACCTGAGGGGAAAGGATAATTTTGTTTGCGTCAAACCACTGGATTTCATTCAGTGTTCCAACCTTGTAGCATTCTGTTCTGTGTGCTTGGTAATGACTCCATGGTGATTCCCCAGGGCTGGGCCATTAGCACCACTTTAAAAGAAAGCAAGACGGCACCCTAGGAAGATGCAATTCAAACTGACAGAAACAGTGTTTTGCAGCTCTCCATGTGACCCATGGGGAATAGTCTCATTTTTCGTAATCTCTACAAAGGACAGAAGAAACCTCACCTAGGACAGAAAAAAACCTTATATGGTCCTGACACAAAGCAAAGCACAATAATGAGCTTCTGCAGAAAACACAATGGGAATATTTTATTATACAACGCTAGCAATGCAGAAAAACACATCTGAGTTGCACATCAAGAGCATATGAGAGGACATTACAGTGCTGTTGAATGCCTTGTTTTGTCATTTTCTGGAGTACCTATTTTTATTTTGCCTATTTATATACTACTCAGTAACCTTGCAAAAAGTAAACCGGAGTTCTGTCTCCAGTGCTGCTGTTAAGACATTTCCTTCAAAGAAGCAAGTTCAGTAAATGTCTAAAAATGAACGAATAATCTTAACGCTTGTCTTTAATTTTTCAGAATTCAGCATTAATTCACAAGGACTCAGAAGAGAAGCACAACATATCATCTCTTTGGGTTTCACCCAATGCTAAAAAGGTTCAGTTTATGTAAGTGCATATTAGAAAGGATTAAGCCTCGTTATGATTTTCTGTTTCTTTGGGTTTTATTTTTTAATCCAAAAATTTCTCTGATACAAACATCCTCTAGTTTTGGGAGTGTTTTTTTTTTAAACTTCAGCTTGGCATTCAGATTAAATATTATAATACTGCATGCAGGGAAAGTTGCATGTTTTCGATAGACATATAAATAGGGTGACATGCAAGCCACACCTGTTGAAACTCCCCCTTCTGCACAACTATTAAAGTCTCAGGAAGAGCTGTCTCTTCCCCCATCTGGCCGCCCAACATATGACATAGTGATCCATCTGGTTTGCTGGTGTGGTGATTCATTGAATATGTACATTAGGGCCAACCGAAATGGTACAAAATAGTGTGCAAACTTCTGAGGTCTTCAGAACTCTTCATCAGGCTAGACAGTAAACAAAACCAGGGAGAGAAAGCTTGGCTGATGATGGAGCCTGCATTCAATCACACTCTTAAGATAGAATGTGAATTTATTAATAATCCTGGGTAGATGGAGAAGTATTAGAAAAGTGGAGGAGAGGGAGGGAGGAGAGTTTTGATTCAACAAATTATTTATATGTCAGAATGGTGTGACATATCATGTGATATAGTTTTGGTGAATAACAACAGTCTGTTAAAAATAGAAGAAATATGCATACATTCGGATTTAATGGGAAAAACTGCAACCAGAAAGCCTACCTTAGAGCAATAAGGCAAAACTGTTATTGACACTGCACAAGAAACCCATTCTGATCCAAACCATGACCTATTAACAACTGCATTTTCTTTCCAGAGCGACTGTTTTCCAAGATGCTGAAACGTACTGGCTGGTTCCCAGCATAGTCCTGTTTCCTAAGCTTTCCAATGAGACTAAAGTTGAAGATGAGTCTAAAAAAGCCAATGTATCGTCAAAAAGTAGGAAGAAGGTATGCTGAAATAAAGTCCAGATAAATCTTTGATATTCTCATGCACTTTTCCCCTACATTATTATGACTGGACTTTGGCCCAGACGGTGAACTTTTAAGTCCCACGGATTGCACAACCAGCGAGAAAAGTCTAAGTGTGGATTGTGTGGTTAGATAGGATGAGCACTTGTGATTACAACATCAGTACTTGTAGAAGGGACAGCTGTATCACTCCATGTTCCTCTGGTTCACACGCTATGTAGTCTCTGATCCTCATACAGTCATGCGACAGAACCTGTTCACGTGATTTATTTTTATGTCAATGATACGTCCAGCTTTAAAAAAAGCTGTAGCACAAGCCCTTTTCCTAAATCGTAATTATTTTTGTTTCTTTACAGTCCGTTACCATAAAAATAGACTGTGGACCAGTAAGTATCCTTGAACTCCTTATTTCCCATGATACCCCTTATTGACACAACTGCTTTTTTTAATGCATTGTGTCCATTACTGTGCATTTAAAAGCAGCAAAATGGTTCTCAGCCGGCAGAATGACGGTATTTTTCTTCTCTGACACCTTTTCTTGAGCTGAAACCTTTGCCTACATCTGCCCTAATGCAATGGAGGAGAAGGGAAGGAACAGGAAGTGCTGGTGGCTCCAACTTCCTGTCTCCATCTTCCTGCTTCTGTTTTTCTTTGGAATGCCTGGGAAAGCACTTTCTCCTCTCCCCCTTCACTAAACCTGAAACTGTACTACATTTGCAAAAGTCCTTAAAAAATCAAATGCCTTTTATTGCTTGCAGGGAGGAGCTCATGTAGGCAGCAGCAAATGTGCCCAGGTAAGTGCTCATTTTTTCAAAATATAGGGCACAAATGATAATGTTAGCCCTTTGATAGCCTTTCTATTATTTGCTGAAAGCTATTTCCTTTATCTTTACACATACTCTCTGTCTCTCTCTATTGAACTTCCCCCAAGCATAGCTGTCATCTTTCCCCTTTTCTTGCGAGGAATCCTGTTCGGAATAAGGGAATTTCCCTTAAAAAAAGGAAAACGTTGACAGCTATGCCCCCAAGCCACCCCATATACTGGGATTACTGCTATGAATATTACCACTGCTAATTTTGGTTGTCAGTGTATGCAGACACTTATACCTGACAAAAATGCCACACAGAGGTATTGTGAACAGAGGCTATGCTTGAGCAGACATGGCCGCTGTTCACAAGACTCAAACATGAATCTAGGGCAGGTGAGTCCAATATTTGAAATGTGGCACGTTGCTTTATACCAAGTTGAGCTGTTGGCCCATCAAGCTGACTGGCAGAGGGCACTTTTGGGTTTCAGACTGGAGATGTTCCCAGCTTTATCCAGACATATTGGGAATCAGGACCTTCTGCACTCAGTGCAGGTGTTCTGCCACTGAGCGACATGCTGCCCTCCTTCATATTGTTCCTCCTTCCCTATCTTGAATGCCATATTAAGCAGTTGGTCCCTTACCTTTCTCGCCCACAGTGATCCATGTGAGGGTCACCTCCAGGCTTGGTCATTGTAACTCGCTCTACGCGGGGCTACCCTTGAAGCTGATCCAGAAACTCCAGCGGGTGCAGAATGCCGCAGCGAGGCTCCTTATGGGGTTCTTGCTACGGGATCACATTCATCCAGTGCTTTACCAACCGCACTGGCTCCCGGTGGAGTACAGGGTCAGGTTTAAGGTGCTGGTTTTGACCTTTAAAGCCCTACGTGGCCTAGGACCCACGTATCTGTGGGACCTCCTCTCCTGGTATGCCCCGCGGAGGACCTTAAGGTCCACAAATGATAACATTTTGGATGTCCCAAGTCGCAAGGTGGTTAGATTGGTCTCAACTAGGGCCAGGGCCTTTTCAGTACTGGCCCCGACTTGGTGGAATGCTGTGTCACAAGAGACTAGGACCCTGCGGGACTTGACATCTTTCCACAGGACCTGCAAGACAGAGCTGTTCCGCCTGGCCTTTGGTTTGGACTCAGTCTGACCCTTACGTTTCCCTCCCCTTATGGTTTTGATCTATGGGCTACTTTTAAAATGAGGTTGCATTTTAAATTGCATTTTAACCTGTATTTTAAATTGGTTTTTTCCCCCTATTATGTGCTTACTGTAATTTTACTGGTGTTAGGCACCCTGAGTCCGGCTCTGGCTGGGGAGGGCAGGGTATAAATAAAATTTATTATTATTATTATTATTAACTGTACACACATTTATCACATTAGCAGCTCAAGTAAGTTATGCCTGCTTATGTGGAAGCAAATCCCATTGAGTTCAACAGGGTTTACTCCCAAGGAGAGTGGGTGGAATTACCACTCAAATGATGCAGAGCAGCAGAATGATGTAAAATAAAACACAGGATAAGCTGAATAAGCCATTGTATCTTGTTCATGCCTTTGAAGGAGGGTTATGGAAATTCTGTTATTTAACAGTTGTGCTTGATAGACAGAGCATCACATTTTCGTTCCTTTTTACTTTACAGGGTTCAACGTTTTCCTCTCAGGGTGGTAGCTCTCAAGGCCAGGTAAACTCCAATTCCCCAATATGTTACCAATTTCATAGGCTCACTCATCTTCGCGATAATCTTGGCCTTGTACAACCATACCCAACTTCTCAGAGCAGAAATTTACACTTACACAGAGAAACAAGAGTACAACGATTCCTTCCGGTGACTCCTTGATTGTGTGCATTAGTGCAGTTCTGTGAAAATATACACCCACATAGTCCGACGCGAATTGCATAGAAGTAATTCACTGCTGCCACCTTTGTTCTTCTCACGGTACCTTGTTTTCCATGTGTTGCATTCCATGCCCTTATATTTTCCACATTTATGTACCAGTCTTAACAGCACGCAAAGCTATTTCTGTCCCAAAGGTATTTGCTTTGTTAGACTCCGCAGTTTGGGCTTTTAAAGGATAAATGTGAGGGAGCCAGCTTCTGGGCTGCTACTGCACCTTTTCTCTTTCTCACTTGAATAACCTCTTCTGTGAACAATTAATAATATTTTAGACTGGGGTCCCCAAGCTAGTACCCACCAAGGCATCAAAATGCCAACCCCCACCCCAATGTAATCTAGATTTACCCTTTCTGGAGAAAAACTGATACACTGAAAAGTACCAACAATGTGTTTGCAAATTAAGTCCCCACCTGGAAGCATCTATTATCTCCAAGACACCAGCAGGCAGCAGCATCCCCATGTCACTTTGCCCTGGTTGTGAATTAGTCATTTAGAGCAAGAGGATGAAGACTGAACGGGGGAAATGAAAGCTCTTCTTGTCCTTCACCTGTGTCAAAAGCAAGCAAGACACTTGAAGCGTCCAGTGGGTTTCATTCTCCCTTTTACACCAAGACAGTTTCCAGGGTCTTTGCAGATTACACGTGTCGCTCCCAAGGACAGCAGCTGTACTCTCAAGCAAGCTTCTCCATCCCCTCCAAACTGGATGGATTGCGATGAAGGCACTGCAGTTTTCTATGCCTGCATTGAATAAAGTCTTTGACAAAGAAATAACCTGTCCCTACTTGCTTTACAGGGAGTTATAGTGTACCAAGGAGGTGTAAAGAAAGGCGGAGGATGCCTTGCGGTAAGCAGACATTTTTCTCTTCTCATTTAAAACCTTGTCCCTGTGCTATTATTGTTGTTGAAAATCTAGGCAGCCTTTGTGGGAGTTCTGTATTCTGTATATATTCAACCTCCCCCCACCCCCCAGCTGCATCCACTTCAGTTTTCCTCAGCCGTCAGAACCCATATTACTGTATGCCATTAAATTCCATTTACCAGCAGACCAAAACAAAGAATCATATCAGTTCTCTGGTTTTTTTCCATACAGGGTGCCACTGCTAATATCTACAACAAGTTTGGCTGCTACGATGTAAGCATTCTCCTTCTTTACCTCATAGAAGTTTATTGTTAGATATGTGATGGATGGTTTGTGTCGTAAGCCACAAGTGAATAGTCGTGCAAGTGAAAATCTCCACATTGTGTCTTCAGCATTAGCTCATTTGGAAGTCTGAAATCTGAATTAGATTCTCCCAACCACCAACAAGGATTTCCCCAAGATCTACATATTTAAATTAAAGGTTAATCGGCAACAGAATGTCCCTTAATCAACACCGTTTTCCTGAATTCTTGTCTTCTCTCTTTAAACTTACCATTGCAAATGGGTTTAATTTCATAACGTAGCAATTTGTTGAAATGCGTGGCTTTTATAAAGAAGTAACTGAGGTTTCTTTTTTATGCAGCCTGGTGTAAGCTATGGTAGTGGCACTTCCTATGGACAGGTGAGCAATCAACTAGTCGTCGTCTTCTTCCTCTTCTTCTTCTTCTTCTTCTTCTTCTTCTTCTTCTTCTGCAATCACTCGTAGCCAAGTAAGATTGTCTTCCATAAACAAGGTTTTAACAGTGAGTCTGTAAGCGATTGTGGAGGCCAGTTCTGGATCCACATATCCTTCCACAGTGTGGACATTAGTTTCTGGGCGGGAGTTGATCATGGTGAAGGTTTTCCAAGCATGCCTTCCTCTTTGCACTTTTCTCCATTTCGTCCTGAGATTGAGTGTCTTCAAAGCCCTGACACCTTTGGTAAAGGCTGTTCTCCAATTGGAGTGCTCGCAGGCCCAAGCAATCAACAAGTACTGCTGCGTCAAAGGTGTCCAAAAATGTGGAACAGGCCTCATAGAAAGGAAGTACTAGGGCAAGGATGAGGGACCTCAAAGCTGGGGACCAGGAACACTGTCTCCATAGGCCACACCTCTCCCCAACTCTACTTGACACCCTGCTTGAGTGTTTTTTTGCCTGCTTGGAATGTGTCCTTGAACTCCTATAATGCTTCTTGCCTGCTTGGATGGATGGAGGATAGAGGGTGTGTGTGTGTAGAAACTAGCCTGCTATAGAAAGCTAAAATCCCCATTTACCTCTGGCTCTGCCCACCACTACCATGCGGCCCCTGAAATAATGCCCAGAAGGGACTGTGGCCCTTCAGTGGAAAACTGTTCCCTATTCCTGTCCTAGTACTCCCTGATGCTTCCAGCCCAGTCAGCTGAGCACAAGGGAACAAAAAGTATTCAATGTTTGCTTTCTGTTTTCCTTACAGTCCGTTTCAACTGTTTCAAACCAAGGGAAGGTATGTATCTCTTTCTGAACTAATTTCTTACTGATTTAAGCAACAGCTGGGATGAAGATCAGTGCAGCCATGCTGTCCTCAGTAGGGATGGCTCAAGATGTTTTGCCACCTGAGGCAGAACAGGAAATGTCTTTTGAAATCAACCCAATTTAACTTGTCATTTGATTATTATTACTTTTTGGCAGGTCATAGTGTATGCTCCCAGCCAGCCCTACCCACCCGAAGTAAGCTCTTTTAAAATATCATTTTGTGCTTTGAGGTTTTTATTAACGTGGGAAAAGTTATTTGGGAATGGCTAATTGTTTGTATTTTTGTTGTTTTCACAGCGCAACACATACTCGTCGGTAAGAATATTTTCATTTTTCTTGCTCTTAAGCTAATTCAACGCAAGAATTCTTCCGTTCCTGGAATTATTTCTGGAAGTGATATTTAGGCATGGGTACCTGTGGAACTACAACATATGTTGTACTAGAGTTGCTAAATTTTTTTTGCAAGATCTATTTTTTTAAAAAGACATTTTTGAACAATTTATAAGAAAATTTGCCAAAACCTACACTTCCTTCAAAATCTACGCTTCTTGCCTTATGTCCGGATTTTCCCGGACATTTCAGCAATTTCCACCCAGACACAGCTTCTGACAGCTGAATCCCAGCTGTGTCTGGGAAATTCGGGACCTATGCCAGCCCTATGTTGTACTCCTGCTTTGCTTTTCATGAAATGCCCCCTGCAAAAAAAACCCTATTTTGTTAATTTGTTTAGCTGCTTCTTCAGCAAGATTAAATTCAGTGGGGCTTACTTCTGATGAATCACGCATAAGATTGCACTGTTCATTCCTGAACAACTTTGGGGTCTGCTTTCAAATAAAGCACCATTTGCTTTTTTTTGCTGGACACTCTCATTTCGTCGTTATGCCTAAAAGTCTTTATAAACAATTCATTTTGATTTCCGTGAAACAGCTTTGGGTTTATTCCCATTTCGAGCATGCCCTAATTATCAGCTGGTTTGTTTTGACAAAAGAAACATTCTTCCAACCTCTCTTCCTAATCATTATCACAGCACAAAGTCATGACTGTGAGAATAATGATGTGATGTGTGCATACGCAGTACAAATAAAATGGTTTCTGATTCCTTTTTAGCAACTGGCCAACTCTAAATACAAACACATTCAGGTAAGCACTTCTACTCTGCTTGGTGCAGGAACCCTCACTCTAAGGGAATTGCCATTTGCTCAACTGAGCACTAAAGAGTGGTCGTCCCCCCCCAGGGATGGGGAGTTGTGGGGTGAGAGGAACTGTAGATGAGCGCTGTGATGCAAAAAAAATATGAATGAAGCAAGGGGAGAGGATTAGGTTTATTGTTTTGAACTGCTAGCTTCTTAGAACACTCCACTTCAGTGTAATGATGACACAGGGTTCAGGATGTAGAAGCAGGATATTATCCAGCAAATATTAATAACAAGGGATATCACTTGTAAGAATGGAGTACACACAAAGTTAGCAAGTATTTCAAGAAGGCAGGTACTCCTCTATGTTGAACTAATTAGTTTCCGGTTCCTTTGCAGAGCACTATATATGGGGACAAAATCAAGGCCCAGGTACGTTTTAATTTTTCTTTGCTTCTCTGTTACAATTAACAGCTTGATTCTGGTCCTTGTTTGCACTGGCAGATTATCCTGTGTTACTGAGGATGCTTTCACAGAGTACTGTGGAAATATGTGCCAAACACCTGAGCTACAGTCTAAATTGCTTAACAACTCAGGAGCCATGGAAGCAGCATGTGCCGTTGCGATGGCTGTGTAATTCCCCCACCCCCAAGATGGTGAAGATTTAGTAAATTCAGTATTGAAAGAATATTCAGAAAACTCCATGCCTCATGGATGAGAGCTGTAAACTTCCTCTCTTGACTGCTGAAGAAATAATACGTAGCAAAATAAGTAAATAAACGTTGCAATCTGGTGGAGGAATGTGGTCAAATGAGAAATGAAGAAAGACCAAAATAGAGATATTTGCCCATCCAAAGTTAACAGTCATCATCTCTCAGCCTCACTTTCCCATCTGTAAAATCAAAATACAACAATATAGCCTAAAGCTTGTGAAGAGGACCCCAAAGAGACAAGGAATGTCAGACTTCTATTTCTTAAATGACACCCACCTCCAGCAACACAGTGGTTTGTTTAGTCAAGCTGGTTGCCCTGAGCGTGCTGGATTCTGACCTGTAAAAGTCAATTTATAAATATACGGTGCAAACCATGTGTGGGAACAGACCTGATCTCTCTCACACACATCAGAATTTAGCTTCAGTGAAAGCAAGTGAGTTTTCAAGCATGCAGTTGCTATAGAATACTCCTGGCTTTAAGCAGAGTTCAGATGCGTTATATCCTCTTTCTAAGAAAATGAGTTGCGATTATCTCTTTATATCTCTTTAATTATAGAATTGCACTTGCCCCAATGCTTTTATAATAGTACAGATCATTGTTGTGGCAACTTGCTTTGGTTTATGAGAGGGAGATCGCCGATTGTTCATGCAACAAATATTTATTTTTCCCATCTAGCTTGTCACCTGGGCAGGTGTGACATGCGACTAGTTCGCCACGGTTATATGCCCTTTGTTATTAAATTATTTTAATAAAAATTGTCGTCTAGGGAAATCTTTGTAGCTGTAGGACATTCTGCTGCCTGCACTTTGATTGCAAAATTGTTGTTGTTGTTGTTGTTTTTATTATTATCATATTCTTCCCCACAGGGCTCAAAACCCCAAGATGACATCCGAATAACCATCCAGGTAACTATAGTGTAGCCTAGTTCACTAAACCCTCTAAGTGACAAAAATGATAACAGTTGTGTTTCTCGGTAATGTTCACTTAGCATCACAAAACCAATTAGCGTTTATATTTGAGATTAGAAATTTGCTTAACAAACGGTCTTGACTGTAATGCGTGCAGAATTTTATTCTAACATGGTGTTATATTGCATTTGAAAGATTTGTTTTACAATGGCTTCTATTTCTTCCCCCCCCCCCCCATTAGAGTGGACAACCTGGGCGAGTTTGTGATAAGGTAAGTGCTGTTTCTTTTTTTTTTTTTAAATGATATTTACTGAAAATTTTTAGAATTACAAAAGAGAACAAAGCAGAAAAAAAGAAAGAAAAAACAAAGAAAAAACAATACAAATTCAAAAAACAAAAATACACCACAAACACTCAAAAACAAATCCATCATTCTCAAATCCTCAACTGTCATTACCTTCTTTCTTTGACCTCCTCCTCCTCCCTTTTTTTGTATCCTAGTTATTAATTGTCGCAGCAAATCCTTTCCATATTTCATAATATTCTGTCATTACATTACCTTAATCTATTTTAATCTTATCTTACTATAAAGAACCTTAAAGCTTAAAACTTAAATCTTATTTTTACCAACTTCTCATAACCATAATATTCTTACATAATTCTTTAAACATTTTTGCTAAAGCCAAGTAATTTCGTTCCAACATTTTTCTAACATTCATCAATTTTATAAAACAATCCTAGTAGTAAAAAAAAGAAATAAAAACAATCCAGTCTTCATCCAGCGTCCCTTCCTCCTGGTCCCGGGTTTTGTCAGTCCTTATTATCCGGTAAGTGCTGTTTCACCTCTGAGTTGGATACTAACTAACGTTGGCCTTTCGTCCAAGAAATAAGTTTGGAAGGAAGACTACCTGAATGACCAATAATGGATCAAACTTCCAATAACTGCTTTAAGGACCAAGCATTTAGAAAACAAAGCAAAGCAAAACAAAACAAAACAAAAAACAAAACACATGTGTCTGCAGTTGTATATCAGTACTGAGGAAATTCCACAAAAATGTAAATTATTACAGATAGTAATCTGTACTATGCATAAACTCCCCAGCTCCTAACTATTTCACTATTTATTTTTCCAAAGTGATGTTTTGTTTGGTCTTTAAGTAACCCTACAACAATCAGATAATTTTTAACAGATGCGGAAATTTTCTGCAAGTTAGCATATTAGTTGTGTTAATTCAGGAAGTAATTTCTTTCTTTTTCTACTTCACAGACCTCATCCTCCTACAACAGCCAAGCCTGTAAAATGGTAAACACATTCATATGGCTGCAGCTTGATTTCTGCTCTTTGAGAGATCTGTCTGTTAAAACACACATAGCTCTGTGAGCTTACCCTGGGTAGCAGTGTTCCTCTTGCCTACTTGGATATTTGATAATGGGGGGTGGGGGGAGTCATTAAGAGGTTCTAAGCATGCTAGCAGGGGACACAGATGGCGCTGTAGGTTAAACCATAGCTCTCTAGGCTCCTGTTATAGGAAGAGAAAGGCCAGTTTTTTCAGGATAATTGTGGGTGACAAGCTTTCTGGGAGGCCCGCAGGTGGCGCTGTGAGTTAAACCACAGAGCCTAGGACTTGCTGATCAGAAGGTCGGCGGTTCGCATCCCCGCGATGGGCTGAGCTCCCGTTGCTCGGTCCCTGCTCCTGCCAACCTAGCAGTTTGAAAGCACGTCAAAGTGCAAGTAGATAAATAGGTACCGCTCCGGTGGGAAGGTAAATGGCGTTTCCATGCGCTGCCCTGGTTCGCCAGAAGCGGCTTAGTCATGCTGGCCACATGACCCGGAAGCTGTACGCCGGCTCCCTCGGCCAATAAAGCGAGATGAGCGCTGGAACCCCAGAGTCGTCCGCGACTGGACCTAATGGTCAGGGGTCCCTTTACCTTTACCTTTAATCATGCTAGCAAAGAGATTTAGCATACATGGAGCAAAGCTTTTGCCAAAGCATTTAAGGCCTTGAGACCAGTTCCAAGGCAACAAATACAGCAATGAAAGGAGAGCACGATCAGAATGTGAGATCGCAGGTCACAGTACATGATATGGCTGCGTCGTGTATTAGCCTGTACCATTATATGTGAAATTACAACTCTTCTGACAATGAATGAAATTGCTATTCAAATGTTTTTATGTTAATAGCCACCCAAACTGGCTGGGGCAACCTAGTCAGATGAGTGGGGTACAAATAAATTAATAATAATAATAATGGTCAGGTAGGAATCTTCTGCTTGTCTAGAGCTTTTAGCACAGGTCTAGGGGATCTTGGGTCCTCCAGCTGTTGCTGAACTACAACTCCCATCATTCTGGGCCATTCTGCAACTGATGGGAGTTGTAGTCCAACAACATCTGGAGGGCCGACGGTTCCCAAACCTGCTCTAGTATTTCCAATAAGGGTTTGACAGATTAAATTATTTCCAGCCTGTGTCACTTTTCACCCAATTCCTGTATAACTCTGTGATTATTATTTTTTTAACTGCACGAAGACATTCCACAAACTTTTTAAAAAAAGTTAGCATGGAAATCCACATTTTTTGTATGCATTTAAAAAAAATTTAAAAAACAAAATTAGAAGGAAGGGGGGCGGGAAGCAAAGTCAGGCACCAGTTCTTAAAGTTAAGAGTTGTTTTGAAGGCCAGGCGGGATGGAAACAGGAGGAGAAGCAATATTAAGATGGTTTCGTAGCAGAGCTGGTGGAATGGTCCTGCTTCCCTTCTTCTGCTCTGTGGACTAATGGAATGGTTGCTTCTAGTAGATCACAGTTGAGAAAGAGCCAAAGGCAGCCAGTGGAAAACCCTACTTCCTTTCTTCCTCTCTCTGCTGCAGCTGTTGAAGCATTGCCTGCCATTTTTTCCACACAGCGAGGTGACCAAAATATCTGTTTTGTGTTGTTGTTTTTTACAGAGTATACAGTCACAGGGAGGCAGTTCCTACGGCTCTAAGGTAAATACAGTGGCACCTCGGGTTACAGACGCTTCAGGTTACAGACGCTTCAGGTTACAGACTCCACTAACCCAGAAATAGTACCTCGGGTTAAGAACTTTGCTTCAGGATGAGAACAGAAATCGTGCTCCGGCGGCAGCGGGAGGCCCCATTAGCTAAAGTGGTACCTCAGGTTAAGAACAGTTTCAGGTTAAGAACGGACCTCCAGAACGAATTAAGTTCTTAACCTGAGGTACCACTGTAGCCGTGTATAATTCCTACTGGTTTCACTAGGAGTTCTTAGAAGATTGTTATTTTAGTGGTCTAGAAGAACTGCTGCTGGATAGTTCCTACAGCCATGCTGCTCTGGTAATGTCAGAAACCCAAACGCACCTGGGAGGGACCCACAATGATGCAGTTCATCCTTCCCATGCAAGTTTTGTCCCAGTTTATGGGAGGGGCAGAGCAGGCATGGGAAGGAGCTCTTTGTGCAATCCTCCCATGTTCCCTCATCACAGAAATCTTCTGCACAAGATTTCCACCCATGCATGCATGCACGGTTCTTGGGATACGTCCACAGAACTTTCTTTTAAAAGAACCATTCTTTGCGCCAACTGAGTTCTTGACAGCAAGTTGTGTGTGCTCCCTGCAAACGGTTCATAAGTGCGATTTTATTTTGATTATTTAAGCCAGTCATATATTGCTCAATTACCTAAGTTTTTAAAGAGGGATTTGCACCTGCAGTTGCATCAGTGAGAGAAACCCTTTTTGCAGCACATCCAACTAGAGAAATGGTTTAAATATTATGTGTTCGTATAGTTTTAACCCACCCTGGGACCTTATGGTGAAGGGTGGGTAAGAAATCAATAATAATTAGAATAACAACACATTTTAAATGCAGAAATCGGTTGTCTTGAGTCCCTGCCTGGATCAGAGCAAAAATAGCCAACATTAAGTGCACATTCATAATGTTTTCTGAACGCAATAATTTCATGACACACTCTGGTTTCCCAAAACATTTCCTGTAGTCTTAAAATACAAAGCAAATATTATTTGCTTAATTATTCCTGTAGCCTTAAAATATGGAGGAAATGCTCTCTTTAGCAGTTGGAAATTACCCCCCTTGCCTTATAATTTCCATGGCCATACCTTTTGTAAATCTTTATTTATTAATTCATTCAGATTTATAATTTGCCCTTCCTCCCCAAAGGGTGTGAAGAGCAGCTCAGAATAATAATGTTACTTAAAAACCAATTCAATGCAGCTCTGTAACACACTACAGGCAGCATTTAAAACCAGCAGCGTAAAAATACTCATAAAAATTTGGCCAGAGCCTGGATAAATAAGGGAAGTTTTACATGGGTTTTATTGAATGCAGGTAAAAGGGGGACCTGCCTGATTTCCTTTGGGAGACTGCTGCATAGGTGGGGTGTCGACACTGGGAATGATCCATCTTCATGCTATTCCTATTGATTTACCTCAGAAAGGGTCCCTCCCCAAGATAACAGATTTCAGGTTGAAAAGTACAGGTGATGGTGTTCTTTAATGTTGACAAGGTTCTTTGTGTGTATGGGCTTTAGCTGAGTGGATCCTCTACTTCGGTTGGTGGCAGTGGAGTCTCTGTGACATTCGGCGGCAGTGGATCTCCCGGCTCAGTTGGTGGCGGCAGATACCCTAATTCAGCTGGCAGCAGTGGATCCTCGTCTTCAGTTGGCAACAGCGGGGTCTCTATTACTTTTGGAGGCAGTGGATCTCCTGGTTCTGTTGGCAGTGGATCCTCAAGTTCGGTTGTGAGCAGCGGATCCTCAAGTTCGGTTGTGAGCAGTGGATCCTCTTCTAAAGCTGGAGGTAGCATCTGCGGCCAGGTAAGAATTGCCACAAATGCGTGGCAGAAGAACTTGCCCAAATTGTGTCATATCTTGTAGTGTTAAAAAACGGTTTCATTGTCCCTAGTGTAAGCAGATGAAGAAAATTGAATAATACAAGCACTGGTTTAATTTGACTTTGTTTTCCCTTGACAAACACCTTTTTGTATCCATTCTGATTTATTGCATTGTGGGTGATGTTTCAAAATTAAAAATTCAGATTTCTATCATCATTTTTGCACCCTAAGTTGATAACGTTATCATCAGTTGCCAGCAGCTTAGCTTTCCGCTGGTTCATTTTGTAAACCACTTTCAGTTACAGGCAACTCTAAACTTATGCTGGGGTTACATTCTGGATATTGGGCCTAAATCATATTTAGTCAACACACATTGGGTTCAGTGGTGGGTGCGATTGCCAAAGTCTTTTTTTCCTGGACACCCATCCCATTCCCATCTCCTTAAAAAAACCCATTTTATTCTTTTGGCAAGCACGTAAAGCTGAATGTGCACAAGTTAAATGTGCATAAGTTGCAAGGTATTTGTATCTGAAAATAAAGCCCAAAATCAAGTGGAATATACCTTCTATGAAATAAGCCCGCTCACCTTTTCCAGTGGGCAGTGTTGCAACCAGGGATCTGGGACACTGCAGTGATCAGGTGTGAGGGCGGAGAGTTGGGTGGAGGGACCATGTTGTCCCGGCCGCGTTGCCGGCCTTGGGTGAGGCCACGCCTAGTGTGGCCCCACTGGCCAATCAGTGCCAGTAGGGGGAGTGGCCACAGGAGATTTAACCACAGCATGGTCGGGGTCCCTCCTCTCTCGCCCTTTCGCCGGATCTTCCAATCCCATCCACCCTCTTTTCATGCTTTGCTCTGATATGACTTTGCTATGGACAAATGTTGGCCGCCATATTGTTGGTGCTGGGTACTTTGCAAATTGGTACAAGCCATTTGGTTTTCGCCTACCTTGCAGCAATCGTCACAACTTTGTGAGGTTAGGCATTGGGCGGGTGGCGCTGTGGGTTAAACCACAGAGCCTAGGACTTGCCAATCAGAAGGTCAGCGGTTCGAATCCCCACAACAGGGTGAGCTCCTGTTGCTTGGTCTCTGCTCCTGCCAACCCAGCAGTTCGAAAGCACGTCAAAGTGCAAGTAGATAAATAGGTAGGAAGGTAGGAAGATAGGTAGGAAGATAAATAGGCAGGAAGGTAAACGGCGTTTGCGTGCACTGCTCTGGTTTGCCAGAAGCAGCTTAGTCCTGCTGGCCACATGACCCGTAAGCTGTACGCCGGCTCCCTTAGCCAATAAAGCGAGATGAGCGCCGCAACCCCAGAGTCAGCCATGACTGGACCTAATGGTCAGGGGTCCCTTTACCTTTACTTAAGCCTTTGTTTGGATTGAGGGGATGTTGTAGACTCCACCTGCCCCTCCTCATTAAGGGTATCCTATTAAAGGGATCTGGAGGTGTGGATTCTGTCTAATGCCCAGATGTGGGCTAGGGCCATGCCACGACCTCAGTGAGGACCACTTGCGGTGCCCCTATTTGATGTAAGTCACAGGGCTCCCCCTATTGGTGGTTTACCCTTAGATGGACTCCCTGTAGGGCAGGAGTCAAAATATAGTCTGGCTTTTCCCAATGCATAAGCCAAACCGCTCACATCTGTAACCATTAAAGTTGTGGCCTATTTGAACCCATAAACCTAAATACTTGTGTCCATTTGTTTTTTATCCACTAGGGAACGGAGCCTTGGCATGCAAATAAATACTGGTTGACGAATCCATAGCAACTGTAAAAGGCATAGCTGATTTCTCTGTGCAGACCGTATTTGTCTGTCTATTAAGTCTTTGTCAGCTTGATAATTAATGCCCAGTTAGTAGTTTAATTAATTGACACAATCTCTTCTCGACCAATGGAGTCAAAGATCGAAATAAATGGAGGATGATTAATATTAATGTTCATAATTTTCTCTTAGGGCTATACAACTGACGGCAATCCTTGCAAACCGGTAAGATTCCTCTGCTCTGAATTCTTTGAAGGCTTGTGTCCAGCATGGATCTTAATATCGTGAAATCTTTTCCCTGACTCAGCAGCTGTAATTTTGTATTGGGATTTAGTCTCCTGGTCTTGCTTCTCACCTGCTAATTTGGTCCCCATATTTAAAAAGGGTGGTACAGAGAGAAATACCACATTAATGTACTTGGGACCCCCACAGTGGGGGAAGCCAGCACCCCACCCTACTGTACCGAAAGTAGTGTAGACACAGGTCCACACTTAACAAAATTAATGTTTTTATTAATTATTTCTCCCACAGGGTGGATCAACATCTCAGCAAAGTTCTGGAAGTATCCAGGTAAAGGATTCCTACTGAAAATATTCCCTCATGTGGCATTTTTAATGGTTCTAATTTATCATAAATTTCTATATTAGTCTTTGTTGTTTGCCTCCTAGTTGCGTAACGATATAGCGTAATGTGGCTATATACAGGATACAGTCCTCGTTTATTCCCTTTGCAAATGTTTCATATTTTTGTTGGTGTTAAAGGTGCCAATCTTTTTTTTTTATATTCTGACAATATACAGTGTTTTAAATTATCTGCTTTTCAGGGTGGATCATCATCCCAGCAAACTTATGGAAGTTCCCAGGTAAAGCGGCTCTTCATTTCCCTGCGTTTTAACTCATTTTGCTAAAAAAATTAAATACTGCATCATTTGCCATTTCCCTGTTCCCAAGAAAACACTGGTTTTTGTTTTGTTTCCCTTGTAGGGTGGATCGTCGTCTCAACAATCTTACGGAAGTAGCCAGGTAGAACTGTTTTGAACCTTCCTATATTTTTATGGACTAAGTATTAGTATTATTAATAATAATACTGCATCATTTGGTATTTGAAAAGCTCCCAGTTCGCGAGAAAATACTGTTTTTGTTCCTTCTTTCCCTTGTAGGGGGGATCATCATCCCAACAAACTTACGGGAGTAGCCAGGTACAGCTGCTTTTAACTTAATAATAATAATAGTAATAATAAATATTGTACCATCTGGTATTTGAAAAGGTCCACTTTCACAAGTAAAGACTGTTTTTCCTCCTCCTTTCCCTTGCAGGGCGGCTCATCCCAGCAAACTGGAAGCAAACAGGTAAATTGCATATTGTATATCCCCCATTAGCATTATGGTCTAGCACACATTTGGGTCACCTGTGGGCCTTTAAGTTGGACTACAAGTCTAAACTGGACTGCATTGCTGATTATAGGCTGCGCTGTCTGAGGCTGATGGGAGTTGGAGTCCAATGGGCACAGGTTCCCCATCCCTAAACACGAAGAGCCTAGGACCCAGTTCTACATAGCTGCTGCTCCCTGTACAAAAGCCGATAACAATGCAAAAGTCCACATTTGTATGGTTTATGCTTGCACAGACCATGATGGGTCCATGTAACAGTTTCCAGCGCTCTACCTCCTGGAAGGAGAGTACACATTCTCACGCACATCACGACTGATTGTTTCAATTAATATTTGGAGAGTACAGTGGTACCTCGGGTTACATACGCTTCAGGTTACATACTCCGCTAACCCAGAAATAGTACCTCAGGTTAAGAACTTTGCTTCAGGATGAGAACAGAAATCGTGCTCCAGCGGCACAGTGGCAGCGGGAGGCCCCATTAGTTGAAGTGGTGCTTCAGGTTAAGAACAGTTTCAGGTTAAGTACGGACCTCCGGAACGAATTAAGTACTTAACCCGAGGTACCACTATACCAACTTATTTCCAACTGGAAAATCATTTCACTTCTCTTTTAGCAGTACTGGGAAAGAACCTTTGGACCATGGGCTTTATTTGGCCCACCAGGTCTCTTCAAATGGCGCCTGAGGCCATTTTTTAAGGAAAATTCCTCCCCCTGCCAATCACGTGATGTCATTTCCTGCTCCCACCCTCATTTTCTTCCACTTTGGGCCCTTGGTCCAGAGTTTACCCAGCCCTAATTATATTCTTTCCTAGACTGAATGTACCTTGATTTATGGAATATATACATATATATCTTGAAAGGAAGTAACTGTTGTTTTTTCCTCCCTTCCAACTTTCCACAGGGTGGTTCATATTCCCAAGGAGGCAACTATAATCCTTGTGGACTGGTAAGTCCCTTTCTCGTTGTTTGTTAACTTAGTTTAATATATTTGGCTATAAAGTGCCAACTTCCCTGCTGGCTTTTGAAGTTGGATCTTTAACTGATAGCATATTATGCATTAAGCAACAGTTTAAATAAACCAGAGTGCCTTAAAAATGTATTATTTTTTCCCTTCCAGGATGGTTATACCGGTAAAATAACCAGCAGTAGCAACTGTCCACAGGTAAAATTTCTATGTCTTCTATGATCTTACACTAACAGGTGAAACCACAAGCAAGGTGTCTGTGGATGGGAGTGTGCTATTGTTGTTGTTTAGTCATTTAGTCGTGTCCGACTCTTCATGACCCCATGGACTAGAGCACGCCAGGCTATATCTACACCAAATGTCCACAGTTAAGCATTTTCAGTGAGAAAAGCAGGGAGTTTCTGCTCTCGAATGCCCCATTTCAAGAGTTACTCAGTCCCTTTTTCCTTAATATGGGACCTCTTCCTAACTATGTGACGCCAGGCAATCCCTGGCACCTTTTGAAGACTTTTCTAAGCAAACAAAATATGCATAGGCAAACACAATTGCCCTCGCTCCACATAATTCACTTCTACTGAAAGCTTATCCAGTACAGTCGTACCTTGGTTTTCTTTTCTTTTTTATTTATTGATATTTATTAAAATTTCAAAGGATACAAAAGTTACACAGAAACAAAAAATACAAAAAGTAAAAATACAAAAAAATAGAAAATACAGAAAAAAGAATAAAGAACAAAAATAAAACAGGTTCATTATTTTCAGACCCTTGACTGTCATTACCTACTTTCGTAGACCTCCTCCTCCTCCCTTCCTTCGTATTCTAGTTATTACTTATCCCAGCAAATCCTTTCCTTTCCATGTTTCATAAGATTCTATCGTTACATTACCCTCGACTAATTTAATCCTATCTTTCTATAATAAAATAAACCTTGAAATTTAAAACTTAAGTCTTAACCTTACCAGCTTCTTATAATCATATTATTCTTTCATAATTCTTTATGCATCTTTACTAAAGCCAGGTAATTTCTTCCAACATTTTTCTATCATTCATCAACTTTATAAAACATTCTGATAATAAAAAAAGAGTAAAAGAATGATATAGACAAGTCCAATCTTTATCCAACGTCCCTTCCTCCTGGTTCCGGGATTTGTCAGTCCTTATCAGTCGTACCTTGGTTTTCAAACAGCTTAGTTCTTGAACGTTTTGGCTCCCGAACGCTGCAAACCCGGAAGTGACTGTTCCGGTTTGTGAACTGTTTTTGGAAGCCGAACATCTGACGGGGCTTCCACAGCTTCCGATTGGCTGCAGGAGCTTCCTGCAGCCAATCAGAAGCCGCAGTTTGGCTTCCGAATGTTTTGGAAGTTGAATGGACATCCGGAACAGATTCTGTTCGACTTCCAAGGTACGACTGTACTGCCATCTGGCTCCATGCAGGAATTGTAGGAATGTGCACTTTCAGAAGCACCTGTGTGTCATTTAGTGGGTCTAAGCAGGAATAGTTGCTAATGTAATATTTTGAATACTTCAAAGTAATGCGTGTTTTCTCCATAGCGCGGACAAAGTGGATCATATAGCGGTGGCGGCGGCAGCAGCAGCAGCCAATATGGACAGGTAAAAGCTTTCGATGTGTAATAAAACTGATGGATTTCCTAAAAAGTTTTATTCCGTTTCTGCTTCTAAATATAGAAAGTAACTTAGTGCAGAGGTTTTAAAGTGGCCACCAAATCTGTTTTGCAATTATTATTATTATTATTTGTATAGGTTGGCTCATATGGCAGCAGCAACAGCCAATACGGACAGTAAAAATACCTTTTTCATATATAGCATATATAATATGTGCAATATATGGGAGTCATAGTATACAAGCAAGGCTTTTAAGCTCTCCGCCCTGCTTTCCAGGCTCTGGGATTCTCTCGTGGGACTGTCCAAGTTTCCCTGAGATCTCGCAAGAGCATCCCAGAGCCTGATAAGTAAGGAAGAGAGATTAAAAGTTATTTCTGCGCCAGGAAAGCACAGTGCAAAAAGAGCTTTTAAGCTTCTCACCTTCCATGCATTTAATCTGTGGTTTCAGCCAGCCGGCCTTCAACAGCGCAAGGTTAAATTTAAACAAGTTAAATGTGTGTAAGACAAAATTGTACTGTATGCCAGATGTGAGGAGTCTTTTTCATCCTGAGGGCCGCAGTCACTTCTGGGCAGCCTACCGAGGGCCACATGCCAGTACGCAGAGATATAAAAAATAAAATAGAAAGTAGTTTGGTGCAGATATGTTAAAGTAATCCTTTGGTAGTAATACATGTTTTCTATGCAGAGTGGATCATACGGTGGTGGCAGCAACCAATTTGGACAGGTAAAACCACTTCTAATATACAGTTTATAGTTTATTTAATATATGTGCTAGTAATAGTATACTCTAGGTGTAGGGGACATTTTTCAGCCTCAGGGCCACATTCTCATCTGGGGAGCATTCTGAGGGCCACATGATATCCCAGAGATATGGGAAGTAAAAGTAAAAATGAAATAGAAATAATAATAATAATAATAATAATAATTTAATTAATAAATAATTTTAGTATTTATACCCAGCCCATCCTGCTGGGTTTTCCCAGCCACACTGGGCAACTTCCAATACATATAAAAACATAATAAAGCGTCAAACATTAAAACCTACCTGATACAGGGTTGCCTTCAGGTGTATTCTAAAAGTTGTGTAGTTTGTTATCTCCTTGACATCTGATGGGAGGGTGTTCCACAGGGACGGTGCCACTGCCGAGAAGGCCCTCTGCCTGGTTCACTGTAACTTCGCTTCTCACACTGAGGGAACTGCCAGAAGGCCCTCGGAGGAGGACCTCAGTGTCCAGGCTGGGGGGTGGGGGTGGAGATGCTCCTTCGGGCATACTGGACTGAGGCTGTTTAGGGCTTTAAAGGTCAGCACCAACACTTTGAATTGCGCTCGGAAATGTACTGGGAGCCAATGTAGATGTTTTAGGACTGGTGTTACAGTATATGGTCCTGGTGGTCACTCCCAGTCACCAGTCTAGCTGCCACATTCTGGATTAGTTGTAGTTTCTGAGTCACCTTCAAAGGTAGCCCCACGTAGAGCGTATTGCAGTGGTCCAAGCAGGAGATTACCAAATCATGCACCATGCACCCGTCAAACAGTCTGAGGGCAAGTGGGGTCTCAGTCAGCGTACCAGATGGAGCTGGTAGACAGCTGCCCTGGCAACAGAATTGACTTTTTCCTCCATGGACTTCTATATTCCTAATGAGCTTGTGACTGCAGGGTTGCAGGTCCAGGCCCAGAAAGTAGCTTTGTGCAGATATATTAAATTAATCCTTCTGTAACAAATGTTTTCTCTGCAGAGTGGATCGTATGGTGGTGGCAGCAACCAATACGGACAGGTAAAATTTAAACCAATACGGACAGGTAAAATTTAAAATAATAGAGAAAATAGTTTGGTGCGGATATATTAAAGTAACCCTTCTGTAATAAATGTTTTCTCTGCAGAGTGGATCGTACGGTGGTGGCAGCAACCAATACGGACAGGTAAAAACACTTTTAATAGACAGTTGAGTATATAATAGATATGCTAGTAATAGACAGTCTACTCTAGATGTGGGGAAACGTTTTCAGCCCCGGGGCCACATTCTCATCTGGGAAGCCTTCTGAGGGCCACACGCCAACACACAGAGATTTAGGAAATAAAAGTAAAAATAATATAGAAAGTATCTTTGTGCAGATATCTTAAAGTAATCCTTCTGTAACGAATGTTTTCTCTGCAGAGTGGCTCATACGGCAGTGGCAACAAATTTGGACAGGTAAAAATACTTTTAATAGCATATCCTAGTTGTGGGGAATCCTTTTCAGTCTTGAGGGCCGCCTTCCCTTCTGGGCAACCTTCCAAGGGCCATATGCCAGGTGTCATGGATTTGATGAACACAGAGGAATAGTGGGAGGAACTAGCCGGGGAACCCCCAAGTCTGGGGATTGGTGGTGGGATGACGAAGAGTAGTCAGTGGGAGAAGACTGGGAGGAGGAGGTGTCAGAAGATGAGGAGGTAACAGGATTTAGTGAGCAGGGAGAGGCTGTGGTAGAAGGAAGTTCAGAAGTAGGAGCGGAAGCAGGAGAGGAGGGAAGCCAAGAGGTAGAGATGAGTCCGGCTGGTGAAGAGGCATGGGTGTCTCCCTCTCCTGCTGCGACAAGCTCCTGTCCCTCTGAACCAGAAGAGGCATGAAAAGGGCAGAGGAGAGGTTTGCTCCATGTAGGCACAGTCTCAGATTGCTTGGGGAAAGCCTTGGAGGGGATGGTACTTAGATGGCTATGGAGAGGCAGGGACCTTCAGTCTTGGCAGACCACTGGGAATGAGCTGCTCTGCTCATTAGCCCTGACACTCAACCGAGTCTGTGGAGGTTGTGCTTTAGCTAATAAAGAGTTAACGCCATCTTTGAAGGGTGTGGTATTGACTGGCAGGCTCTGGTGAAACCAGCAGACAGAGATATAGGAAATAAAATTTAAAATAATAGAGAAAGCAGTTTGGTGCGGATATATTAAAGTAACCCTTCTATAATAAATGTTTTCTCTGCAGAGTGGATCATACGGTGGTGGCAGCAACCAATACGGACAGGTAAAAGCACTTTTAATAGACGGTTTATAGAGTATATAATATATATGCTAGTAATAGACAGTCTACTCTAGATGTGGGGGAACTTTTTCAGCCCGGGGTCCACATTCTCATCTGGGAAGCCTTCTGAGGGCCACACGCCAACACACACAGAGAGAGGAAATAAAACTAAAAATAATATAGAAAGTATCTGTGCAGAAATATTAAAGTAATCCTTCTGTAATGAATGTTTTCTCTACAGGGTGGCTCATATGGCAGTGGCAACAAATTTGGACAGGTAAAAAGACTTTTAATAAACAGCATATCCTAGTTGTGGGGAACCTTTTTCAGTCTTGAGGGCCACCTTCCCTTCTGGGCAACCTTCTGAGGGCCATATGCCAGATGTCATGGATTTGTTGGACACAGAGGAATGGTGGGAGGAACTAGCCGGGGAACCCCCAAGGGAAGAAGACTCAGAGCCTTTAATATGCAGGTTAAAGAGTATATATGTGCTAGTAATAGACAGTATACGCCAGGTGTGGGGAACCTTTTGCATCATGAGGCCATAAAAAGTGGATTATTTAAAATGTTCCATCTATGCTAACTTTCGTCTTCTCCACTTTCTGTTTAACAATATTTATTTTAAGTCAAGGTGTCAGAAATCATTCATTTCTTTTCCCCACGAAAAGTCCGAGATTGTTATTATTGATAAATGCCAACCATATTATTTCTTTTGACTTTACCTCCCTTAATTCCCACTACCATTACTCCATATTGAGTAAATTCTTCTGTCCATGTCCATTTAAAAATCTCTCCACTGTGATCACATATTGGGCTAATATTCCCTATTTTTTTTCTTATTATATATCCTTTAGTTCATGCCCATTTCCATATGTTCAAATTCCACTCCCTGTTGTATTTCCATTTCTTGTTGTGTTTATGATAGTATCCTGATCTCCTCCTTTAGGACCTTCTATTTTTTATTTTTCCAGCCTTAGAAACAATATATAGAAAGTAGGCTTGTGCATATATATTAAAGTAATCCTTCTAAAATAAACGTTTTCTCTGCAGAGTGGCTCATATGGCAGCAGCAACCAATTTGGACAGGTAAAAACACTTGTAATATACCGTTTATGGAATATATAATATACGTGCTAGTAATAAACAGTATATACCAGGTGGGGGGTGGGGGCTTTTTCAGCCTGAGAACCGCATTTCCTTCTGAGCAGTCTTCTGAGGGCCACACGCCAGCACACACAAACATAGAAAATAAAATAAGAGTGAGATAGGAAGTAACTGTGCAGATATATTCAAGTAACCCTCTTGCAATAAATGTTTTCTGTACAGGGTGGGTCATACGGTGGCGGCAGCAGCCAATTTGGACAGGTAATTTATCTATCTATCTATCTGTCTATCTATCTATCTATCTATCTATATCTCCATAAGATTTTTATTTTTTTTAACCTGCTTCTGAATATAGAAAGTACAGTCATACCTCGGGTTGAATGTGCTTCAGGTTGAATGCTTTCGGGTTGTGCTCCGCGGCAACCCAGAGGTAACGGAGAGTGTTACTTCTGGGTTTCGCTGCTCGTGCATGCACAGACGCTCAAAATGGCGTCACACGCATGCGCGGAAGCGGCAAAACGCGACCTACGAAGACGCGCTGTCGCGTCTTACGTTCTATTCAGGATGCAAACGGGGCTCCGGAACGGATCCCGTTCGCATCCCGAGGTACCACTGTAGCTTAGATTGTGTACACAGCATAAATGTGGGGTGCTGTTTCACCCCATAGAAGACATCCATTCACTTTGAATGCTGGTTGGAGAACAGGACTCTGTGTCTGTCTGTGGTCTTTCATTGTGTGTGACTGTGTTTTATATCTGTCTACACACACACACACACACACACACACACACACAGGGTTATAGTTCGCATCAAACACTACTGTGGGGTTCTTAGGCTGTGTACCCACCATACATTTAAAGCACACACACGCCTCGATAATTCTGGGAGTTTCACAGACCTGCAACTCCCAGCTCCCTTAACAAACGACATCTCCAAGGACTGTGGTGGTGAGGGTGAATGTGTGGTGTGTACAGACTCATAGGCTGTAGGTTTTAAAGGTGGGGTAGACAGAGAAACAAAGATGGACCAACCAGCTCATCTAGTGCCCTGGCAGGTTGTGCGAAAGCAGAACTATGCCAATGCCCTCCTCCTCTGCCCTATTCTCATTTGCCTGTTTTAATTTACTGATTTCCAGTTACAATTCAGCAGATTACATAGCTCTGCAAGGGCAGAAATACAGTTGTGGGCTGGCATCGTCCCTTCCCTGGTTTGCGGGGGGAGGCATGTCAGGGAACGAGCAAAGGTTTAGGATTATCGGAATCCATGACTGTAAGATGCATTTAAGGATGGTGACCCAGACCAAGTTATTTAGAGTAAGGTTACCAGACGTCCCGGTTTCCCGGGGACAGTCCCTGGATTTACAAATCAGTCCCCGACAAAATCAATCTATTTAGTAGGAAATATTTAGGAAATAGTAGGAAATATTTACAGGGATGCGGGTGGCGCTGTGGGTTAAACCACAGAGCCTAGGACTTGCCGATCAGAAGGTCGGCGGTTCGAATCCCCATGACGGGGTGAGCTCCCGTTGCTCGGTCCCTGCTCCTGCCAACCTAGCAGTTCGGAAGCACGTCAAAGTGCAAGTAGATAAATAGGTACCGCTCCGGCAGGAAGGTAAACGGCGTTTCCGTGCACTGCTCTGTTTCGCCAGAAGCAGCTTAGTCATGCTGGCCACATGACCCGGAAGCTGTACGTCAGCTCCCTCGGCCAATAAAGCGAGATGAGCGCCGCAACCCCAGAGTCAGTCACGACTGGACCTAATGGTCAGGGGTCCCTTTACCTTTACCTATAACCCACCTTAAGCATGAGAAAAGTCCACCAGAAATCTATGGGATGTAGCCAACTAAAGTAGGCCCGGTGAAATCAATGGGCCTACCAGTAAATGAATCCTAATCCATTCATGTCAGTGGTTCTAATCTGGGTAGTATCCAACCATGGTCATACTCAATCTCTTCAGTTGCCTTGAGGCTCAGTTCCTAGAACTCCTGAGCTTTTTTGCTCCGGACTGGAACACATGAAACACAGACTGGGTGCTTTCTCCTGATCTGTTCTTGGCATGCTCCCTTTCTCCTCTGCCATTATGGCAGTTCTGACCTAACATCAATGAGGTTAGGGCTATGAAGATAACCATGGTTCTGGGCAGGGGACCTGGGGTGAGATCTTCCTCTCCAAGTGTAGATCTCGCTCTCTTTCTCCGTCCTCAGAGAGGGAGATCCACTCTATCCTAGTGCCTCTTCCAGAGACCATATTATTGCAGGGCTGATGCAGATGTATTTAACCAAGCTGGTATCTCAGCAGAAAAATCTGTTTTTTAAAAAATAACAATAATAATAAACTGTATCCTCTGCAGGGTGGAACATACGGCAGTAGCAGCAGCAGCAGCAGCAGTACCCAATATGGAAAGGTAAAAACACTTTAAAAATACACATGATATAGGGCTTGGTCACTCACTCAATCAATCTAATCTTTTGTCAACCATCCATTACAGAGAGACCAAAATATGAAATAATAACAAAGTTCAGCCTCTGTAGAACCAGTTAATAAATATCAAAGCTGACAGGTTAGGAAATAACAAACATAACAGGTCTAAGAGATATTGCAACCTTCAGATATATTTCCCCCCGGTCGGTAATAAATTTATTGAACACCTCAATAAAGACACTCAAAAGGGTCTCTAAAGATCAAATGATTTCTTTCTTTCTTTAACGCTTTGTATATATATATATCCCTTGACACTTGAGATGTCTATTTTCAGAGCCCACCTTATTTAAGTTGTTTTACACACTGTTTTCAATACTGTGTTTTCATATTGATGTTTTTTTAATTGTTGTAAACATCCCTGGGGCCTTAGGGTGAAGGGTGGATAATTAATAATACCAATAATACTTGCTAATGCGCAAAGTATACACAGAGATCCAGAAAATAAAATGCAAATAAGTATCTCTGCTTATTTCTGCTCCCGAATAGAGGAAGTAGCTTTGTGCAGATAGGTTAAGCTAATCCTTTGTTAAATAAGATGTATTTTTTTCTGTACAGGGTGGATCATTTGGTGGTGGCAGCAGTCAGTATGGACAGGTAAAACATTGTTTTAATATTATAGCATATGTGCAGATTATTCCATGGAGAGATGGGGATATCAAGCCTATACTTAGGCTGGATGTTGGAACTAAAGATACACTTCTGCTTTGCCAAGGAAAAAGGCATGCTCAGCCCTGAAGGGCAGGAAAAATATACACAAGCAGAAGATGCAAAGAAGTCATAAAAAACCAACAGATGCCCACAGTCTTCCAGTAAATACTGCCGGTGCCCCATCAGTTCAGGAACTGGGCTGGTGATGACAATCTACATGTACCCAAACATGGAGGGATGCACATCACACACACAACATGCAAGACATGGGACAGTGCCCCCCCTCCATCTCCCCCAGTGACAGAGCCGGCAACAAACCTCTGGTGTTCCTTGGTATGCAGCCTTCAGTTCCAGGCTCCTTAACCCATGATATTTATGCAGTTTTTCTCATGGTAAATAATTGGGTTCCTTATTTTACTTTTTGGCAGGGATCGCAGACTGGTGGACGTTACGGCAATATCATTTGCGATCAGGTAAGAGTAGCCCTTCTGTGTTGCACCTTACACTTGGCATGTGATGTGCTGATTATCCCCAGGAGATAACATTTCACTTGTTTCTGAAATGAAATCCTAAAGGGATACTCTCACAGTTTTTCCCCCCTCAAAGTTTTTTTTTAAGCGTAGTCATCTTGCTCAGTTACCTTTTCTACTTTCCTGAACTCAACTCATTTAAAAAATAAATAAATCATAAGCATGAATATTATTTTGTCTGAAATCTTCTACTTCACATTCTTCAAACAGTCTTTTCGATATTATAAGGTGATACAACTGAAACTAGAATTTTTAAAAGCTGGTAGGACATTACATTTGTCTTGCAGTGCATTACATTTGCACAAAATGATTATACAGGATGGAATTAGTGCTTTTTTCCTGATTAATTTGCCGGGCTAAAGGAAAGGCAGGAGAAAATAAGACATTTGGCTGGGGAAAGCCATTTTCACAACTCTTTATGTTTCTAATATCTGTACTTCAACTTTTAAAACCTACATGGAATCTGATATAAAAATGGCTGTCTTCTGCTTTCTCTCACATTTTAACGAACAGCATCCCCTAGTGGCACATTTCAGATTGACAAACACTCCTAGGCCTGTTGATGATATACACATTTTTCACTTTTATACCTATATATCTTGGTGGTTTCCATCACAGAATCCTGTTTCATCAAAGTACTGACAGTTAACCACTAAAGCCCATTAAACCCTTAAAGAACTACAGTTCCTTAAAGTTCCCTGGAGGAGGGGATGCTAAACCATTTCAGTTAGTACTATTGATGCATTCCTAGCTTTGGGCGAGGGACACCTTATATTTAGATATCACAAATTAGTCTCTTGGTTCTGTTTTTCAAAATATATAACAATATACTATTTCCCCCTCTGCAGGGTGATGCCTCTACTTACGGAGGAAAAGCTGTGGTAAATATTTTTCATTTGCAATATTTTAAAATATCAGTTTAGGCGTTGCCTAAGTTGAATTAGGGGTCCACACATTATCCTTTGAATCGGAAGAATATGACTCTCAGATTTGAACCCTATAATCATCGCTCATGCTCAGGAACCTAAGACTTGACTAACAAATATTCTAGAGTAGGCAACTGTTACAGGCTGTTTCAAACTGCAGCCGGTGAAGGAAGTGATAATTCAAATCTTGATATGGCTGCACTACTAAATGGAACCTAATACCAGAAATTTTCTATAGCCTTCCAGGTATGAGAGAAAGCTGGCTGGCTTTCCTTATTATATCACGAGGCTGCTGCGCCATTTCTCACTATTGCACAGTTGTGGCACTAGCGATTTCCATTGATCTATTGCATTTGGACCATTGCACATTTTATATTGCCTCGGGGGCAGGGAATGTCAGGTACCTGGCTGGAGGGCTTAGTTCAGCTTCCACTTTCATGGGTCACAAATTGAATGGGCATTATTTTAGGATTTTTTTAAAAAAAAAACCTTTCTGTTTTCATTTCATTCCATGCCATTTATCTCGACAGAGCTCAGCAAACTGTAGAGGCAAAAGGGACGTAGCAGCTCAAGTAAGTACTCTTTGGTTTCCACATGCTGGATTTGCTCCAAATATGCTTCTAAAGAGCATATTTGTGCAAACAAAGCCACAGAGGGATTCGTTCGGCATCTGCTAACTTGGGTTTATGTTTTCCCCTTACAGGAGGCATTCACAGCTTTCATCAGAAAGATTCAGGAAAAAAGAGTAAGCATTACCCATTACCATAATCTCAGTTTTAACTCTTAAAAGAGTCAGCAGGATTGGATTTTATTGGCAGCACTGGCTCATATGCTCTTAAAATTGTATAAATATATGTAGCTGTATCAACAGGATGCAGGATTCTTTGCCAGCTTTGAGGTCAAGAGAATAAATGCTTTCAAAAACTGTTTCAGGAAGTAGATAACTGCACACAGGTTCATGTACATTAGCAGAGAGTTTTAGTCATACATTCTTGACCCTTTGTGTTGGGTCGTGGTGTGAGTGTGGTATTTGTAAACTGCCTGGTTCCAGCTACCCATGGTATTCTCTGTGGTGTTGTGTACCTAGGCACTTTTCCTAATGTGACATTATAATAATTTTTATTTGACTTGTATATTTGTCACCTCTGTATAGTCCAAGCCTTGGTCTGATGCCATTACTATATCTCTTGCAGGAAAACATGAACTTCTTGGATGAAGTTCATGTTTTCCTGCAAGAGATAGAGTAATGGCATCAGACCAGGGCAGTTTTAACTGGTCCTTGCTAGTTTTACCAAATGATAATAAAGCAGAACTTTCAGCCAAATAGAAAAGAAAAAAACAGTTATTCCATAATTTTATATTACTTCTCTCTCTCTCTCTCTCTCTCTCTCTCTCTCTCTCTCTCTCGTCTTTGATGTTGTATGTTTCATTTTTTATATGCAAATGTACATATTGTACAATATGCTCTTCCTGAGGATGTGCTCTGTAAGCAGAAAGACCTCACTAATAGATGGCGCCAACTTTATTATGGAGCCTGAACACTCATGGGTGAATTGGCCAGTTTGTGTGGCAAAATATATCAGTCTTTTGAGCTAGGTTAAGTTGAGAAAGAGAAATGCGGTGAGCTTCTTAACTGCAGAGATTTGAACCCAGCTCTTTCACATCTAGTGGAGGGAAGTCAACCTTCCCACTGCTGTTGATTCTCCCTTATAATGCACTGCAGACAAGAGTGTTGAGTGTGTTTCAAGGTGTATGCTAGGTTTATACAGAGTAATGCAGAGGCCCCGCAGGCCTACCTAAAACAATATTTTGTAAAATGCAGGTGTTCCTCAGTGGACAAGGTGATATGGAAAAGTTCCCTGAACATAGGAATGTTGAAGAGCACTGCTCTCAGATATAAGCATAAATGTTATCTAAAACTAATCTTTTCTTTCCTTACTTCCCAAGGCACTTCCTGTAATCAGAAAGGCACGGAGTGTGCAAAGCGCTCTCACCAGAAAGACTCGGAGTGAAAAAGTAAGCGCTACTTGTATATATCATAGAATTGTAGAGTTGGAAGGGATCACAAGGATCCTCTAGTCCAACCCCCTGCAATGCAGGAATCTTTTGGCCAACATGGGACTCAAACCCACAACCCTGAGAATGGAAGGGAAAGCTGTGGCATGTTTCCAACCCAGTGGTGTGTGTTGGCTTCCTCCCATTCTCCTTTGCACTATCTTTCAAATCCTTTTTGTTTGTTGTTTTAACGTTCAGCTCAGGGAGATTGTAGAGGTTGCTCTAGAAAGTCCCATCCCGTTCAATCTTCTCTGCCAATCCAAATATTTTTTTAAAAAATAGTTGGAAGATATGCTCCAGTACCGATTTCTTTCTATGCTCCTCCCACCCAGCCTGAATTACTGGAATAAAATGTTATGTTGAGAGCAGAACTCCTAATCGGCTTTGTCCTCCAACACTCATTCAGAGATGGGGAAGATCCAAGAAGAGCTTTTTCAAAATTTGATCCCTTGTTATATCTCTGCCCCTGCAACGGGGTGAGCTCCCGTTGCTCAGTCCCAGCTCCTGCCCACCTAGCAATTTGAAAGCACGTCAAAGTGCAAGTAGATAAATAGGTACCACTCCGGCGGGAAGGTAAACGGCGTTTCCATGCACTGGTCTGGTTCGCCAGAAGCGACTTAGTCATGCTGGCCAAATATCCTGGAAGCTGTACGCCGGCTCCCTCGGCCAATAAAGCGAGATGAGCACCGCAACCCCAGAGTCGGTCACGACTGGACCTAATGGTCAGGGGTCCCATTACCTTTACCTATATCTCTGCAGTTCTTTCTGAGCTTCAGGTGGCCCACATCATATTTTGCAAAGTGGCTGACCAAACTCTTAGTATGGTACAGAATAGTTTGCTTGATGTTCGTTCAGATAAAAGCAAGACCTTAAAACTTTCCCTTGTCTCTCTCTCTGCAGGCTCGCGCTCTGATCAGAGCAGCTCGGAGTGAAAAAGTAAGAACTGCCTGACACCATTTTCTTCATTTTGACTCTTCAGCGCCTGTTGTATTTGCTAGTGCCAAAATTAACTGTTTGTACTGTAGAGGTGTTAAAATAAAGTGCAGGAAATAGCTTTTAACTTAGAAGCTAACACAACGCTTGCGCCTAGCAAGAGGCAGGAAGAAGCAAGACTCTCTCGCTGCAGACTGGTGGAGCGTTATAACATTTACAAATCAAGAAGGAACAGGTTGACCTGTACCTGTGGTATTTTGGAACATGTGGCTGGTCTAACTAATCCCTATCTCTGAACTTACCTTTTTACATGATGTAATCTTTCTCTGATAACACTCAGCTTTCTCCTGTGTTTTCATGCTGCCACCCGCAAAAGACATATTTAGGTTTATGTTTCAATTTTTGTGTTATATGTGTGTTACTGTACTCAGTGGAATAATCTCAATAAACAAATTACAAATAAAATAAAAGAAGAAGTGTTGTTTGGGCTGCGTGAGGAGAGCTAAACGCAGCCCTACGGTGTAGTTAATGGAAGAATTTCAGTCAGGTCTTCGTCAAACAAAGCCTTATTGACTCAGCACTGCCTACTTAAAACCTACATACATATAATTGTCCACTGAGCTGCTATTTGCAGCAGAGTGGAGGGGAGCTTTCCCCCCAAACCAGACAGCTCTTAATGGCAAAGAAAAAGCACATCAGTCTAAATGAGCACATCAAATAAACCAGAAGATGTTTCCTGAAAACTTCTAGGATTATTTATACCAACTTTATACAATGTGTGTCTATATATCGGGGTAGTGAACCCCTTTCCGTCAATGGTCCAGATTCAATTATGGCCAACCCTTCATGATCCACCTTTCACAGGTGGGTGGAACCACCTATCTGTCAATCACCCAGCATCATATATCATCAGGTGCAAAGCAGCGCTGAACGCAAGCCATGTTTGCAAAGGAATAATCTGGAGCCTGCTCTTGCCAACAAACAATTTGGACCCCGGGCTCCTGGTTGTTCCTTTGCAAACATGGCTTGCGTTCAGCCCCGTTGAAATTCGGCATCAAATGCAAGGTACATTGTCAATTCTCGAATGAATACAATGTACTAAAAGCAGCACAACTTGCTTTTTAATTTCTTCTGAAACTTTTGTACTGTCTTTCCACTGATTGGGCTCTCAGACTTCTATAGCTTTGAAAATCCAGTGAACAGGCAGATTTTCCTCCTTCGCCTCGTTTCGTTTATTTAAGCTGTTGCTCAGGCAAGCAAATAACTCTGCTTTCTGAAATTTCTGGCTTTGTTACAGAATGAAACCTCTAATCCACCAAGTATCAATACCTATGGCCAGGTAAGGACATCCACTCCCATCAAGTCTTCATTGAAACATACTAGCTAGGACTTGAAATTAGGCCATTGTACATCACTTGTGCCTGCCCAGTCTGTGTGGTGTGGCGCTACATGCGAAGAGCTCATTAAGAGACAAATGAAGATACAATTGGGCACATGTGTGTTGCAGCTAGGAAATCAGTCATGCACACTTCCTCCCCTGAGGAAATGTCTTCATCTCACCTTAAACACGGTTGGCAAGCAAGTTGGGAACTATACTAAGTGCTGCTCAGGCAAGCTAGAACCTGCTTCAGAGGGATTAATAACCAGGGTTTGGAGCAGAGTAAATCATGCCCGCCTATTTGTTATAGAGGAGGACCGGTTACCAAAATCGGCATCCTCTCAGACTGCAATATTAGGAGTTTTCAAGGACTTGCAAACAACCGGTGCATTTTTTAATGACTGTTTTTTCAGTGGGCAGCAGAACCACCCACCCACCCACCACGTTGTATCATGCTTTTGAAATTCCTCTTCATTTCAAAAGTGATTTGCCTTCAACATGGTAGGCTCCTGTCCAAGAAACAGAACTCCCCTCAGAGAGTAAAAATGGTTTGCAGATCTAGGGGATGAAAGGAAGAAGCACGAACCAGGCAGCTAAAGTCCAAATGCCAACGCTCAGCAGTTCACCTGAGACAGACTTGTTCCTCTTTCTCATCCTTCGGACAGTGAATTCCTATGAAAACAGATATGTCGTGCCCCTGAGCAATTTTGTGTCCCAGAGGAAGTAGAAGCAGCCCCAATGTCGTTGCATTGTAGTACTTTATGTAAGATGCTTTGAGGGTACTTCTCGATCAAAAGGTGGGATAGAAATTAAGTAAATAAATAATCTGGATGATTAGTCTCTGGGACCTGACTACAGTGGCCCTTTCAATTAATTTCCCCAGATATTACTAATTTGGCTTTCACTTTAGTACATACCCTACACAGTCCTGTCAGATGTTCTTGACGTTTCTGTATTTCAGTCACATCAGACTGTTTGGTTCTTATTGTATATCCTAATGGCCATAGACTAATTCTTTGTAAAGTTTTTAAATCTTTTGATAATTACATTACAGAAATAGATGGTGTTTATTTATTATTTTGCATCTTTCACAGGGCGAAAGCTTTTATAATAACGAAAACCATAATGTACAGGTAAGAATTTTCCCCTTGTAGATCAATTTGATCAGATGGTCCTTCAAAGAACTCTGATCCAAGAGTAATTACCACTCACTTTCTATAGTTTTCTGGTGTTCATACAAAGACAGTGACTCTCCAGGGACAAGTAACTCTCCAAGGAGTATACACTCTCCTATTGAAAGTGGGGGGGGAAATCAAGTGTTCTTTATGCTCTTAATCAGGACGTGGCATAAATTTAGGAATTTTAATGGAATCGTTAATCTCATGCAAAAGAAAACGAAAAGAAATTCAACAAAAAATGAAAAATGATCTTCCAAAACACAATTTGGGCTTAAAAATAAAATAAAATCTGAACCCACGGGAAAAGATTTATGTAAGAAATATGAAGCACCAGCGTTTATTTTGAAATATACTCCGTACATGTAGTCCAAATGAATATATTTTTCTCCAGGATTCTGTTCTGAAAAAAATGCAAATCTGGTTCTGAAAGGGAAAGCTAATAAGCAAATAAGCTGAAAAATGCAGCAGTATTAGAACATTTTAAAAGTGATGGGCTGGCATAGTTTATTACTTAGTATAGGTAATGCATTGATGATAATAATATATACAGTGGTGCCCCGCAAGACAAATGCCTCGCAAGACGAAAAACCCGCTAGACGAAAGGGTTTTCCGTTTTTCGATGCGCTTCGCAGGACGAATTTCCCTATGGGCTTGCTTCGCAAGACGAAAATGTCTTGCGAGTCTTGAGATTTTTTTTCGCTCCCCCCCCCTTTTCCTAAGCCGCTAAGCCGCTAATAGCCTTTTAGTCGCTAAGCCGCTAAGCCTTTAATAGCCGCTAAACCGCTAATAGCGCTAATCCAGTAAGCCGCTAATAGGGTTGCTTCGCAAGACAAAAAAACCGCTAGACGAAGAGAGTCGCTGAACGGATTAATTTCGTCTTGCGAGGCACCACTGTATTGTCTTCGGTTCATTGCTTTGCATTTGAGTTGCAAATTTGGGCTCACCCTGTGGCTGCAGGATGCAATATGGGCTATCTTTTCCCCCTGTTCTTTCTGTCTTCACCCAATAACTTACGTTGCCTCATATTGTTTATACAGGCACAATGCTAGAAAGTTAAAAATAGAAGTTTTTGGATTGTAACATGAGCTCTTAAGTTGTACAAAGGTGCCTCCAGGTGCGTTTTTGGGTGTATATTGTTGGTCATATAGGATAGCACTTATGACATAATGAAAATCAGGAGGACACTGGTGGGGAAATCACATCTCTTTCAACAGCTGCTAGCAGGAAGATTGATTATGGCATAGGCTGCTTCCTGACATTCTAGCTTCCAGGGGGAAGAACTTTTACTGGTCAGCAGCAAATCTTAGGGTCTTCCACCTACATTGTACAGCAGCATGATAATCTTGTAAAGACAAATTATAGTGCTGCTGCTCATATATATATATATATATATATATATATATATATATAGTCACATATCACTATTGACAAAAAAAATCAAAGTGGTTTACAACAATTGTACATAAAACCATTCAATTGAAAACATAAAATAAAAATAAAATCAGAAATCAGCTATACATTGTGGAAATATTTGTTTTTAATTATCTACATAAGCCTAACAGAATAGAAACATTTCCAGCAGGCGTTTGAAAGTTGAAACCGAAGGCGCCTGCTAAATCTCTGCTAGTATAGCATTCCGTAATACCGGGCCGATGACATTAAAGGCTCGGTTCCTTGTTTCTGTCGAATGAGCCTCACCAACTCAGGCCACAACTGACAACGTTCCTGCCGTTGATCTCAGCGACTCTGCTGGGGCTGAGGTGCTCCTAAATTGTTTAGGGCTTTGTGAAATAATACAAGGACCTTGAACCTGGCTCAGGAGTAGAAGAGCAACCATTGCAGATGCATTAACAATTGTGGCAAATGTTGTCGGCCAGATGTCCCTGTCAGTAATCTGGCCATTGCATTCTACACCAGCTGGAACGTCTGAACCAGGCCCAAGGGCAGCCCCACACAGAGTGCATAGCAGTAATCCAGCCTCGAGGTTACTAACACATGGACCACAGTGTGTGCATCGACCTATAAACATCTGCCTTAAATACTTCAAAATTCAAATTATGTTTAATAATGCTAGAGCTTGGTGCGATGAAATAATTAAACACATGCAGTAAGCAGCACTTTGAACAGTTAAGTGCAGATAGAAGATTGAACTGTATATTGAGATGCTATTTGTTTTTAATTCACTTTGTCCTTTATAGGATGGATCATTTGTGGCTTATGCCAATAGGCAGGTAAGCAAATTTGATGGGACTTTGTTCAACTGTTTGTTGTATCCAAATGTTAATGGGAGAGTGAGGAGACTTCAGTTTCTATTCCTTCTTTCAGTTGCTCCCCCACCGCCCCAATTCCCGGTCAATTCCCTCTCTGGTCATTTTTCATCCTTTCGGTTTCTCCAATCCTCAATTTCCTTGCCTCACTACCTTTTATTGACAACCAGTCTCTTTCTGACACTTGGGCAACTGTAGTTCCTTTTCTTCTGCATTTCAAAGAAAATCTTAAGATTATCCCGAGTGACTCGCCTGCGCATTTGTTTCAGGCTTTTGCTCAGTTCATATCCTGCCCTTCACCGGTTTCACCGGTTATAGGGCGAGTTGCATCTCAATACACACAAATTCATACAATAAAATTTTAAATAACTGGCAGGACAATCCAAGTCTTGGCTGGGCAGGGGTGGAACACGACAGGGTGTGGGGCCATTGCCACCACATTCACATCCCTATCGCTCAAGACAAATTGCTGCACCAGCCTAGAGGTGGCACAGCGATTGGGTCTGATGCCATCAAGCAACAGCATGCTGGATATTCCATCAGAAAACAGAAATCAATTTTACCTCAGAAATTCAGTACGTGGATTTTCCCCCAGATGCTGATGCAACATTGGAGCTTGACTCCCATCCCATGTAGGAATAGATTACAACTTAAATCCTTTTTGAATTTGCACATGTTACTTAAAATGTGGCAGAAGTATCCATAGAATCTTGCAGCTCCCATTTTATCAATATAAACTTAGGGGAATGCGAATTGCATTTCATCTGACTTCTCACAACAAAAATGGAGCTAACTTTTCTATTTTTACAGGGAGAATGTTTTTGCCCTGGCGCACAGGTAACTATTTTTCTTTGCTGTTCCCAAACTGGTTGTCTCGTGATTTCATTTAGCATTATAGGTTGGAGGGAGTGGGTGGCACTGTAATCTAAACCACTTGGGCTTGCTGATCGGAAGATTGGCGGTTCAAATCCCCACGAAGAGTGAGCTCCTGTTGCTCTGTCCCAGCTCCTGCCAACCTAGCAGTTCAAAAGCACACCAGTGCAAGTAGATAAATAGGTATTGCTGTGGCGGGAAGGTAAATGGTTCTTCCATGCGCTCTGACTTCCATCACGGTGTCCCGTTGTGCCAAAAGCAGTTTAGTCATGCTGGCCACATGACCCAGAAAGCTGTCTGTGGACAAACGGCTCCCTTAGTGAGATGAGTGCCACAACCCAATAGTCACCTTTGACTGGACTTAACCATCCAGGGGTCCTTTACCTTACCTTTTACCCTGTTATAGGTAATAGGACACCTGGTTCACATAAGATTACTTTTCCTGGTCATGGGGTGGAGAAGACAATAAATAGGAAAGCCACTCTTTCGTCCTCTGTAGTGACACAGTTCTGGCAAGGCTATGAATATGGCAGTTTGTCTGACTTTAGTCCGTCCCCCCACTTTTGGGATTGCTCATCCCATGTACAGTAGATACTTTTACATTTATCAGTATTTCCGCAGTGCAGACCTATTAAAGTGATATAGCATCTTTAGCAATTGGGTTTTGTTGTTATTGAAGTCATTGTTTTCTGCGCAGGGTGGTGGATCGTATGGCAGTCAATATGGACAGGTAAAAACTCTTTTTTGATACTTAGCATATATGAAATGCATCATGCAGTAATACTATACACTAAGATTTTAAAAATGAATGGAAAATGGGTTTTATGGGTGATATCCAGCATCAGTCATACTCTTGGCAGACCAATGAAATCAGTGGACTTAAGCATCTTCAGTCAATTGATATTAATGGGTCTACTTGGAGTATGACTTTAGTAGGATATCCCTCTGCTTTTTTGCTGCTCCTGAACATTAAAAAATAGTTTAGTATGCATATATTAGTGTAATACAACAGATCATCAAGAAACTTTTTGAAGTATGGATTGTTTGTTTTCTCCTACAGGGTGGATCATATGGTGGTGGCAGCCAGGTAATAACTTTTAGAACCAGTGTGGTGTAGTGGTTAAGAGCGGTAGTCTCGTAATCTGGGGAACTGGGTTCGTGTCTCCGCTCCTCCACATGCAGCTGCTGGGTGACCTTGGGCCAGTCACACTTCTTTGAAGTCTCTCAGCCCCACACACCTCACAGAGTGTTTGCTGTGGGGGAGGAAGGGAAAGGAGAATGTTAGCTGCTTTGAGACTCATTCAAGTAGTGATAAAGTGGGATATCAAATCCAAACTTTTCTTCAAATCCAAACTCTTTTAATAAGTAGCAAGAACTTTTAATAGGCATTACAAGTAGCATACCAGAGATATTAAAAGTGTTTCTCATTATTCCTGCTTCTGAATGTAGAAAGCAATATGGTTTTTTTCCAGCAACATTTTTTTACAATAACTATTTTCTGTACAGGGTGGACGGTTCGGATATGGCAGCAGCAGCCAATATGGACAGGTAAAAGCACTTTTAATTTATAGTACATACAGAGTATATACTGCACTATGGCTTGCATCCAGCTAAGTCATATTCAGAGTGAGCCCACTGAAATTATTCGACATCAGGTAACTGTGACTGACTTTATTTCAGTGGTTCTGCTCTGAGTATGATTTAGCCAGATACAACACCATGGTAAATATACAGTATATGCAGAGGCATGAAAATAAAATCTGTTTAATGCTTATTTTGCTCTTAAATATTGAGAGTTGCTTAGGGCAGATACATGAATGTATTTTTAAAAATGTCTCCTGCACAGGGAGGAACGCATGGTGGCGGCAGCGGCCAATATGGGCAGGTAAAAACTCTTTTGACATACAGTGTATAAGTAATGGAGAGTGTGGCGCTGTGGTCCAAACCACTGAGCCTCTTGGGCTTGCTGATCAGAAGGTCGGTGGTTTAAATCCCCACAACAGGGTGAGCTCCCATTGCTCTGTCCCAGCTCCTGCCAACCTAGCAGTTCGAAAGCACACCGGTGCAAGTAGATAAATAGGTACCGCTGCGGCAGGAAGGTAAATGGTGTTTCCATGTGCTCTGGTTTCCATCACGGTGTTCCGTTGCACCAGAAGCGGTTCGGTCATGCTGGCCACATGACCCGGAAAGCTAAGATAGCGAGATGAGCGCTGCAACCCCATAGTCATTTGACTGGACTTAACTATCCAGGGGTCCTTTACCTTTTTACCTTCACTATATGTAATATATATGAGGTCTTACATGGTATACATATTTTTATTATTACTCTGATCCTCCACATAAAAGTAGTTTAGAATTCAATCCTAAATTGAACTGGAATAGTGATGGAATAGCCACCACTTCCAAAATCCTGCCAGCTTGCGCTGGTCAGAGTAGATGGTGTTGGGGTGTCATTTTCTTTTTTGCTGGCTGGGTGTTTTGTTTTTAATCCCCACTTCCCCAGTTCGAATGGGGAATGGGCAGGTGATAAGTAAGGCCAGCTCCATGCTAACAGAGGGTAAGGGCTCAATTCAGGAGCCCATTTGGCAAATGAAGAGGCCTTGGGTCAAGGGGTCCCAAGGCCACCTTTGTCTTTCCCCTGCTGAATCTCTGTTTTGAGTCCTAACGCCAGCTACCGATCGCAAAATAAGGAACAGCTGTTTCTGTATGACCATGGAGGAACATAACAGGGCATAACAGGAACCCCCATGCCCTTTGCTTCCCAAGTTCATCTCTAGCAAAGGAGACAAACCTTCACTCCTTCCTAACCCCATTTAGCCAGTGGTAGGATTGCATTGCACATGTGCTAAGGTAATATTATTCAGGTAATAATTGTTTTCTGTTCAGGGTGGACAGAGTGGATCCTATGGTGGCAGCCAATATGGACAGGTAAAAATCATTTTGTTATCTAGTATATGTATTATAGATAAATAGATGATAGCTAGATAGATGATAGATAGATAGATAGATAGATAGATAGATATAATAGATATAATAGATATACCGTATTTTTTGCTCTATAAGACTCGCTTTTTCCCTCCTAAAAAGTAAGGGGAAATGTGTGTGCGTCTTATGGAGCGAATGCAGGCTGCACAGCTATCCCAGAAGCCAGAACAGGAAGAGGGATCGCTGCTTTCACTGCGCAGCAATCCCTCTTGCTGTTCTGGCTTCTGAGATTCAGAATATTTTTTTTCTTGTTTTCCTCCACCAAAAACTAGGTGCGTCTTATGGTCTGGTGCGTCTTATGGAGCGAAAAATACGGTATATAGTAATAAATGATGTGCTATTATGTAGATAAAAGTTTGGTGGGTTTTTTCTGCCTTTGAATATAGGAAGCTAGTTGAGATGTATTAAAGTAATCCTTTTTCAATTTATAATTGTTTTCTGTTCAGGGTGGACAGAGTGGATCTTATGGTGGCAGCCAATATGGACAGGTAAAACATATTTTGTTATCGTGTGTGTGTGTGTTGTAATACACAGTGTGTTATTATATAGATAAAAGTTTAGTGGGGGATTTTCTGCCTTTGAATATAAGAAGCTAGTTGAGATGTATTAAAGTAATCCTTATTCAGTTTATAATTGTTTTCTGTTCAGGGTGGATCATACGGCAGCAGCAACCAATATGGACAGGTAAATGTTATTTTGTAATATAGCATATGGAGAGAAAGACAGAGAGAAAGAGAGAATTATGAAAAATAAAATAAAAATACATTTTATGCTTATTTCCTGTCCTGGTTATAGAAAGTAGCTGAGTGCAGATATATTTCAGCAATATAGTTTTTCAGCATCAGATAATATTTCTTGAAATAGCTGTTTTCTGGACAGTGGGCAGGGGGATCATATGGGGACAACTGCCAATATGGTTGTTTCTCCTATATTTCCCCCCAGCTTTGACTATTTATCTACAGTTTATTTATTATGCAGTTATATTGAGCTTGCATATTTTATTTTTTTAAAATGGTTGTAATAAGTAGTAATAAGACTTTTTAAAATACAGGGTGGATCATATGGTTATGGTCATCCATATGGACAGGGTGGATCATACGGTGGTAGCAGTCAATATGGACAGGTAAAAGAATTATACATGCATGTAATATACAATGTACATGTCATTATGGCGTTATCTGTGCTCTAGTAAGAGCCAGGCTAGACTATTGGTTGTTATATTATTTGCCATCTGAAAGCTTTTTAGAAACTTCACTTAAATTCAGAACATGGTATCAAGATTATTAATGCTGGTCTGAAAATATTTTATCCATCTCTAGCTAACAATTTGTTTGATTCTGGGCACCACTAAATGTGGTGCTTTTACTCTAAAGAGCCCCAAATAGCTTAAGACTAGGCGATTGAAGGAGCATTTTTCCCCTCCTATGTTCCTGCATAATCCTTAAGATCTGCTTCAGAGGCCCTTTTGTATGAGGTGGGTGATAACTAGGGATAACTCTGTCACAGAGCCTAGAACTTCCTGATCAGAAGGTCGCGGTTCGAATCCCTGTGACGGGGTGAGCTCCCATTGCTCTGTCCCAGCTCCTGCCAACCTAGCAGTTCAAAAGCACACCAGTGCAAGTAGATAAATAGGTACCGCTTCGGCGGGAAGGTAAATGGCGTTTCCGTGCGCTGCTCTGGTTCGCCAGAAGCGGCTTAGTCATGCTGGCCACATGACCCGGAAGCTGTACACCGGCTCCCTCAGCCAATAAAGCGAGATGAGCGCCGCAATCCCAGAGTCGGCCACAACTGGACCTAATGGGCCCTTTTTTATGAGGTGGGAGATAACTAGGGAGAAATCCATGAGGTGTTAACTCGTAGCAGGCATTTGGACTAGGAGACCTTTGATGTCCATTCCATTAACTTGAATGACAATAATGTTAAGCTGAATTCCTAGCGCTGGAGTTCCTGCCTTTTCTCCAATATCGTTCACCAGCTAGATCAACCAAGGCAGTTTCTTTGCAAATACCAGATAGAAATGGATCCCAATTAGTTGCACAATGTGTGTTAAGCATATGGTACTATCGCATCTGAAAGAAACAAGCTTTTTTTGAAGTAACATGTTTTATTGTTCAGGGTGGACAGAGTGGATCATACGGGAGCAGCAGCCAATACGGACAGGTAAGTGTGTGTGTGTGTGTGTGTGTGTGTGTGTGTATAATGTAATCTCTACAAATGTTCTTCGGCCTTGGGTCTCCAGACACTAGATTCCAGCTCCCATCATCTGCAGCAAGCATAACCAATGGACATGAATTATGGGAGTTATACTCCATCAACATCTGGAGACATTGTCTATACCAGTGTTTCCCAACCTTGGGTCTCCAGCTGTTTTTGGACTACAACTCCTATCATCCCTAGCTAGCAAGACCAGTGGTCAGGGATGATAGGAATTGTCCAAAAACACTGGTCTATACCGTAATGTTAGATAGTATGCACAAAGATGTCTTATCGTAAAAGTGTTATGCTTATTTCTGTTCCGCAATACAGAAAGTAGCTGAATGTCAGATATACTAATGTAATGTGGTATTGCACCAACAAATAAACCTTATCTGAAGTAGTAATTGTTTTCTGTTCAGGGTGGATCATATGGAGGCGGCAGCAGCGGACAGGTAAGAACTATGTTAATAGATAAATGAAATACCTGACATAGTAATATCACACACACACTCAATGCTTATTTTGCTCTTAAATCTTGAAAATATCTTAGGGAAGGTTTGCCATTCGTAAATAATAATGATGATGATGATGATGATGATGATAAATAAGTATTTTCTTCCCAGGGTGGATCATATGGCAGCGGCAGCAGCGGACAGGTAGGAACTATGTTAATAGATAAATGAAATACCTGCCATAGTAATATTACACACACACACACACACACACACACACACACACACACTATGCTTATTTTGCTCTTAAATCTTGAAAATATCTTAGGGAAGGTTTGCTATTCTTAAATCATCATCATCATCATCATCATCATCATTTATTATTTGTACCCCGCCCATCTGGCTGGGCTTCCCCAGCCACTCTGGGCGGCTTCCATAGAAACCAAAAATACACTAAAATATCACAGATTAAAAGCTTCCCTGAACAGGGCTGCCTTAAGATGTCTTCTGAATGTCAGGTAGTTATTTATCGCTTTGACATCTGACGGGAGGGCGTTCCACAGGGCGGGCGCCACTACCGAGAAGGCCCTCTGCCTGGTTCCCTGTAGCTTTGCTTCTTGCAATGAGGGAACCGCCAGAAGGCCCTCGGCGCTGGACCTCAGTGTCCGGGCAGAACGATGGGGGTGGAGACGCTCCTTCAAGTATACTGGGCCGAGGCCGTTTAGGGCTTTAAAGGTCAACACCAGCACTTTGAATTGTGCTCGGAAACGTACTGGGAGCCAATGTAGGTCTTTCAAGACCTATGTGGTCTCGGCGGCCGCCCCCAGTCACCAGTCTAGCTGCCGCATTCTGGATTAGTTGTAGTTTCCGAGTCACCTTCAAAGGTAGCCCCACGTAGAGCGCATTGCAGTAGTCCAAGTGGGAGATAACTAGAGCATGCACCACTCTGGCGAGACAGTCCGCGGGCAGGTAGGGTCTCAGCCTGCGTACCAGGTGGAGTTGGTAGACAGCTGCCCTGGATACAGAATTGACCTGCGCCTCCATGGACAGCTGTGAGTCCAAAATGACTCCCAGGCTGCGCACCTGGTCCTTCAGGGGCACAGTTGCCCTATTCAGGACCAGGGAGTCCTCCACACCAGCCCGCCCCCTGTCCCCCAAAAACAGTACTTCTGTCTTGTCAGGATTCAACTTCAATCCATTAGCCGCCATCCATCCTCCAACCGCCTCCAGGCACTCACACAGGACCTTCACTGCCTTCACTGGTTCTGATTATATTATAATAATATAATAATGCATTTTCTCCCCAGGGTGGATCTTATGGCGGTGGCAGCAGTCAATATGGACAGGTAAAAACTCATTTAATGTATGCATATTAGGGAACATATGCCTTAGCATAAACACAGCTATAAAAAATAAATAAAAGAAAACATTTATATGCTAATTTCTGCTCCTGGTAATAGAAAGCAGCCATAAAAAGTAGCTATTGTAATTAATGTTTCCCATGCAGGGTGGACAGAGTGGATCATACGGTGGAGGCAACCAATATGGGCAGGCAAAAACAAATTCATAAAGTAGCATACATAGATGATATAGATAGATGATAGATAGATAGATAGATAGATAGATAGATAGATAGATAGATATCTCAAGGCGGCATAAAGCCATCTGGACTTTGCCTTCTGTAGATGGAAGGTTTTCTTCTGCCCACAAAGCTTTCTGATCCATTGGATGAATCTGGTGGAAGCTGTGTGTGTTGGGGGGGGTGACTTTCTGCCACTTCCTCCCTCTCCCTGCTCCCCCCCCCCATCCTTCCATGCTGTCCTGGATGAAGACACTGACACCCTCCAGAACAGTGTGGCACTGAGGGCTACAGCGGGAGATGCAAAATTAGCCTCCCCATCCATGATAGGAGTGATGCCTGGATCCAATCCATACATAAGGAAACAAAAGTGTGGGTTGCCTTGAATGGTGCCATCTACTGGGAGATAACTTTGCCAGTTTCCTTCCCTCTATGGCGCTGTGCGTTAAACCACAGAGCCTAGGACTTGCCGATCAGAAGGTCGGCGGTTCGAATCCCCGTGACGGGGTGAGCTCCCGTTGCTCGGTCCCTGCTCCTGCCAACCTAGCAGTTCGAAAGCACGCCAAAGTGCAAGTAGATAAATAGGTACCGGTCTGGCGGGAAGGTTAATGGCGTTTCCATGTGCTGCTCTGGTTCACCAGAAGCGGCTTGGTCATGCTGGCCACATGACCTGGAAGCTGTATGCCGGCTCCCTCGGCCAATAAAGCGAGATGAGCGCCGCAGCCCCATAGTCGGTCACGACTGGACCTAATGGTCAGGGGTCCCTTTACCTTTACCTTTTTCCTCTATGCAGGTCCCCAGCAGCCCCTGGAGATCTTTTCCAGAGGCTTCTGGGACTTTCCAGAGGAGATTTTCAGGAGGTGCTGGAAATTGGAGGAGGCAAAATCTGCAAAATTTGCCAGTAGTGAATGGATGCCTCCCACTGAATCAAGAGTACTAGCAGGACCAAGAAGATTTTCTGCTTATATCTGCTTAGAGAGTGACTTGCTGTAGATCTTTTGATATGGTAATATGGTGCATCAGTGACAAACCATCTTTTCTTTTTTTAAAAATTGTTTTCTGGACAGAGTGGCTCATACGGTGGCAGCAGCAACCAGTATGGGCAGAGTGGATCATATGGCGGCAGCAGCAGCAGCCAGTATGGGCAGGGTGGATCGTACGGCAGTGGCAGCCAATATGGAAAGGTAAAAAAAATCCTTTCCTGTTTATAATTTTCTTACCATTGACAGTGAATGCGCTTTTATAATTGGAACATTGGCTCCTCCCTAGTACAGGTTTGGTCCATGAGTATTTCGAATTTGAATAGAAAGCTTTTTGTTTAGTCCCAGAAAGAATACTCCGATATAATCATGCTTTAAATATACTTCTAAAATGCAATCATATTTTAACGCGTGGAGCTGAGACATGCATTTGAGAAATCTTGACAAGGGTCTTGAAAACTGGTGTTCTCCTGTTTATCAGAATGTGTTTGTAGCTCAGTCTAATAACTGTTAGGAACCATTATGATAACTGCGAAATAGTAACAAAATACTATGCCGCAGTTCTCCAAATCTGGTCAGCCGGGTTTGCATATTAAGCAAATCTGCTGGCTATGCAAATCAAGAGGAAAAATTGCTGTAACATCAGACACAAGAAAGAAAGAAAGAAAGAAAGAAAGAAAGAAAGAAAGAAAGGAGATCTCAAAATTATTCTCTGTCTCTCTCTCACTCTCTCTCTTTCTCTCTCTGTGTAAAATGTCCAGTGCATTTTGGCAAAAGCTTTCTTCAAGGGCACGGAAGGACCTATGAAAGAGAAATAAATAAATAAATTTTTATTTATATCCCGTCCTTCCCGGTTCAGAAAACCGGGCTCAGGGCGGCTAACAACAAATTTAAAACACTTAATTGTGATACAACAAAAAACTGCATAAAATACAGTATAAAAGCGTGAATAACAATAAATTTAAAGTTCACAAATCAATTTGGGGGGAAATCCATCCAATAAACATTAGATAGTTACCAGGGCTAACTGGCTAAATTAGTCCTATTTGGGCCAGTGCGGAGGCCAGGGGAGAATTAGCGGTAGGGTCCCAGAGCAGGTAATCTTCATAAAAAGGGGAGGGGAGGGAAGAGAGGGGAATAAAAGATCAGGCTAAATTCAAATTGAAAGCCAGGTGGAATAGCTCTGTCTTACAGGCCAGACGGAAGGAGGTTAAATCCTGCAGGTCCCTAGTCTCATGGGACAGAGCATTCCACCAGGTCGGAGCCATCACTGAAAAGGCCCTGGCCCTGGTGGAGGATAGTTTGACTTCCTTGGGGCCCAGGACCTCTAAACTATGGTTATTCATGGACCTTAAGGTCCTCTGCGGGGCATACCAGGAGAGGTGGTCCCATAAATATGAGGGCCCTAAGAAAGAAAGAAAGAAAGAAAGAAAGAAAGAAAGAAAGAAAGAAAGATTATATATTATACACATAGTGACTCATAATTAAAGAATCCGATTTATAAAAAGTTAATGGAGGAAAGTAGAATCTTGGGTTAGGGGAGCCAAAATATAAAGTTGCATTGGAGTTCAGTGTCTGTGGGAGGAGAATCTTGATTTAAGACGAAGGGGAAAGAATGGGGTTGGTATCCACGGGATTTCTTCAAGCATCGGAAATACAGGACCAGGCTTGGAAATCATAAGATTGTATGAGATACTTTGCCTTAAGCTGACTTATTTTTAGAAGCCTACTAAAATCTAGGAAGCGGAAAAGTTGGGCAGCTTCCCTTCAGCTAGATTATAAAAAAGAGCAAATACGTTGACAAGGAGGAGATCGTAAATCGCTTCTTGCATTGCTTTGTAGCCATCAGTTGAGGGAAACAAAGGTGGCTATCGCTGCTTCTCTGTATGGCAATCATAGCTGTGTCTTCCTTCCTAAGACAATGGAAAGCAGACACAGACTTGGCGTCTCACTAAACAATTGGCCAGAATCTTCCTGTGGTTTTACCGCATATCTCTGGATCTACAAAGGCTGGCAACTTATTATTTTTTCAGTGGAAGCTGGAAATGTGGCCTAAATGGCCCACGCTGGATGGCATGCTCAGAATCTGGCCAAAACTTGGACAAGCAGGCCATATAGCAACCTTATTTATATCTTTAAAGATACCCCATCACACACTAGATAGGTCTGCACATGCGTACTGCTGTCAGAAAAATCAGCAATCGGAGCAGTCACCTGTTCAGATGCTGCAGGTGGCAGTAGATCTAGTCTCTTTCTCATGAGCCATAAGAAAGGAATTCTGGATGCAAAGCAAATTGGTGCTGCTCTCATCCCCCGTTAGAGACACTTGCAGCTGGGTCAGAATATAGACATTTACCTGTTTCCAAAGAACCGTACTGCAAAGCATCAGGAGCAGAAACAATCAATTCCTAATTTTTTGCAGAACAACTCTTCCTCAGGAGGCAGTCAGCCTGGTGGAAAGGTAAGAATTTGGCACCTAGCTGGATTGAGGTATAGACGTTCTCTTATTTCCAAAAGAAATCTAAACCACCCAAAGATTGCTTGGTTGTTGCTTTTTAAAAGGAACAGAAACAAACACTTCCTACTCTTTTACAGAACTCGACTTCTTCAGGAGGCAGTCAGTCTGTTGGACAGGTAAGAAATTAACATGCAGAAAGAGTGTGGGGGGAGAAACCACACAAAGAGAAATCGGTATCTTGCCATATTAGCACAGAAATTGATTGCTTGTGTGTTGCTTTTAGGGGTCCTCAGGAGGAAGCCAGTCTGGACAGGTAATGTTTACTCAAAATGTTAATATTTCATAAATTTGCTTTAATATTTTATAAATTTGCTTAGATATATTTATGAACTTGCTGCAATATTTTAGAGCAGATGTGCAATTTGTCATTTGCCTGCTCTGCGGGTAAGCAGATGATCTCACATTGTGGCTCTCATTTGCATCTCTCATCCCCTTTATTTTATTTATTACATAAATATATTGACTTTTTCCCATGGTGAAATTCAAGGCATCAGACATATAAAGGGCTCCCAGGTGGTCTATGGAGACACTGACTAGGCTCAGATCAGCTTAACTTTAGCAAGGTTGCTGTATCATGTGTCTCCATCTCAAAGCCAGTGTCAACCACGGTTGAGGCCAATCAGCTTCCATTTAACTTTGTTTCTTAACCAGGATTTGAAGCCGATTAATCATGGGCCGCTGGACCACAGACCATCATCGTTCTCCCCTGATTCCTTTACCAAACCTTTTCCACATTTAATGCCTTAAGAGTCAGTTCCTATTAGCCTAACCCTCTGCAATCAAGGCTTTTTCCAGTCTGTGTTGACTGTGTAATGGCCACTTTATTTTATCATAAAGCTTTATTATCATATTCCGCATACTGTATAAAGATCAGAAAGCCATTGCTATATATATGACCTGTGTTTTCACTGTATAATTACAGGGTTCAGCATCCCCTTCAGGAAGCCAGCAGGGTAGTCCGGTAAGCATTTTTCCCTCACACAATTGATACTGTAATTACTGGATGCTATTGGTAAACTCTTGTGTAGTGATAGATAGACAAGTTTAGAACATGAAAGCCTGTTGGTTTGTTTTTGCAAATATAGAGCTCATCATACGCCGGAGGCAGGCAACCTGGTGGACAGGTAAGCATTTTCTTGTTACCATGCTTGTTAATTGCAAGCCCAGGCGGACACCGCCCCCCCAGCCCCGAGAGACCACCAGAAGGAATAATGACTCATGACAACGTGTTATGGGATTAAAAATTGGCCACAACTTTATTTAACCTTTCAGACGTAGGAAGACCTTGGTTTAGGCATTGGGTGTGTATCCCTCCCAGCCCCCCAGCTGGGGGAACTGGGGCTCTTCAGGGTGAATGGGATATGGGAGGGTGCACAGCAAGACGCTTGTGTATACTGGCAGCCCACCCCATATCCCTGCAATGCAGGGGAGTTCACTGGCAACCTTTCAGTGTGTGGCCAGAGACTCCCATATACAAACCCCTTTAAGAGGTGAAATATACTTGGAGTCGAGAGTGGATTTCATGCTCTTCATTCAGCTCATAGTGGTGAGGAGGAATGGAAGTTCCCCCAGAATGTCTGCTTTATATACATTATTTACACATGGGCCCCACGTGATTGGCTAATTCCGGGATTCTTCTTTAGGCCAATCAGGTTGCGGATTCACTTCCACCTGGAGTTGGATTGGGTGGCTCCTGTGGACCAATCAGACTGCTGCATTCTGGATCCTATTGTTCTAGGACCAATCAGACTGCTACATTCTGAATCTTATTGTTCTAGGACCAATCAGACTGCTGCATTTTGGATCCTATTCAACTCAGTATATAACACCCCTCCCCTCTAAGTTCCAGTCCTGCCCGGGAGGTTGCATTCATAGTCCTCAAGGTCACCACTTCACGTCCCCCCCCCCCCCCATTTAGGAAAGACAGACTAAAGGATTCCGCCCAAGGCATAAAACCGCCAAAGTTGTGACGAATTGCTACGGGGAAGGCAAAACCTGCCAATGCAAGGAAATTCCTTCCCGGCTCTTCAACAGCAACCATCCAAAGACCGTAGCAGCGCCCGCTGAACAGGAAGGAAAATGGTTAACCTGCAAAAAAACATTAAACAATGGGAGGTTAGGTAGGTGGGTGAAGCTCCGGAGCCGATCACATGGTTGCTGCTGGCTCCGCCTCCTATTTAAGCAGCTGGCCCGGCCTCTCTGCAGGGCTGATTGGCTAACTGAGGTTTGGCGGGAACCTCCAAGGACTAGCACAGGGGGGCAGGCCTGCCAAACCAGCTGGTGGGTCCCAAGTGGGCCACGGTGCCATGCGCAGTCCCGCAATCTAATGTAGACAACGCAACAGAAATGAAATACAAAGAAGAAGAATCAAAACCGAAACCTTAGCAATGTTCGGAAAATGCATCTTGGAAGAACTAAGAGCTGAAGTTTTAGGGTCCAGAATAATAATAATAATTTTATTATTTATACCCCGCCCATCTTGCTGGGTTTCCCCAGTCACTCTGGGCGGCTTACAACACATAAAAAATTGTAAAACACTAAACATTAAAAAATTTCCCAATACAGGGTTGCGTTTCGTGATTTTTAAAGTGTGAAGAATCATTGATCAATCTTAATCCACACAAAATTCCTCCATAAAAATGGCAGTCTAGTAAGATTGCTAAAGATATATGACAAGTGTTTTGTGTTTTCTTTTCAGCCTGGGTGTTATTGTCCAGGTGGAATGACTGTAAGTACCCATTGCCTGCTGTATTCATTTGTATGTTTTGGAAGCCATATGAGATGGATGCATTTGTTTGTGTGTGTTTGTTTGTTTATGAATGAACTACCATATTTTTCGCTCTATAACACGCACCCGACCATAACACGCACATAGTTTTTAGAGGAGGAAAACAAGAAAAAAATATTCTAAACGAAACAGTGGATGTATGATTTTTGTGGTTCATGCTGTGGCCACAGACATGTGATCTGACGGTGAGTTTGGGGTAGCCCAATGCAAAAATCCTGAGGATCCATGTGGATCCATGCTTTGTAACCACGTTTTTGCACCACTGCGGCCCCAGGCAACAGTGGGTGCGTGATTTTTTTGGTGCAAGCTGTAGCCATGGACATGCTATGTGATCTGATGGTGAATTTGGGGTGACCCAGTGCAAAAATCCTGAGGATCCATGTGGATCCATGCTTTGTAATCACATTTTAAGTGGGGAGGGAAGGAAAAGCACTCAAGGGACAAGGAACACGTGTGGGGTGGGTGGAGAAGGATGCTGTTAATAATGCAGAAGTGGGGTATAAGAGGAGAAGCAAGCAGGCTCTGCTTCTCTCCCTCCTCCCCGGCTCGCTGAAAAACTTTGCTGCTATTTAGCCAGCTGAGTGGGGAGGAGAGAGGGACAGAGAGCCTGCTTGCTTTAAAGGAGCCAACCGGACAGGAGCCGCTTACACTCGTGCTTTGCTCCTTTAAAGCAAGCAGGCTCTCTGTCCCTCTCTCCTCCCCACACAGTGGCTCTTCTCCTACTTTGCTGTTTCAAAACGAGCCACGGAGGAGGGAAGGAAGGGGAACCATGGATCCTCTGCTCACGACTGCAGCAGATCCCCCCGCCATCAGTAGGCATTCGCTCTATAACACGCACAGACATTTCCCCTTACTTTCTAGGAGGAAAAAAGTGAGTGTTATGGTGCAAAAAATACGGTACTTTCCAAAACTCCTGTTTTCTGCAGCATGAGTGCAGCTAATTCTTTTGTGATTGCCCACCTAATCTCTTGTGTGTACTGTGTCAGTTATTAAATGTTTGAGGCTAGTCTGATGTGGCATATATTTTAAACATATCTATATTACCCATAAAAGATACGAACAAATGGCATTATTTCTAAGTAATTGTCCTTCTGACCCCACCCTTATAGTGGACAAGGAATAAACTTCAACCACATTAATTGCATTAAAAACAACCTGGCTTGTGTGTTGTTGTTTTTACAGGGTTCTCAGTCAGGAAGTAGCCAGTATGGCGGCAGCCAAGGCGGCCAATATGGTGGTTGGCAAGGAAACCAATATGGTGGCAGCAATCAATATGGTGGTGGACGATACGGACAAGTAAGGAACAATTTTCAACAGAATTTACATTTAGGAGCTTGTGACATATTTTTGTTTTTCAAAAAGCAACCTTGAAGCCCTTGATTTGGTTCAGGGCTATTTTGTGGGGTAACCAATTTCAGTGTGCCAATTTTGTGCAGCTAGTAGTCGTGGAGATTGAAACCTAGAGGCACCCATATTGTGCCTGTATCCCTTTCATCTTTGAATAATATTGGGGGAGAGGGGTTGCATTGAAAAACTTCTACAGAGGCAATGGGTTATACCCTCTCCCCCAGTGCAAAAAGAGAAACCATCACAGGAGCTCCAGTCACAGTACTCCAACATCTTATTTAGTTTGGCCTATATATGGAGCTTTTTCCCCCCTTTTCTTTTTTTACATGAGTGGCGGATAAAACCAAAGCTTTCCTTTACAGGATTGTACCAAAATGGTGGAAACCAAAGTCGCCAGCATGGTGGTGGACAAGACAGAAATTTTCTCTACAGCATTAACAAATAAAATATTGGTGTTTACATTTTTAATATTTATTTATTTCTCATTTCTGTTTTGATTCTAGGGTTACCCCTATGGAAGTAGCCAATATGGTGGCGGACGGCTAGGCAGCCAATATGGTGGATATGTAAGGACTGTTTAACAAATGTAGTTGTTATTTATAAGTACCAATAAACTTTGTAGAACTAACTTCTCAGTAAAACATCATGGAGCCATGCTAAATTGCTTTGTCCTCTCAATATGATATGGCAATGAGCTTTATGCTCTTCAGAGCTGAGACAAAATTTATCCGAAGACATTTTTTCTGAGGAAGTTTTGGAGATTTTTCTTTTTCTCACCCTCAGAGGAAAATAAGGCAGCTTTCTCCCAACACCCTCACTATTTTTTGTTGCCACTGCCCTGTCCCCCTCACAGTGCCACAGAATTCTGCTAGGTCTTGCATGTTGTTTGGAGGATTCAAAATGGCGGGCAGGATGTCAACATGATTGCTGCTCTTTCCAATGCCAGCAAAGAAAACAAAGCTGCCCATCACTCCTAATCTTTCCCAGTTACAATGAAACTCAACAGGCCTAGCCAGTGCCTCAGGAGAACCGAGTGTGAAACTGGGCAACAAAAGGGTTTTATGGCAGATACACTGATATTCCTCAGCAGACAAGTAGGCATGGCAGTAGTTCTCTCAGGGTAGAAAGTTTGAAAACGCTTAATTCATTTGGATTTCAAGCCTACGTCATCCTTATGAAGTAACTGGCTGTACAAAGAGTCCAATAATCCACATGAAGGCTTGTTAGAAGGGTTGTCAGTAGAACAGTATTACAGGATAGTGGATCTTATAGCATAGTAGTGTATGAGCCTGTTCTACTGATGAAGCCTAGGTTGGCGAAACAAGGCTAATATTCCAGATATCTTTGTCTTTAGACTCTGTGAAAGGATTGTGTGGAACTGTAACAACCATTCATGTGAATTATTGGACTCGTTGAACAGACAGGTGGAATAGATACTTTTACATGTATGAACCTTATGCATGAACTGACTAGAGAATGAACTGATCCACTGGGTTTTCTGCTTTTCTCGTTGAACTTTATGAAACTTCCATTGAAATTTACAATTTGATACAATGAATAATATACCTTATTTATTCAAAAGTACAGCCGGTTACGTCTTGTGTGTTTATTGAATATCCTTATGAAGTAGGCTTTCCCCCGCTCTTTCAAAATATGTGACTAAATACTTTTAAAACCAAAGAGTATTTACACTCTGATGCTGAGAAGCGAGGGACAATCCTGTATCTGCTTACCTGGGAGTAAACTCCATTGAACCCAATGGAGCTTTCTTCTGAGTTTACATTTCTAGGATTGTGCTGTACCCTCGGTTGGAATCAGTGGCCAATGTTCACAAGTAGGATCATAACTGAGTAGGTGATTCCTCCACCCCAGCCGGACAGTAGTGCACGTTTCCTATATTTAATGGGTTTCTCATTTTTATAGGGTTCACCATACGGAAGTAGGCCATATGGTTCCAACAAGGTAAGCAGCCTTTTTGCATTAGCTTTTAATCTTCTTCTTGGCTTGGAGAGCATTTCTAAAAGTATATATATGACTTTGAAAGTATCAGCGAAGCTTCTAAATAGCCCGGGACTGTAATCAATCATGAAGCACTCGACCCAGTACTAAAACTGGTTTATTATCATGTGCTGGGATATTTTCACAAGTTAACACTAATAGCCTAATCTGATGTATCTCTACACAAAAGTAAGCTTGACTGAATTCAGTGGGATTTACTTCCTAGTAAGTGTGCTTAGAATTGCTGCCTAAAACACACTATCATGGGAGTTGTTGGCCTTTAATTCAGCCAGACTTCTTCACAAATAAACAAGTATAGGAATGTGCTGCAATTCTGTGATCATGTATATTCTTAAAGAGTAAATTTTGTTGAACAATCTGCATGGTTGCAGTTTTCTATGCCCTTACAGAAGAAAGTGCCTTACTTCTGTGTAAGAATGCTGCCAAACTTCTCTTTGGCAAAAATCTGTGCCACATCTTAGAAATCTGGAGGGAACTGTGTTTCAATAAGAAAGGGGGAAATTCTGGGCTCTGGAGGTCCCATCATGAGCCAGAGGCTCCTAGGCTACGCACAGAAAGGCCTCTGCACCTTGAGGCCATATGAGGACTTACTATGAATGTGCCGAGGCTGAGCTGCTGAAATAATTTGCACTCATTTCCCCCCTTCTGCAGGGTTTTCAAAGCAATCAGGCTCCTCACTCTGTAAGTACACTGTTTTCAGAACATTTACATTCCCCCCCTTCCTTATTTCTGTTAAATGACAACGGCCATGTTCAAAATTATACTGTGAACAATATTGGATGGTAGTGAGTTGGTGGCATAGACTAGAAATGTGCATTGATCTTTATGTGCAACTTTTGGTTGACTGCCACATCTTCTTCTTCTTCTTCTTCTTCTTCTTCTTCTTCAACAATGCTTTGAAGTGATTCACTGGAGTCTAAGGGAGCAGACACCTTTTTCTCTCTCTTGTATATCCACCCAATGTATGTGTACAGTAGAAATTTGGAATGGGTTTTTCAAAGGGAGGGTGCAGGAGAGGGGAGTGGACCCTCCCTTTCTTCCACACACCAGATATTTTCTCCACTTCCAATTCACTTCTGGTACCAGAGCTGCATACGGAGAAAATTACCTGCAGGAATTGACAAGAAGGGGAAAGGCAAGAGAGGAGGAAGAGGATTCAAAGTCTACATGCTCCTTTTACTGTTAAAATTAGTCACACACCCCACTTTGTATTTAAATGGAAGTTTGCACATATCTTTTGTCCGAAAAGGGTTCTTATCATAACTTGTAAAAATTACAGTCTTGTTAACATTTTGTAGTTGGACTTTAGCCAAAGGATCCTAAGTCATAGGATAAAAGGATGGGTTATCAGGAAGGTAAACAGTGAGGTACCCTCAGGACCTATCCAGAGACTGATGCTATTTAATCTCAGGCATCGTAATGCAGTGGCAGAGTGGACTGTACCACTGCGTTCTGAAGGTGATGCGTGCCGTTTTTTGGAAGTTTCCCACAAGTTCACTGCAAACAAAACATAAACCTAGCATGTGAGGGAGAAAGGTTTTATCCTGGCCTCTTCTCTATTTGAAATTTCCACTTTCAAGTACATGTTTGGGCTATTGCTTTTCAACATAGGATACACTTAACGATTGTGATGCTTCCACTGGCAGTCTGAAATGATACAGTTCATTCTACCGCCTCATGAGCAGACAAGGCCTTATTCATAAATGATGTGCAGTCAGGTGGTCGGGTTTGTGGATGCCACCAAATTATTTGCGATGGTGGGAATCCAAGCAGATTGTGAAACCTTCCAAATGGAGCTCTCCAAATTGGGGAATGGGCAACAAAATAAATGCCCACCAAAATTCAGTGGAAGAAAGGGCCCTTAGGGATTCACATTGTGGCCAATAGGCACTGAAAGGATCTGTGACTCCCCAGCAAAGGTAGTTCACTTTAAACATCAATTCATTGTGTGCCAGCCATGAAACATGCATATTTTATGATGCAAATTACTAGCGGAAGGGATTGAAAATAAAAAGTGATGAGTGCCATAATGCCATTATAGAAGTCTCTTGTGTGTGTGCATTAGGAATACTGTGTGCTAGGATATTGCAGAGCTAGAAAAAGGTGCAGAAAATGACTACTCCCCAAATGACCAAGCAATTAAAGCACTTTCCTATGAATTTTTTTCACCATCTCACAATACTAGAAACTGATTCTAGAGTGATTATATATGTGTGTTCTTTTGCAGGACGCTTCCGGGAAGCAACCCATCTTCAGCCTGTTACTTTTCAGTGTTCTCGCACCTCTACTATCTCTTATTCAGTGGATGATCTAAACTTCTGAAGCCATACCGATGAGGAAGATTGCCTTCTTCAACAGAATACTACTTTCTATACGAAACGATTGAGTCGAATTTATGGACTGATAAAACATTCATTCCTCCCCATCCCCACCCCTGGGTTAACAATGCAATAGGTCATGACACTGACTCTTCTTGTCTCTTTATTTTCATAGCAGAGCTTCATATGCGTCGTATGAAGTAGGGATATTAATTGCAAGAAATATGATGTTTTATTTGCTTCTTGAGATGTAATGAATGCTTCCTCTGCATTTGCTCTAAGCAGGATTCTATTCGTTCCAAAGAATTTGGGAGTTATAGGTGACAATCCATTTAGTAATAATAGAAATAATAATAATTTTATTATTTATAGCCCACCCATTTGGCTGGGTTTCCCCAGCCACCGTGGGCAGCTTACAGCACATAAAAAATTGTAAAACACTAGACATTAAAAATTTCCCGATACAGAGTTGCCTACAATAGGCTAGGCCTATTGTTATCAAGAGAATTAAACATATTTTAAAATGTTGGCTTGTGGTCCTAGAAGAGTGATAACTCCCACATGCCAAGACCCCTAAATGGATGTATAGAATGATAGTGATCCAAACCTTCAGTAATACACCGTAATTTTCAGAAAGTGACCCACAGTAAGATAGCAAGGATGATTATCCTCAGTGAATTTATAGTAATCAGCCTAGAGATTACGAAAGAGAAACTATTCTTGCGGTGAATATCTCAACATTCCCTCTTCTTCATAAGCACAATTATGTTAGACCTTTATGATGATTATAAGAGAATAAAGATAAGCTATATTCAATTTCAAATAGATGCATGAATTTAAATAACCAGGAACCACTCACAAGCTTGAGCATTCCTATATTCATACAAAAAGCTATGACATCAAGGCTTTTACTGATGGGGTGAGCTTGTGCTGGATGCACAAATTAAAATTCCACAATATTTCTGTAAATCACCTCTTGCCTAACTTGCCTTCCAAAGGCCAAGCAAAATGGCCACAATAATATGGAGCAAAAACTGATTGATTCTGTCCTGCTCAAAGCTAGCAATTGCATCCTGTCCCAGCTTTTTGGTGGTGCCCTCTCTTCACTAGAGCTCCAGTCCTTACTTGTGTGGCATCATCTTACTTACAAGAGGGTGGGAGACTGCTCAGGCTCCCTTATCTCCAGCCAGCTCCAGTAGATCAACTCTAGCTCCTCCCTAAATTACCAGTTGCCAGCTACCCAATAACACAGTTATAATTTTTGTTTTTGTTTTAAGTCAGTCCCATCCAGTCTGTAACTCAAAAGAGTTGCCTTTCAGATACCTCAAGCAGGGATGAGGACATACATTTTGAGAAGGCTTGTTCTAAAATTACACATGTTTGGGTTATGTTCTTTTTATTTAAAAAATACAACACCCACCCCTACTTGTGGATCCCCCTCCCAATGAACAGACTCTTAGAGAGAAATGTGATAGCATCACATACAGTATGTACCAGGTACACTAGTGATGATCTAAATTAAAAATGTTTATTACATTGCCTCTGACCCACTAATACAATGGGGTGTGTTTTTTTCTGCAACAGCATGCTTTGCGTTTGCATATAACTTTTTGAAAGGTTTCAGAAATTTAAGACCACTTAAATTCCTGTCATCTTTACTATAACATGTCCTTAAACTTAAAAACGGCATAGGCGTTTTAAAATGGGCCTTTTGTTTGCATAGAATTAGGACGACACAACATTATCCATAATTCAGTTAAGACAGACTAGTTACAATTAAATTAGTGTGTTTATTAAGCACATCTGGAGTCAGAATTCAGCAGTGCTTGAAGAGGGATCAAACCCTAACTCTACTGGGTTTTTTAATCCCACTTCAAGTACCTCAGATTATAAAAGTACAAAGAGTTTCTCAAAGAGTATGTTCCTAGGACCCCACTTATTTTTATGGTTGTTAAGTTGTTTTAAATTGTTTTTCATGTTGTGTTTTAATGCTCTTGAGATCTTAGAGTGAAGGGCAGGAAATAAAAAATAAAATAAACAATAGGTGTTTATTTTATTGGGTGTTGTTCGTAGCTCAAAATCAGAATTCAGGACATTCTAAACAATACTACATGGCTATTGAAGTCCTTATTGTAACATCCCTAAAGCAGGAACCTCCATGACACTTTAGAAGCCATAAAATACAAGAGAGAGGATTCAGGTTGAGCCTAAACTCCATTAAAATTCTATGGACCTTTGGTAGTCAAATAATTAACTGTCAGGAAAGGGTTTTTCAGTCTCACTCTTAAGCCAGTCATATTCAAAGTAGACCCTTTGGAATTCATGGACTCAAGTCACTTAAGTCCATTGTGATTTCAATGGATCTACTCTGAGTATAAGTAACCATGGCTGCCCCCCCCTTTAGTGTTCACATGTGCCTAATCCTTTAAAGCTTGCATCATTGTTTTACATAGCTTGTGGCAAAAACACATATTTTTCTCAAATAAGGCTTTTAGGATTCTGTTCAAAACCAATTGATAGATACAACTTCGAAAGGTCTTTAGGATGTAATATACTGTTCATTTGAATAGGTATTAAATTGTTCTAATAAATTTATTATTGGTTTCATACGAACTGCCGTGTCTTTGCAATTTGTTGTTCTATTTTCAGTAACTGTATCTGAGAAACTGAAGAAGCCAATTTACGTGGGTTTCATAAAGTTTGTGCTTAGGAACATAAGCTAGATATTCTGGCTATACGTTGAAACGGGAATGCCTAAAGGTTTATTTAAGGAAATGTAGTGCTTTAGGGAAACTAAGGGAATCTGGTGCTTTCAGAAAGCTGGAAATAGACACCAAAGCAACATAGATGGAGCAAATACTGCCCTCATGTTATATGCTTCTGAAATATAATTAATTATGTATTTCAGGATGTTGACATACATAATTCAACCTCCTCCACCCACCCTCTATATATTCTTTCTAATGTCAGTAGATGTAATCACTTACACAACCCATATGATGAGCTAGTATGTGTGTCTCTTGCAAGATGGGATAAGAGTAGGAAGGAATGATGAACATGAATCAAAGATATCCCTTTGCCAAAATGAACTATTCTACGACAGACTGACGTTGTTTTGTATACACCACCGAATAAATAAATAAATGTTTCAGTAGAATGGTTGAAATGCAGCTGGGGGAAAAGCTTTGAATAATTGTGCAGATAAGCCCGTCTTTAACTTTTTCTAAGATAAGAATAGAATTTTAAGTGCTCATCAACAAATCCAATGTTTAAAATTCCACTAGGGAATTTTGTGGCCAGGCTAGTTCTATGCAAATGAACATTTAATTTAGGAATTTACAGATGGTTGGCCACAATATAGCTTCCATTGCTGAAAGCATTTATTAGCGCCTTTCATCCGTGGGTCCAGAATTGGCCTCCACAATCACTTACGGACTCACTGTTACGACCGTGTTTGTGGAAGACAATCTCACTCGGCTATGAGTGAATGCCAAAGAAGAAGAACCTGCATTCATAGCATCTCAGGACAAAGCCAGCCACACAGACTGCTTCGCAGATACAGTGGTACCTCAGGTTAAGTACTTAATTCGTTCCGGAGGTCCGTACTTAACCTGAAACTGTTCTTAACCTGAAGCACCACTTTAGCTAATGGGGCCTCCCGCTGCCGTCGCGCCGCCGGAGCACAATTTCTGTTCTCATCCTGAAGCAAAGTTCTTAACCTGAAGCACTATTTCTGGGTTAGTGGAGTCTGTAACCTGAAGCGTGTGTAACCTGAAGCGTGTGTAACCCGAGGTACCACTGTAAACAGTTTTAAAGAAGGCATTGTACATTCCACACTGGGGACCACACTGTGGCAAATACTACACTAAAAGTCTCCCGTGAGAAGAGGACCTTAGTGCCATGTATAAATTCATATTTATATCCAGTACCAGAGACATACTGGTACAGTGGTACCTCAGGTTACATACGCTTCAGGTTACAGACTCCGCTAACCCAGAAATAGTGCTTCAGGTTAAGAACTTTGCTTCAGGATGAGAACAGAAATCGTTCTCTGGCGGCGCGGTGGCAGCAGGAGGCCCCATTAGCTAAAGTGGTGCTTCAGGTTAAGAACAGTTTCAGGTTAAGTACGGACCTCCGGAACGAATTAAGTACTTAACCTGAGGTACCACTGTACATAACATTCTGTAAAGTCACACAAAATATATTACCATTCTGTGCATCTAGTCAGAAAAGAGACATAATGGAACCGGCATGGACATACAATTCTCTATTTGTGGCTGTGGCTTCATCATTGTCTTCACTTTTCACTTGCTACACCTGCCAATCCCAAATATTCTTCAGAGAATATGAGTTAAGGAAGAACTCAGGGTTCGTGTTTCAGGAACAGAAACTTAATAGCATTCAAAGAGAGCACAATAGGCCTTTAAAAGAAGAGAAACATACCCATAGGCCTTATGAATCTGGAATTGCAAGCAATGAACAGGAAAAGCCAGTTTGGCACCATTGTAATGGCCAGGACTGACCTGCTTACATACTTTGACTTGTTTTACCAGAAATAACATCAACTATGTTAGGAACTTGCACAATGGCTACTGAAAATGTCATTCGTAGTTACCAACCCCTGTGACACATGGTAGTTCCCAAAGACACAATGGGATCATAATGGACACTCGCAGAGTTTTTATTAACATGTTTTCAGCTGTTTGCAGTTCAGCTTGACAGTTCACCCTTTGCTTTTGAATTTTCAGGCAAGGTATCAAAAGCAAATTTATGAAGCCCTTGGTGGGCTGCCATTCATGGTGGGAGGGGTTCATTTTGCTTGAATGGTCACAGATATGCAGGTCTATCTTAGGTGGTGGGAGGGCAAATGTTATTTGGAAGGGGGTCACGGAAGTTCCTGGCTACCTGCCGTGTCTCACAAATATTGTGAGCTCAAAATTTAAACAATGTCCTTTATAGTTTGTTATAAGAAAAATACTGCTCCCTTTCCCTTATGGAGTATCTAAGAACCCATACAGATTCCTTACGTAGGTTCTCTATTGGTAGAAAATAACAGAGGCCAACCAGAGAATATTGAGAAGCTAGTAAGCATGATCTTTATTAAACTGTTGCAGCAGGGTCCCCCGCTCACCCCACGCAGGGAGGGCGGAGAGGAACCTAGAACAATGGTGTTTAAGCTCTTATATAGACATTTGAAAATTGCCTCCCATGTAGCTCAAGACCACCCCGCAAAACATCATGCATACATCACTGAAGGGGAGGTCTACAGCAGAAAACCTGTCTGCCAGGATACCTGATAATGGTCACTGATTGCTTTTACCTAGGCATCCTGGCCATTCTTTTGTTTCTGAATCCAGGTCACAGGCTAACCCTATTCATACACAGATACGCCCTTAAGACAGGATTTGTGAGCAAAGAGACCATGGGGAGGTTTTCCCATTTCCTTCCTCCTTGCAGAAACATTTCAGGTCAAATTTGGGAGAGTCAAAATGGTTTAAGGATTGCTCTCCTGTATGATTTATGTTATATGTTTATGAACATATGATTTATATATACGCGACCTTAGAATTCCTATAACACTGTTCTTGAAAGTTACCCATTCTCCTGTAGAAGAAAAAGAGAGATAATGTTTAACATGAAGGAGAAAATAATAACAATAATAAACTGTGTGAAAGAAGGTAGGCTTATGACACCATAAATCTGTCCCAGGACTGTGCATGGCACTTGTAAAAAGGGGTGGAAGAGGTGGGCCAGGGCGAGGGGTGCCTGCTGCCCTCCGCTCGCTTCCAGCCCCTCCGCCTCCTTTCCCCGGCCCTGCGGAAAGCTTCTCCCGCCCGGACTCCGGGGTTCCCCGAGGGAAGTTCACCCTGGAGGAGCGCGGGGTTTCGGCAAGCGGCCTCGGAGAAAGGAAGGGCCGTCCGGGGCGCTGGGAACCGAGCGGGCGGAGCCGCGGCTGCAGCCGGAGCGTTGTCGGGGCGGGACCGGGAGTGGATGGCGGCGGCGGCGGCTGGTGGGGGGGAGAAAGCAGCACCCGGAAGGGAAGCGCGCCAGGCTCCCCGCGCGGCAGGTGAGGATGGGAAGCGAAGGAGACCCGGGCGGGAAGGAAGGGCAGCTCCTCGCCGAGGGAGGCAGCGGGAGGAATCGGGAGCCGGAGGGGATGCGAACCTGGAGGAGGCGGGGCTCTTCGGCTGGGGGGCGGCTTGGCTTTCAAGCACCCCCCACCCCATCCCCGAGGGATTGGGCTCCCCCACCGAAAGGGGGTGGTCCCTCCGAGCATGTGCAGAGTGCCGTCCCGCCCAGCCGCAGCCAGAAGCAGCCAGCCCGTTCTGACGCTTTGCGATCGCGGCGAGGAAAGGAAAGTTTCGTGTTCTTTCCTTCGCCTTGCGCATTGCCCTCAGGAGTCCCTCGAGGAGCTTTGATATTTTTTTTCATGATAAAAGATGGGCTTTTTAGCTGGGAGGCAGCTCTCAGTCGGTGATGCATGAGGCCCTTGATCTCAGGGTGAAGGGTTCAAGTCCAAGATTCCTGCGCCGCGGGGGGTTGGACTAGATGACCCCCGAGGTCCCTTCCAACTCTGCAGTTCTGTGATTGGTGCAGTGGGTCAACGTGTCTGGCTGTTGCGGGTTTGAGGCCACCCAGGGTCCGCTGTGGGCTGCATTCCTGTGTTGCAAGGGGGGTTGGACTAGATGACCCCCGAGATCCCCTCCGACTCTGCAGTTCTGTGATTCTTGTTTTAGAAATGTCTGGCGCCAAGGAAAGCGACCACTGAGCTTAGAATTGGCTAGTTAAGCTTGAGGCTTACAAAAATTTAAGGAGTCATTTGGATCAGGGATACATGAAGTTAAGAGACACCCTGCCATTCCTTTGTGCCTTATGCTACTCCTGCCAAATAGGTTGCCTGCTTGTTGGTGGGCTCAACTTGAAGGACTGTTGAGAAACAAATTTATTACTATTGTGCATCGACTTCTTTGGACACTCAGATGGCCTGGATTCCAGTGACTTGTACTTTGGCAAGCGAGAAACACAGGGAGATGGTACATGGCAGTTAATTAGAAACAACAGCAACTCCTCTATGGTTTTATTTAACAAATTAATGCTAGTTTGTTGCAAGCCAGGAGCATGTAGCCCAGGGGTGTAGGTAGGTAAGGAACTGGGTTTTGAGGGAAAGTTTGAAGCTTAACACTGGGAAAGATGCAACGAAAAAGGACTGCCATTCCTTGCATATGAAAAAAGACACAAACAGCTGGAACTCCCAGAATTACTACACTTGTATTAATTCAGTTTACACTGTACCTAAGGATTAATGGCACATTTGTCCAAATCTTAGGAGAAGTGCAGTGTGGTCTCATTGAGCTTTACTCTCAAGAAAATATGTATAGGCGTATAGGATTGCAGCCTAAAGTTACTATGTGTACTTTACCAGCTGGCACCTATCACTATATTATAGAAAGAGAAAATACGGAGTGACATTTACACAATGAAAACATTGTATGTACTATTTATGAATAAAGAGAGGGAAACGATTCCATTTACTCTTGCCACAGAGAGTTGGACACAGGAACTCCTAAGTCAATATCAAACTCTTGCTTCTCTGTGTGTTGCTTCTCTGTGTGTGCACAGTAACAGTTAATCTGTGGAGTAATGTAAACCTATGAGGCCCAGAATTTCATGTGCATCAGGATTCTGGTTTTGCGCTCTTCCTTATTTGATATCTGAATAGCAGCCATCTAATCACACCTTTGTGTATTGTGTTAGGGAATTTCTATTTGGCAGGGAGGAATAGAGGAGGCTGAAGATGTATCACATGTTTTACAGGTTACAGCCTGACTCTCTACATTGCCTCTTTGAAAGGTTTTCCCACACAGTTAGGTTGTACTATTTCCAGAAGTATTAAAAGCATGGTGAAACCGGTTTCTCATATCCATCCTGGTAATTGAAATTTGGTGGCGGGGGGAGACAGTGATCTTGGAAAGTATCCTAAAATATCTGTGTCTTTGTAGAATTACTATTGAAGGGGAACTGAAGGATTAAGAAGTAGAATTTGATTTTTGATTGTTGAGCAAGAACTAGAAAAAATAACAGGAGGGCGAAAGAGGATGTCAATTGGGAGATAAGAAATAACTCGGTGGCTTACAAAAGGAAGGCAGTGGTACGGTTAAAAAAAGGGTGAGGTAGACAGAGGGCATATTGGGATCTACTGGCAAATTGTGTGAGTTGCAGTAATAATAATAATAATAATTTATTATTTGTACCCCGCCCATCTGGCTGGGTTTCCCCAGCCACTCTGGGCGGCTTCCATAGAAACAAAAAATACAGTAGATCTGCATGGGTTTCCAATTCCCAATTGTTTAACAATAGCAACAGCAAAATGACTTTTCCATCTCAATTAAACTGGTGAAATGAAGAAAAGTTGAAGTAACTAGGACTAGTGCAAAAGAAAGTAATCTCTTTTCTAGTACTGTAGTCCTATGCATGCAAACAACCGTTTTATGTCTCTTGCACCTGACTCTGGTTGGTAGTATTTTGATTCTAGGAAGAGGCAAAATAGATTCAACAAGCCTGAACTCTGCCCACCTCTGAGTTGAAAGTCAAGCTAATAATTGCCTACAAATGTTAGTACCACTGCTGCTATCATCAGTCTTTGAAAAACATATCTGCCTTAGCCAAGTGCTTTGTTGAAATAACTATGGATGAGGTTGCACCACAGCTTAAGCTGTGTGAGATTTGCGTCACACCTTGAAATGGGTGGGATACCCTTTTCTGCTTTGAGCAGTGAATAAATCTTTATTTACATGGCTGGTGTGGTGCTTTTTAGATAGTCGTGAGTATTACTACTGCTGGAAGAGTGCGTTGATGTGATGTTTTGGACCACAACTCCCATCCTCTTGCAATTTAATTTAGGTAGTATGGAACAAAGGTGGGTGAGGTTAGGCGATAGCAAGTAGAACAGGAAAACTGAGGGTATTTATTCCTTCACAAATCCTGCTTTTCTGCTTGAAAAATTGCTCAAGGCACTTAACAATTGTGTTTGCGTGTTTTTAAGTGATTATACAACTTTTTAAAAAAATTACACAATCGAAACAGACAAGCAGCAGGGCAGATAAACAAGCCAAACATGACAGAATAATAAACTTGACTAGATTTCTTCTACCTTCACACTATGAGACTGGAACATCAGTCTTAATTAAAAAAAAATAAAATCAGTCTGGTTTAGGAGAAGCTTTTGAAATAATTAAATAAGTGAAGGGTTCTGTTCTCAAAGAAATGGATACCCTGCCCCACCCCCATTTTCTTTTTTGGCCTGCTTCAACAACTTTTGACAATGTGAAGGGGAAAGTTGTAATTCTCTGCAAAGTACTTGCGAGTGAGGTCTGGCATTGGAAATACTGAACTAGAGAGAGAGAGGTTTGAACAAACAGAACTACTGTATGTTTACATTGAAGGGTGTAGACCAGGGGCCAGATCCGGCCCAATCGCCTTCTAAATCTGGCCCGCAGACGGTCCGGGAATCAGTGTGTTTTTACATGAGTAGACTGCCCTTTTATTTATAACGCATCTCTGGGTTTTTTGTAGGGCCTGCCTGGTGCTTTTGCATGAGGAGAATGTGTGCTTTTATTTAAAATGCATCTCTGGGTTATTTGTGGGGCTTAGGAATTCGTTCTTTTTTTTTTTTCTTCAAAATATAGTCCGGCCCCCGACAAGGTCTGAGGGACAGTGGACCGGCCCCCTGCTGAAAAAGTTTGCTGACCCCTGGTGTAGGCCAGTGTGGGTGGTGCATGTTCTAACTAGCCTTTATTCATACCCCGAAGCATTGTGAGGAATTTAAATGGTGGCTCCAAGCTGCCCCGAGGTTGGGGCAAAGTTTTTCAACCTTTTTGGATCCACAGCTCCCTTGACCAACTACATTCCTTCTGCAGCACCCCTGTGGGGCTCAGGAGCTCAGTTACGTCACCCCTTGCCTGCAGAGCCAGCAGCCCCCTCACCCCTTTTCAAATACCCTTCCTTGTGGAGTGTTTCCCCAGCCTCCTCTCCTTGGGAGTCCTCTGGACAGCCACTGCTGCCGCCCCTGGTCTCTGAGCTACCCCCCTGCCCACCCCAAAGAGAGGCGCCTCCTTACATTGCCCCTCAGGGGCCTGGAAAGCACCCCCTGGCCAGCCCCAGAGGCACCATTCACCTGGGGAGCTTGTAGCCAGGGCTGCAGCAACAAATAGCCCCGTAAGCCTTTGGGAGGCAGAGATATGAGAGGGTATCAGAGGAGGGAGGGAATAAAAGCAGGACAGAGGCCAGTGTTGCCCGCGGCACCCCTGACCATCATTCAAGGCACCCCAGGGTGCCACGGCACCCTGGTTGAAAACCACTGGGTTAGGGGAACACTGATGATACAGCTCACCACTAGGTAACTCCATTGGGGGCTGGTGAGTGTTCAACTGATATAGGAGGGACCCAGGGGCTGAAACTATGCCAAAGACCCAGTCAATGCTTCAGCCTGCCCAGATTTAGCCTATTATTGTAAGGTGGGCAAACACGTGCACCACACTCACAGTAATAATAATAATAATAATAATAATAATAATAATAATAATAATTTATTTATATCCCGCCCTCCCCAGCCAAAGCGGGGCTCAGAGCGGCTAATAACAGTAAAACAATACAGCATTCTAAAATCAATTCAGTACCTTTATGTTCAAGGTTTTATCTTCTATTCTGAATAACCACAGTTCCTATTTTAATTCCTAATGCCTCTATTCCATAAGGCTTAAATGTTCATAGTGCAATCCTATGCATGTCTGCTCAGGAATAGGTTCTGTTGAGTTCAGTAGGACTAGCCATAAGTGTGTTCAAGGCTGCAGGCTTTCAGCCTTAGTTTTCTAAAAGTCTCCCTTGGCTAATTTGTTCTGTTACCCAGTAGTTTCTACAAATAGGAAGATTTCCAGCTTAAAACCCCTGTGTTAAAACCTGAGCCCATTGCTTTTTGCCATCATATCTGCCCCCTCAAAAAACCATTGGTAAAGTATTTCTTACATTGTTTTTGACAAGGTTATAGATATTTAATATTTACCCCCAAAATTATACTGCTGAATATAATAAAAATGCACCACATCCTCTGCTGCTCAGCAAAACTCCATTCACTTTGGTCTTTCATGTACCATGCACTGTTTTAAAGGAGCAAATAAGGTTATCAACCTGCGTCTTAGAAACATTTTGTAGTTGTCCATTTCCACAGACACATAGCAGGGTTAAACCTTAGGTTGAAAGTTTCTATGTTCGTAAATATTTAGCGTATATAAAGTGCTTTGTGGAATTCAGTCTCTGTTTTGAAGATCTTTAGTCTGAGATTTCTTATCTAGAGGAAACGCGATATTTAAATAAATATCTCTAAACAGGCTGTGCTTTGCAGCGTGCTTAACAGTGAGTGGTTTATTGTTTCAGTGGAATGCGTAGCATATTGCTAGTTACACAATTTCTGACACGTCACTTGTCTTAAAGGCGGTGTTAGGTACAGCATAGCATCAAAAGTGCTTTTCTGTGTGCAAGGTACTTAAGTGTCCACATGAGAAATCGGTCTTTTGGAGTCACCTCTTGACTTAGAAAAACGTTTTCCCTACAAGAAAATGAAATCATTTTGCATATGCTACAAAGCTTGGTGTTTGCTGAAGAAGAACGACAGCAAGCAAAATTGGCATATAGCAAGCTGATGCTACACAAAACTTGGAAATCTAGTGCTTTCTTCTAAGACAGCTTGGGAAGAAAATGTGGCATGGAACTTATCAACTGATACCTGATGGGTTCTTCTCCAGCAAGGTTGACTGAATAATTCTATGTGCCTAACATTTCAGTTTTTGAAATGGCAGAAAACGGAGAGAAGATTATACTTGAAGTTAGTATATCTCTATGGTTTGTTTTGGTTTTTTTAACCATTTTCTACCGTATATGTTTTTATTAAGCATGCTCTTAAGAAAATACATAACAGTGCTGAATATGTTGGGAGTTTTCTTGTTGGCTGAACTCTTAATGGGGGTGAGGATCCAAAGAGCGACTTCTGGTATGCCAAAGGAATTAGGTATGTCAGATAAATTTTTCCCCCCTCCCTTCAAATAATAGATCTGCATGCTATATTGCAAACCACTTTTGAAAATCCCCTTAGTTTCAAAAGTAGTTTGTATGCAGCATAGTTGTTTTTCTCTTTGATTACCATAAGCCCAAAATCTACTTGAACATGCAGAATTAGTCCTGAGCCATTTAAGGCTTTATAGGTCAAAAGCAGCACTTTGAATTGGGCCCAGAAACTACCGTATTTTTCGCTCTGTAGGACACACTTTTTCCCCTTCAAAAATGAAGGGGAAATGTGTGTGCGTCCTATGGAGCGAAGATGCCATAGCCCTGCGACCCTCTCCCGGCTGGAGAGGTGACGCGCGGCTATTGAGGCTCCTGCCATAGCGGCGCGTCACCTCCCCAGCCGGGAGAGCGCGCGCGGGGCTAAAGAAGCCATAGCCCTGCGACCCTCTCCCGGCTGGAGAGGTGACGCGCGGCTATGGCAGGAGCCTCTCCGCTGCGCCTTTCCGCTGCTCCCTGACCTGCTCTTTGGGGCTGGTGGTGGGCTTCCCCCCGCCAGCCCCAAAGAGCAGGTTGAAAGGAACCTGAAGCCTGGAGAGCGAGAGGGGTCAGTGCACACCGACCCCTCTCACTCTCCAGGCTTCCAAGGTAGCCGCCTGAATGCACCTTAAACGGCACCTTGTTTTAGAGCGGGAAAACAAGAGGGGGAAAGTTCTCCCCCTCTCTGTGCAGCGCCTCCTGCTGCTTCACTGAAGGGGCGCTGGGCAGAGAGGGGGAAATTTTTTTTTCTTGTTCTCCCCCCTCTAAAACAAAGTGCGTCCTATTGTCCGGTGCGTCCTATGGTGCGAAAAATACGGTAATTGGTAGCCAGTGCAGTCGAACCAGGATCGGTGTACTATGCTCAAACTGTCTTGCTCCAATGAGCAACCTGGCCGCTGAATTCTACACCAGCTGAAGTTTCCGAACCGTCTTCAGAGGCAGCCCTACGTATAACGCATTGCAGTAATCTAACCTTGAGGTTATCAGAGCATAGACAACAGTAGTTGGGCTATCCCTATCCAGATAAGGGCGTAGCTGGGCCACCAGCCGAAGCTGGTTTGACATAAAAGTTGAGAAACTTGTCGTTCAGGAAAAACAGCCACCTGTCTTCTATTGGACTTGTTTATTAGGCATAGTTAGCAGCTCGTATGTTAAGGTAGTTCATGAAAATTTAAATCAGTATTTCTTTCTGGCTTGTATTTTGTTTAGTTGTTCAGATGTTATACAAATATAAAATGCGTGCAGGAGAATTCTAAGAACAGTTAGACGTGTTCTTTTCACTTCCAAGACATTTGTGCAAAACTCAAAATGCTGGTCAATGTGAAATACAGCTGTCTTTGAATTGAAATGTTACAAATGTACAAATTCATTTATGTCTTGCCCTATCCCAGAGTGTCAGGATGCCTGTGCTCCTTCCTGTGGGCTTATTCCTATCTTATTCCCTTACAGCTATTTCTCCTAATTCGTGAACAGTTTTTTTAAAAAACCCCGCAGATAATCGTTCTCATTCCCTTTTGTCCTAGTCAGATTTGCATTTATTCACCTAAGTTTCCATAAGCAACTCATACAGTTTCATGAAATAACGCTTTCTGAGCTCTCCCGCTTTCATTTGACACTGAAATCAAGGCTGGGTCTGTTCCCAAATCATCCTCTTCTTGGGTACCAGGCATCCATTAGGTTCCAAAGTGTGGCATCATCTACAATAGAAAAGGTGTAAAGAAAAGGTGAAATTGGTCACCTAGCTGTAAATGGAGAGTCACCTAGCTGTAAACTTCCTTCCTTCCTTCTAGTCTTTGTGACAGCTACTACCACTTTGTGGTATAATCCTCTATCCCAAACTTTGGTTTTCAGCTCTAAATCCACATTGCTCCGGAAAATACAAGGCAAGAACCCATCAGATATTTTTCTCTGAAATGTCATTGGGAAATAAGCATTGTGGGACATTAAGTTCACATTTGACTAAGACTGCAGTATTTAGTTGATCGATATATTAATCAGTTAAAAAAACATTTTGGTCAAGCAAAAAGTTGCTGGTTGTCTGGGCAGCAGATTAAATTTTTTTTATTATTTTAATATTTGCTTAGAAAAAGCACAAGTATTGGGTGCCATCCTAAAATAACATTTTTTTTGTCCTAAAGTGCCACAGTAGTAGTATACTTAGTTTCATATATATATCTCAAATCAGTTTACAAAACTTAGTAAAAACCATTAAGAACAGTGTAAAAAAAATAAGAAAAGATGAATTTAAAAAACAATACAAAACAGACACCCGTGGCAGAGATCTGTTTAGCCAACTGGGAAAGCTTGTTGGAGCAAAAAGGCATTTTAATTGCTTCTGGAAAGTACAAATAGTGGGAGGCATTTATCGCATCTGGGATTTCTTTTCTGGGTTACCAAAATAAGAGGCTATTCAGCATGCTTGACTGGCTAGCAGGTAACAGGAGCTCATAATTTCCTGCCCTCCGAGCCAATGTGGACAGGACAGGTTAAACAGCTTGGGCGAACATCTATTATTATTATTATTATTATTATTATTATTACTATTATTTAAATTTGTAACCGGTAATTCCCTCTCCCACAACACATTTAAGGGCATCGTATGTTAACCAGCCAAAATTGTCTCAGGCCCTCTCTTCAGGCTGTCATAGCATCCCATACACCCACCCCACTACTGATAAGAGGCCATTGGAGAACGCACAGAGGAACATTTTTTGCAAGCCTCCCTCTGCCCCAGACCCTCCAAGTGTCCTTATTTTCTAGGGACAGTCCTGGATTTACAGAAGCCATCCAGGTTTCTGATTTGATCCTGGAATGTCCCGTTTTTCCTTGTTGTTGTTGTTTAGCCATTTAGTCGTGTCCAACTCTTCGTGACCCCATGGACCAGAGCACACCAAGCACTCCAGTCTTCCACTGCCTCCCACAGTTTGGTCAGACTCATGTTTGTAGCTTCGAGAACACTGTCCAACCATCTCGTCCTCTGTCCTCCCCGTCTTCTTGTGCCCTCAATCTTTCCCAACATCAGGGTCTTTTCCAGGGAGTTTTCTCTTCTCATGAGGTGGCCAAAGTATTGGAGCCTCAGCTTCACGATCTGTCCTTCCAGTGAGCACTCAGGGTTGATTTCCTTAAGAATGGATAGGTTTGATCTTCTTGCAGTCCATGGGACTCTCAAGAGTCTCCTCCAGCACCATAATTCAAAAGCATCAATTCTTCGGCGATCAGCCTTCTTTATGGTCCAGCTCTCACTTCCATACATCACTACTGGGAAAACCATGGCTTTAACTATACGGATCTTTGTTGGCAAGGTGATGTCTCTGCTTTTTAAGATGCTGTCTAGGTTTGCCATTGCCTTTCTCCCAAGGAGCAGGCCCGCTTTTCCTTAGGACGTCTCTATTTCCATCAGAGAAATGTTGGAGGCTGTGAAGTTATGCTATCCCCCACCCACGCAAACCAAGGAGATAAGTCACTAGAAGACATCTGAAGGCAGCTCTGTAAAGGGAAGTTTTAAAAATAATTCTAGGTTTTTTATATTTGTCGGAAGCCACCCACAGTGGCTGACGCAACCCAGTCAAATAGGTGGGGTAAAATGATGATGATGATGTCCTTGTTTCCATCGGAGAAATGTTGGAGGCTATGGAGTTATGCGACCTCCCCATGCCAAGGAAATAAGTCACTATGCAGCCTTTAGAAGACATCAGAAGGCAGAAAGAGAAGTTTTTAAAATGTTTTTTTTTTTAGGTTTTTTATATTTGTTGGAAGCCACCCACAATGGCTGGGGAAACCCAGTCAATTGGGTGGGGTATAAATAAAATTAATAATAATAATACAGTAATGATAATAATTTATTTATACACCGCCCATCTGGCCGGGCCTCCCCAGCCACTCTGGGCGGCTTCCAACAAAATACTAAAATACAATAATGCATCAAACATTAAAAGCTTCCCTAAACAGGGCTGCCTTCAGATGTCTTCTAAAATAATGTCCCTATTTTCATCAGAGAAACATTGGAGGGAATGCTGCCCTCTTGAGAGTGGAGGAGCTACACAAGCCCAGTGAGCTCCATGCTCTTCCCCTTCCTGTCTTGGGGGCAGAGAAGGAGGAAGCTGAGAAGGCTGGAAGTTGGCCTGTCTTCCCTGTCAAAATGGCACCCAGCAGCAACCAGCCCCTTAGAGAGCGTTGAATGAAGGCTTTGTACCCAGAGAAGCTCTTCTTTCCTGACTTTTAATTTTTGTTACTTTGGCATCATTGCAAAAGCAGTGTTGCAGCTCATGCCAGCTTTAGAGGCAGAGCAGGCACCAGCCTCCTCTGCTGAGCATCTCTCTCATCCTCTTACGAGAGGCAGTCCTGGACCGTGGCAAGAGGGAAGCACCATGGGGCCTAGCCTGGGAGGGACCAGTGCAATGGAGAAGGTTAGCAAGTCCCCGTTTCCCACCTCTCCCGGTGGCAAGCAACTTCGCCTCTCTGTTATGGGGTAAAGAGCTGGAATGGGGTAAGAGCCAAACGGCCTGACGGAGGAACGAGCAAAGCCGAGATAGATGGCAGCTTCTCTTTCCACGCTCCGAGTTTCTTTCCATGAAGGTTTTATCGAGGGTTAATAAGTAGCTAAAAGGTCCAGTCATGACCGACTCTGGGGTTGCAGTGCTCATCTCGCTTTACTGGCTGAGGGAGCTGGCGTACAGCTTCCGGGTTACGTGGCCAGCATGATTATGCCGCTTCTGGCAAACCAGAGCAGTGCACGGAAACGCCGTTTACCTTCCCGCCGGAGCGGTACCTATTTATCTACTTGCACTTTGACATGCTTTCGAACTGCTAGGTTGGCAGGAGCAGGGACCGAGCAATGGGAGCTCACCCCGTCACGGGGATTCGAACCGCCGACCTTCTGATTGGCAAGTCCTAGGCTCTGTGGTTTAACCCACAGCTCCACCTGCGGGCCTCCCAAAAAGCTTGTCACCCACACAGACACCCACAATATCCTGAAAACTGGCCTTTCTCTTCCTATAAGAGGAGCCTAGAGAACTCCTGAACTTCTGACCAAGAAGAAACTATAGTATTATAGAGTTGAAAGGGCCCACAATGTGGCGTTCAAACCCAAAACCCTGAGTTTAAGAGACTTGTGCTCTTCCAACTGAGCTACTTCTTCTCAGACCTATGTAGACACTCTCAAGCCCAGAAGACTTTAATAATAATAATAATAATAATAATAATAATAATAATAATATTTTATTTATATCCCGCCCTCCCCAGCCGAAGCCGGGCTCAGAGCGGCTAACAACAATGAGAAAAGTTTGAAAAGATGTCGGGGTGGGGAATTGTAAGGGCCAAGCAAAATTGTTATTTTAAATATAAATTTGAGAAACTGCTTTGCTGAGTGATTGCCCCCATGTTGGAGGCTAACTTCATGCGATGTTAACAATATAATTAGTTATATAATAACTTTCTGTGGCTTTATGGTATGGCTTTATGTTTTTGTTGCTGTAAACTGCTTTGCTGTATATATATTTATGATACAGCAGTATACCAATTTTTTAAAAAGAAATACATAAATACCTTATGAGGGCCGACGAAAATGTCACAACATTTTGGCAAGCTTGCTCTTTGTAAGGTGAAAAAAGCTGGTTTAATGTCAAGTGAAGGATGTCAGCTGGAGACAAAATAAGAAAGGAAGCGGTATGGGAGGGGGAATTATGGACATATGCTTGCAACAGGAGCAGGAAACCTGATTTTAAGAAATTGTATTAAATTTAAGTAATTTGGTTTGATTTGTTACAATTTGGAAAAATAATTAAATAATTAAAACCTTTTGGCAAGCTTGTGAGTTCTGCACAACTCTTCATCAAACATGGATGGGGGGGGTGGAATGAGAAAAGTTTTGGGGGGTTTTTTAAGTACAAAAAAATTGTGATATTAGAGCCATAAGGTCAGAGGTGTAGGCTCTGTTCCGAGATAGAGATGGCAGCCAGAATAAGTTTCTCTCAGGTGCTACACCCCAAAGAGCAATAGCTCTCTATTGTGGGATGATAAATCCTGACATGTAACCCGGATCTGCCTTGTACCTTAAACAAAACAATCAGATTCCAGGATAAGTAGAAAGCAGAAGTAAAGAAAAACAGGGGCGTCTTTATCTTGGTGAAATTAGAGGTTAAGTTTGAATAATGTACTAGTTAAGAGAGAAGCAAAATAGTGCAGTATAGCCTAGTTGCTGATGGAGATGTAACCCTCAAAAGTCAAAGTGTTTGTATCCTGAATCAGGGATAAGAGGGTTGTGTCCAACTAAATTCTACTCAAATCAGACCCATTGAAATTAATTGGGAGTGGGTTCCTTTTATGATCTGATCATGCAGTTGTAAACACCAGCTAATTGGCACTGAAGGCTACCAAGTTAGTGTTCCTGGCCTTCCAGGATAGCATTGCAGGTCTTTTCATTTCTTTGGGTACCATGTCTCCAAATGCCTGTGTTGATCCCCAGAGAAACTTAAATTTTGTTCTGCTGCAACAGGAAGCCAGCAAGGTCATTGTCAAAGTATAGATGCCTTTGACAACCTTTCAAGTAATCTGTAGAAGTTACCTCAGCAGACTGAGGGGCCTATGTGGTGAGCCTGAGAGTGGATTCCTCTCCCTCATTGATTCCAGAAGATTAAATTTGGATATAGCTGTCCATGGCCCCCAGCCTGGCTCTGACAATTTGTATAGCTTTCTTGTGTATTAAGGGCACGATGCAACTCTTGTGCAACCCTAATAAAGTCTACATTTGGGGGGAGAGTACGCTCCAAAGTCTGCTTTATTAACAGTATGCTCCTGTTAGTATGGAACTACATGAGACAACATCAGGCCCAAATATTCATGCGCACACAGCACTCTAGTGAAGTTGTATGTCAGACCCTCAAAGTGTCCCTATTTCCCAGGGACAGTCCTGGATTTACAGAAGTTTTCTAATTTGATCCTGGAATGTCCCACTTTTCCTTAGGACGTCCCTATGGAGGGTATGGTTATGTGTCCCCCCCCCCCAAAGCGATAAGTAACTTTACAACCTTTCAAAGATATCTGAAGGTGGCCCTGTATAGAGAAGATTTAAATTAAAAAAAAGTTTAATGTTTTATTATGTTTTCATATATGTTGGAAGCCTCCCAGAGTGGCTTGGGCAACCCAGTCAGATGGGTAGGGTATGATGATACTACTACTACTACTACTACTACTACTACTACTGATGATTGAGGATGGAATAGGGCATCCCTATTTTCAATGGAGAAATGTCGGCGGGTATGGTATGTGTGTAAATGTGACTATCAGTGGGGGAAGGAGAGGCGCTGAAACCTTCAGATACAGAAGAATAGCCGCCAGCTCTTGAAAAATCATGATGACATTCTAAAGGAGTGTAAAAGAGTAGGTTGTGGTTTCTTTTTACACAGTTTTGACTTTTTAATCAGCTTTTGCTGTGCCCCGTTTTCAAATGGGGAACCTGTGGCCAGACCACTGTTCTTGGACTACAACTCACATCAACCCCATAGGGAAGGATGATGGGAACTGTAGTCTAGGTTCCCTATTCCTGCTTTGACATTCAGTGCTTGGTCTTTTCCATAGATTTCACCAGCAGTGGAATTATTCACTGCCACACAGACTGTTTTGTTCCGGCAGGCTTTCTGTTAGTGTTGGCATTTGAAGTGGACTCTGTTACTTCCTTGCTGTGCTGCTTTGATTGTTTTATTGCATGATGAATGTTGTTGGCTGCACTGAATGCTACTTTAGTAAGTGGAAGGGCAGGTTATAAATCCGAATCACCCATCTGTTAGTTAATTTGTAAAATAAACATCCCATGTACACCCCTCCTTAGTAACATGGGGTGGTTTTTTTTTAACTACCTGCTGATTTGTGGGTATTTATATAGTTTAAAAAGACACATTTGTTTTTCTTAACTGTCTTCAAAATGCTTCCTGATTTTGAGTAGCTTGAAGTTTTTTTGGGGGAATTGACAGGCTGCTCAAAGAAAAACCCACTGAGTAATAGTCCTTAAAGCAAGTGGCAACAGCCAAAGTAAGCAAAAACAAGGTATTGTTCTGTTGTATTGGCTCAGCGCTGCCACTACAGACCATTTGTTCTACCTGTAATGCAGTGGCTTCATTTAAAAAAACTTGGTTCTTTACTCCTTGACTTCAGAGACTTCTTTTTGTACTGAAAGCAATTCCTAAACAAGCTTCAATATATTATTTTACTCAGTAATCCCTGTTTTACATTTGATATATATGTTTTCTTTTCTTTTTCCCCCCAGGAAAGCGATAGTCAAGCTATGTCTACCAACTTAAAATACCTTTCCTTGGGGATTTTGGTCTTCCAGACAACTAGCTTGGTTTTGACTATGCGGTATTCAAGGACACTGAAAGAAGAAGGACCTCGTTATCTATCTTCGACTGCAGTGGTTATTGCTGAGCTTTTGAAGATCACAGCCTGTATTTTGTTGGTTTACAAAGACAGCAGTAGGTGTCTGCTATTTGTTTGTTGGTTTATTATGAGGGGGTTAATACTTTTTTCGATACAAGGTGGGACCTTTAGCAAAATATTGCATTGTATCCTCCCTCCTAAATGAAATGTTCCTGTTCAGTGTTGCAGGGACTCATCTCCCTAAAAAAGAAAATTCCACTCCTCTTCCCACACCTACCTGTCTTTTGTTTCCCCCAACTGTACTCCACAACTACTGAGCATGCTCAGACCTCATTGGGCTGTTTTTTTTTTGGGGGGGGGAGCAGTTTGGCCTCTTAATCTTTTTTGTGCATGTATAAAAAAAATAAAAAATTCCACGTCTTGTAAACCTCAGGCTTTCCCATCCACAGTTATAATCTTCTTCTTGTTTCTTGGTGGTCCCGTTTTTGCTACAATTCTGTTGCCACTCACCACCTGAATTAACTACAGTATTAGAAATGTATGGAATTGTATTTTGGACACAGCAACAACTTCTTCATTTTGCTGCCAGTGTTCCTAGTGCTGAAGAGACGAGTTAGATGTCTTCATCAGCAGGAACTAGATATTGCTATATCTTAATTGGGACAAACCATTGTCAGCTTTGCACAGTTATGCAATGAAGACGCCGCAGAAAACCCATTGCTGTAAATGGACATTAACTACATAGCTATGCAAATTTTTGCTTAGGAATGCCATGTTTAAAAGCAAAGCTCTAAAAGTTTTTAGCAAAAAAAGCTCGTTATAATTAATAGGCCACACTAATCTGTTTTTAAACTTACAAAGAATTTATTATCCTCTCTTTTTGCATAGAGTGCAATTTACGATCTCTGAACAGAGTGTTGCATGATGAAATCCTTAATAAGCCTATGGAGACACTTAAACTGGCTATTCCTTCTGGGATTTACACACTACAGAATAATCTCCTGTATGTTGCCTTGTCAAACCTAGATGCAGCCACTTACCAGGTATGGTATGCTTTTGAGGAGTTTGCTGTTGTTTGTTTGTTTGTTTTTAAAATTGCACACAAATAATGAGTCATTAATCAAAAGTCATCTTGATTTGGTCTTTTCAGGTCACGTATCAGCTGAAAATTCTTACCACTGCGTTATTTTCTGTGTCCATGCTCAGTAAGAAATTAGGTGTGTATCAATGGCTTTCATTAGTGATTTTGATGGCTGGAGTTGCATTTGTACAGGTAAATATTAACATAAACATACTCCTGAATATTAAAAGTGTAGATCTTATTTGCTTTACTACTTAATACCTGGGGTAGTATCCAGTGATTTTTTTAAAAAAAATGTTTAGGGGTACTCTCATTATCCTACTCATATTAAAATACTGCTCCTCAATGAGGCCGAACTTAGATTCACAAAATGTTTAGGGGTATGTGTACCCCTGCATCTCCCCAGAAAAAAAGCACTGGTAGTATCCAATGAAGGACTTTTGGCTGCACAGTGGAACATCCCTTCCTTCTCTCCCTCTGTGCCCCCTAAATCTGTTCTGGGAGGATTTTTTTTTATTGATATGTATAAATGAGAGAATAGGGGTGGAATCCATATTAAATGTTGATTCCCAGATCAGTTTATCCCTTGACTTCAGATGCTGTCAGCTGAGAAATGAGACAATACAGAGTACAGTGGTACCTTGGGTTAAGAACTTAATTCATTCTGGAGGTCTGTTCTTAACCTGAAACTGTTCTTAACCTGAAGCACTGCTTTAGCTAATGGGGCCTCCCGCTGCTACAGCGCTGCCACCACGCGATTTCTGTCCTCATCCTGAAGCAAAGTTCTTAACCCGAGGTACTATTTCTGGGTTAGCGGAGTCTGTAACCTGAAGCGTCTGTAACCCGAGGTACCACTGTACAAGACACAAAATCATAGCCCCAGTAAAATATCAAAGAAGATCCAAGAGACTTTAAAACATTTAAATATTTGGGCACTTGCTTGGTAATAAATGTATTGGTGCCTTCTAGGAACATGTTCAGAAGGGTGTTTTAAGATTGGCCAGGAAGGAGTCTCATAATAAGATATATTGTGTGTTCTCTATTCTGCTGATAAAAACTGTTGTAAAAGAACACATGAAGGATAGTTTTGACATGTTGCCTACGGACTGAGCCCCACTAATAATGGTGTTTCTTTCCGGGATCATGCACATTTGCACAGTCTTCCTAAGCCAACGTTTGGCTTGGCATGTTGTGTGAAGCAGATCAATAGGTGCAACAGAACCTCGGGATCCATTTCATGTGTTTGAACTTGGTTGCAATGAAGTTGGGCAAACTCTTTTCTTTGTGTTCGTGTCAAAAAATCCATAATTGGATAGTAAAGGCAAAGGGACCCCTGACCATTAAGTCCAGTCGTGACCGACTCTGGGGTTGCGGCGCTCATCTCGCTTTATTGGCCGAGGGAGCCGGCGTACAGCTTCCAGGGCATGTGGCCAGCATGACTAAGCCGCTTCTGGCAAACCAGAGCAGTGCACGGAAACGCCGTTTACCTTCCCGCTGGAGCAGTACCTACTTGCACTTTGACGTGCTTTCGAACTGCTAGGTTGGCAGGAGCTGGGACCGAGCAACGGGAGCTCACCCCGTCGCGGGATTCGAACCGCCGACCTTCTGATCGGCAAGTCCTAGGCTCTGGGGTTTAACCCACAGCGTCCCCCGCACCCCCCATAATTGGATATTAATTGGCAAAAGAGGAATAAAGAAATAGAACACAATTGCAATCAGTTCTTTTGTCAATAAACGTCCCTCCCTGGATCTCTGCTTGTGATTCATTCATCAAATATACCTTAAGGGTGCACTGAACTCCTGATTAATTGAACATTGATAAGCAGATGGTGATGCTGCAGAGCAACATGGGCCAAATGTTCACAACTCTTTTGGGCACTGTTTAATAATCTTGTTATTTTGGAAGGAAGTAGCAGAATAAATACTGCCCTAAACATATTTCACATGTTCAATTTATGCATGCTGTTCTGGGATATGATCCCGAGATATAGGCCATGTCACCACTAAATGTACCTAGCTCTTTAGGGGCACCACTTACAAAACATAGAATTCAGTGCTCCCAGTGTTCAACATCTCTTGAAGGACTTGCTGGATTAGTTGTTTTATTATTATTATTAGTAGTAGTAGTAGTAGTCGTAGTAGTAGTAGTAGTAGTAGTAGTAGTAGTAGTATTCCCTGCACATCTGGCTGGGGTTCCTCAGCAACTCTGGGCGGCTTACAGCATATATAAAACATAGTAAAACATCAAACATTAAAAACATCCCAATACAGGACTGGCTTCAGATATCTTCTAAAATTTGTGTAGTTTTTTTATCTCCTTGACATCTGAAGGGAGGGCATTCCACAGGGAGGGCGCCACTACTGAGAAGGCCCTCTGCCTGGTTAGATAACACAAAAACAGCATTTAATAAAATAGTAAACCTGAGAAACCCCCCAAATGCTTCAGAAGACTGGGTTAAGAACTAGATGTTTTTATTAGCATGCATTACAGCACAATTCTGTTTGTGTTTGTTTGGAAACATGGCTCTCTGTATTCAGTAAGGCTTAGTCTCAGGTAAACATGCTTAACCTTGCAAATGTGCAGCCCAGTCCAAAGCATGTTTTCTCGGAAGTCACAATTAAGTGTCCACAGGGTTGCAACCTTGAGCTACCAGCACATGCAAACTTATATGAGAGTTTGTCTCATTGAGATACGTAGGACTGGCTTCTGCATAAACATCAGGGCAGCCTGAATATGTTTAGAGCCACAAACCTAAAAGTTGCCCAAACAAAATGGTGGGCATTAATTTGGGCGGAAATATTTATATTTTTTAAATGTGAAGGACTATGCCTAGGCATGGAACGCGGGTGGTGCTGTGGGTTAAACCACAGAGCCTAGGACTTGCCGATCAGAAGGTCAGCGGTTCGAATCCCCGCAATAGGGTGAGCTTCTGTTGTTTGGTCCCTGCTCCTGCCAACCTAGCAGTTCGAAAGCACGTCAAAGTGCAAGTAGATAAATAGGTACCACTCTGGCGGGAAGGTAAACGGCGTTTCTGGGCGCTGCTCTGGTTCGCCAGAAGTGGCTTAATCATGCTGGCCACATGACCCGGAAGTTGTACGCCGGCTCCCTCGGCCAATAAAGCGAGATGAGCGCCGCAACCCCAGAGTCGGTCATGACTCGACCTAATGGTCAGGGGTCCCTTTACCTTTACGCCTAGGCATGCAACTTTTAAAGGGAATTTTTAAAAACCCAATTCTATTGTCAGTACAGTTTGATTCACTGCAAACTTGGAATGCCATCAATAGCTGCTTATGGGTATAAAGATGTGAATAAGGACTAAACAAGAGCTGGATCAGAAATGTTTCTGGTATTTCATTGCCTCTTTTCGTTTCCTGTCAGCAAGAACAAAGCACAAACTTCTGCGCTATGTTAAATTATATTTGGCAACTTGCGGTACGATTTTAATATACATGTTTTATTTTGCTTGTTTCCTTTAGTGGCCATCAGATTCACAAGAAGCAGCCACTAAAGAACTCTCAGCAGGATCACAGTTTGTGGGCCTGATGGCAGTACTTATAGCCTGCTTTTCAAGCGGATTTGCTGGAGTGTATTTTGAGAAAATCTTGAAAGAAACAAAACAGTCAGTATGGATCAGGAACATTCAGCTGGGTGAGTCTTGTCTCGAGAAAAAGACAGAACGGAGATTCAGATTTCCAGCAGAATCTAATCAGAGTACCTCAACATGCTTTTGTGTAATTAAATTGTTACAGAAGCATATGCCAAATTTGCCATTAACTTGCTAACAGGAACTCTAAACGCTGCATCCTGTTCGGAATACAATTGTTGTTCATTTAACGTCTGAGTCAGCTTGTTTTGTTTGATTTGATATCATCTAATGGGTGCTAAATACAGTGGCTGAGATCCAAACCACAGTGCAACTAAAATTCTCTTTTAGGGGATTTTTTAATGCTTTGTCATTTTCCACGAGGGTTCTCTGTTTAAAGATTAAAAAGTCAAACACTCTGTCTGAAGTGTCGCAAGTTCACGGGCAAACCTAAGATAAGTCTTTGGATCCTGGCTCATGTATTGTACTAGAACTAGATTAAATTTTGACTGCATGTTTCGAATTTAAAGCATAATCTTAATGTGGCAGTTAGTTATGCCTTTATTTTAAAAATAAACTGGGAATATCATGTATCCTGCAAACATTTTCTTGATGAATACTTAAATCCCTCCCCCCATGTCTGTAATAGAATTGTGTAATAAAAACACACATGAATTCCTTCTGTTTAAAACAAAATATATCATTTCTCAACAACTGATTACAGGATTATGGACTGCCATTTTAAAAATATGATTGCATGTATATTTGTAGAGATATATTATGAACCTGTAGAAAAGCTCCTCTCCAGTTCATAGGTTAGATCTGAATTGACTGTACAATTGTGCTATGAGACCTCATGTTAGCAGTTGAATCCATCCTTATTAATTTTGCTAATTGCCTTTCTCCTAAATGCACTCAAGGCAGCATTGAAAAATCCAGTATTGGTTACACAGTAAAATAACTATAACAGTAAAATGTAACTGCAATTTTTTTTAAAGCACAGGAAAACAGAAATGCATTTACAGTATGATTGCATTTTGCAAGGGGGTTTGGTTCCAAGGGTTCAGCAGACACAGAAAAATGCATATATATTCAAATTCTTGGAACTGTCCCCACACGAGCATCCTGGGCATTCTGGAGCCCATGCACTGAGAAAGACAGAGAATTTTAAAGCAGATCTTAAAAAGTGGGGAGGCCCATATTTTTATTCTGTTTATTTATTTTAAACTGTTTACGCCAGCTTTCTTCACAAGCAACAATTGGCGCACCGCTTTCCTGTAACAAATCCTCCCAAAGCAGCTAATAATAATAATAATAATAATAATAATAATAATAATACCCTGCCCATCTCGCTGGGGTTCTCCAACCACTCTGGGCAGCTTCCAACAAAGATTAAAAATACATTAAAACATCAGTCATTAAAAACTTCCCTGAACAGGGCTGCCTTCGGATGTCTTCTAAACGTCAGATAGTTGTTTATCTCTTTGACATCTGATGGGAGGGCGTTCCACAGGGCGGGTGCCACTACCAAGAAGGCCCTCTGCCTGGTTCCCTGTAACTTCACTTCTCGCAGTGAGGGAACTGCTAGAAGGCCCTCAGCGCTGGACCTCAGTGTCCAGGCAGAATGATGGGGGTGGAGAACTCCTTCAGGTATATAAAACAGAAAAGCAATGAGCAATGAAACAGTTTGTAGCTAATAAAAATGCAAAAACGTAGGCTCAAAATGAAGAACTCGTAGCTTCAGAGCAAAATAGCCTTTTCAAAAGGGGAAACTTTTAAAAGCAACAGACTCACAAACTAAAAGCTTGCTTTAATAAATACATTTTCAAATCTAAGGGGAAAGACATTCCTTTTGACAGATATGCTGTGAGCATGTTGTTTAGGGCTTTAAATATCATAATATCCTGCTCCGGGTGGGTGCCAGTTTCAACTGTCACGGGCTGAATACCATGCCCAGGGTGGCGAGCAGTCATGTTCCAGCGGCCAGCTGGCATAAATTCCCTGGCAAGCCACACTGCAGGGCAGAACAGCCCACCAAGTCTAAAGCTCAAACTGCCCAATCATGGGCAATCAATAGGGTGACGCTTGGTTGGTGGACCTGGGCGAGGGAGTTCCCACTCTGGTCTGGCGGCTAAGGATAAAAAGATAAAAAAATCATAACAAAGGCCTTGAACAGGAGAGGCAGCCAGTTTACTTTTTACCTATGTCCAGCACCTGCCAGTAAATGGACAGAGCTTTATGCTAGTTGCAAGTATCAGGACATGATTCGGGATTCCCCATGAGGAGCACATTAATTAGCGCAGGAGGGGACCAACCTGCGTTTCTACATTCAGGTGAATTAAGAGAGTTTCTTCTTTTATTTTTGCCGTTCATTTCACTGTGCTTTAAAAAATCTGTCTCGTCTTTTAAAGGATTTTTTGGCAGCATATTTGGCTTGATGGGCGTCTACATTTATGATGGGGAACTTGTATCGAAGAATGGATTTTTTCAAGGTTACAACCAGCTCACCTGGATAGTCGTCATTCTGCAGGTAATGCATCCAGAATTACATTTTACACAAAAACCAGCAGAACTTATTCTCTTGCAGGATAAACACGTCAGTTTTCTGGGATAAGTACCGCTGCATCTTATTGAGGAGGGTCAATTATCTTTACAGTGGTACCTCGGGTTAAGTACTTAATTCGTTCCGGAGGTCCGTTCTTAACCTGAAACTGTTCTTAACCTGAAGCACCACTTTAGCTAATGGAGCCTCCTGCTGCCGCCGTGCCGCTGGAGCACGATTTCTGTTCTCATCCTGAAGCAAAGTTCTTAACCTGAAGCACTATTTCTGGGTTAGCAGGGTCTGTAACCTGAAGCGTATGTAACCTGAAGCATATGCAACCCGCGGTACCACTGTGTTCAGTTCAATTACTAATTTAAAATACTTTGACTTATTAAACAGCCCCCCCCCCCATAATCAGACATTATTTTTCCTAAACTGAAATATACGTATGTTGGCAAATTCCACCACCAAATCAAACTTCTAACACAAAGCATAATGTCTCTTCAAGACGGTGCCTTTTGTGACATGTGCAGGTGTCATTTTATAAGAGTTTCGTTTTTTACTTCAGATTATTCATATGCAGATTTATGCAGATTTAATTGACAAAACCCCAATTAATCAACTAACTTTTCTTCATTCAGTTGACAGTCCTATTATTAATGTAATATAATTTTGAACTTCCTCACCCTACATTATGGGTAAGCAAACTAAGGCCCGGGGGCCGGATGCGGCCCAATCACCTTCTAAATCCGGCCTGTGGACCAACGTGTTTTTACATGAGCATAATGTTTGCTTTTATTTAAAATGCATCTCTGGGTTATTTGTGGAGCATAGGAATTTGTCCTTCTCCCCCAAAATATAGTCCGGCCCCCTACAAGGTCTGAGGGACAGTGGACTGGCCCCCAGCTAAAAAAGTTTGCTGACCCCTGCCTTACATGTTAGTGTTAACAAATACCTATTTATTGCAATACTTACAAAAGCCCTAGGGGAGGTGCCGTCTTTGAAAAGACAGTCTTCCATTTTCTTTGCATAGTAAGGAAGGCCTCTCCTTAGAAGTTTTCAAATATGATGACAACTTACTTTTCAATGTTTTGTCAGGCACTTGGAGGCCTTGTTATAGCTGCTGTTATAAAATATGCAGACAACATTTTAAAAGGATTTGCAACATCTTTGTCTATTATACTGTCAACATTAATCTCATACTTCTGGCTGCAAGATTTTGTCCCTACAAGGTAAGAGTACGTTATATAAATAACTTGAAATTTGTGTCTCAACTGATTTTAAGTAAATTTAACTGCTTAGGTTAGTATGCACTCTAAATACATTGCAATAGGATGCAGCCTTTGTACTTTATCGTGGAGAATGGTGATTGTCATGCGGATTACAAAATATAGATTCTAGTCGGAGTCTATCAAAGGTTATTAAATGCACATTTATGGTCACTTATGTCACTATTTCAGGACCTTTTCACATGCTTCTTTCTGACCGACTCAGTTTTTACGCCTGAATTGCACTGATTTACTTCATTAAACTGACTACACTGTTCTTAGTGTTAAGCTAGACATAAACTGTGCAGTTCTTGGGTAGCCTGGTGATGCACATTTTTAAAAAGTTAAGACCAAATTGCTGGGGACATGAGTCTTATCATGACCACAGCCTTCAGGGAGAGGAGATATAACCCTTCTCTCCCCAGCAACATGATGAACCCCCTGCTCCTGCAAATGTCGCAACTCATTTCCCTCCATGTTACGATTCCAATAAAAATTGCTCCCCCAGTTTATTATTAATTAATTTTTTTGAAAAAGAAAAACTCCAAGCATGGCTGTTAACCATGCAACTGAAATAACTTTTAATTTGGCCATTAATTTCAGTGGGTTTATTCTGAGCCAAACATACTACTTTTCGTTTCCACTAAGATCAACATATGCAAAGAGTAAAGGTCACAGTGTTTTACTTTTCAGGGAAGGAAATACGAAATTACGGCATTTTAGACTACTTCCATATTAATCTGGACTCAAATATTTTTCAGGGTGATTCTTTGAAATAGGTGGCATATATCTTTATGTAAAACCATATTATGAATTTGTGTCCCCCCCCCCAAAAAAAACCCCTTCTTTGTGAGTTTCATTGAATACAGAGGAACTTGATTACAAGTACATATGGTTCAGATAGCAACTGTAAGACATTTAAAAGAGTTCTACCTCTTTCCCCCTCAAAAAAATAATAATCTCTGTATCTGCTGATCCTAATTTTGTTTAGTGTTTAAATCTGAGGTGCTATCTGCAAGATCTACAATAACTAAAGTTACAGTTCAACCAGAAGCCCATTATTAATAGCTCAAACATTAACTCAGATAAGGAAAATGATCAAATTCAGTATGCCAGAGTGCAAAACATCTAGCTGAGTCGGCTTTGGTTTGCTACTAATTTTCACTGGTATAACATTCAAGTAACACAGTCATACCTTGGTTCTCGAACAGAATGCGTTCCAGGAGTCCGTTCGACTCCCAGAACTGTTCAAAAACCCAGATGCGGCTTCTGATTGGCTGCAGGAGCATCCTGCAGCCAATCGGAAGCTGTGGAAGGCACACTGGACGTTCGGCTTCTGAAAATGGTTCGAAAACCGGAACACTCCTGGTTTTTGATTGTTCGGGAGTTCCAAGGTGTTTGGCAACCAAGGTAGGACTGTATATATTTTTGAAACCAATATTCACCATCTGTTGTTGGACTAATGTTGGGCATCCTGAGTTCTAATTCAGTACATACTCAGGTACAGTGGTACCTCGGGTTAAGAACTTAATTCATTTTGGAGGTCCATTCTTAACCTGAAACTCTTCTTAACCTGAAGCACCACTTTAGCAGCCTCCCGCTGCTGCCCCGCCGCTGCTGTGTGATTTCTGTTCTCATCCTGAAGCAAAGTTCTTAACCCGAGTTACTATTTCTGGGTTAGCGGAGTCTGTAACCTGAAGCGTCTGTAACCCGAGGTACCACTGTATCAGTATTTGCCTGGCAATTGTAATCAAACTGTAAACGAACTAAACAACTAAACAGTGGGGATTAGGTGTTTTTCAGAAGGTTTAATGGTGATTAGACACACAAATGGCATGCCCATTTAAAGCCCTCCAAAGCCTCACCCAGCAGGGTCAACATAGATTAGGCTTTTATTGATGGAGCTTGTTGCCCACCTATCTGCTCCAAGTTCCATGGTCCACCCACTTCTTGTGCAGATTCTTTTCCATTGCTGAGCTGTGCTAGTTCTGTTCATCAGATGTGAAACGCTCAATCTGATGTCATTCAGCGTGAGCAAGTCAGAGTCCTGTTTTTCCTGGTGGAAAAGCAGTTCCTTCAGCAAAAGTGTTTTTGTGAGAACCTCTAAGGATTGGGGATTTTTGCAAGCCCCAAATCAGTGACTTTGTCTGCTTGTATGACTATCACTGGCATGTCAGGATTTCTGTGTAGAGAACTGCTGTGGCAACCAAACTGCTGCACTATCCTTACAAGCATACAGTGGTACCTCGGGTTAAGTATTTAATTCGTTCCGGAGGTCCGTTCTTAACCTGAAACTGTTCTTAACCTGAAGCACCACTTTAGCTAATGGGGCCTCCCACTGCCGCCACGCTGCCGCAGCGCGATTTCTGTTCTCATCCTGAAGCAATGTTCTTAACCCGAGGTACTATTTCTGGGTTAGCGGAGTCTGTAACCTGAAGCGTATGTAACCTGAAGTGTATGTAACCCGAGGTACCACTGTACAATATTGGCTCCCGTTTATGATGGAGGAAGGAAGATTTTTGGCCTAAAGTTTCTTGCTGCTCAGCTGCAATTCATGTGCTGTAGCACAGCCTTCAGGTAAGAACAGGGGTGATCGACACGTTACACCATCAAGGACTGTAATAGAGATCATTGCATCAAAAGCATGTACTACTCTGTTCCTGAGCTACAACCCTGAGTGTAAGACAAGGGAAAGAGTACCCAGCTGTACTATCAATAGTGCCCTCCTTGTTCCCTGGCTCCCATTCTAAAGAAGAAATGATAGAACTTTTATTCATTCTACCAGATGGTGTAATGTGTCGATCGCCCCTGTTCTTACCTGAAGGCTGTGCTAGAGCACATGAAATTGCAGCTGAGCAGCAAGAAACTTTAGGCCCAAAATCTTCCTCCCTCCATCATAAACGGGAGCCAATATTGTATGCTTGTAAGGGTAGTGCAGCAGTTTGGTTGCCATAGCAGTTCTCTACACAGAAATCCTGACACACCAGTGATAGTCATACAAGCAGACGAAGTCACTGATTCAGGGCTTGCAAGAATCCCCAGATTGAACTTTTCAGGTAGGATTCGGAAAAACCATTGATACCATTTATAAAACCCTTCTACTGCCAGTCATTGATTGAGCTGGACGAGCCAACAGTTTGATTTTCCATTGAGCAGCTTCTTATGTTCCCATGTTGAACATAAGTTGATTAGAATCTTTCCTTTCGTTATTTGCATACTTTAAGAGAGAATATTAAAACACCAGCAGTGAGTTCAGTCAGAAAGGGAAGAAAATATTTAACTCCAATAGAAATATCGTAGAGCAGGTACATAGTGCCTGAATTTTGAAAGCCCAATCTTTTGATAGCCACAATTTTTTATACCCTGAATTTTGATACCTACGATTTCAGCCGTTTTGAACCCTGCAGCCTACATATTGGACTTCTCAGTCTACGCCATTGTCTTCCATGCCTGTGGAAGTGTCCAAAGCAAAACAATGGCTTTTTTGTCCAATTCCCTCTCAGACAACATCATGAGACTTTAACAGTAACCATTTGCAAGCTGGGAAGTTCTGTCCTGTTGCCGTGCAAAAGTCTCATATTTGCTCACGGCATCTATTTAATAAGGTGCTATTCTATCACTTTTATTTTATTGTTCCAGTTCCTTTGCAGATCTCTGTAGGTGTCCTGGTGTTTTGTTATATGACCAGGTTAAGAGAAAAGCCCGAAATGTGCTTGTAAGAAGAATGGGGAAATGGGGAAAGCAAAACTAACGAACATTTTGGTCATGAAATAAATACATTGAAGTAAATGATATCCAGTTTATGAATGTATATGGTCTTAAGTCTCTCCCCCCCCCCTCCTTTTTCACTTTCAGTGTTTTTTTCCTTGGAGCTGTTCTTGTAATAGCTGCTACATTCCTATACGGTTATGATCCAAAGCCTGCGGGGAATCCTATTAAAGCATAGCAGAATCTTCAGTGCCAGCCCTTTTTTTTGCAAAAACTGTGCACTAAGGACCTCAAAATAATTATATGGAGGACCACCAAGCACTGGAAAGGAAGAGTTTACATGGTATCTGAAGAATGACAACATATTAAAATAATGGTTTATGGGAGACCAAACTACAGAAAGACAGAAAACAGTATGTACCTCTGGAAACGAAGGAAGTCCTAGAACAAAACTTGAAGGGAACACGTTGCATTTATTACCTACAATTAGAAATGCTTCCTGCTTGAACTCTGAGGTTAAATCAGAATTATTTACTGTATTTGACAGCTGCAGAAATGCCCTATGCACTCTTCTTGCAAGAGCACATGACATTTGTTGAATCATACTTTTTTCCTTTTTTTTTTTTTTGCAAATTGACTGTTTCATCTTAGTATGTTTTTTTTTTAAACTTGCTGTATATTTGTAATGATCAAATCAAAGTGAAATAAGACTTGGTGCAACCATGGCGTTTCTGATTTGGCGTTCCAATTTAAACCCCTGCAAAGTAGGATTGAATCGTTCTCATTTCAGACATTTTAAATATTTTATATAGAAAGCTGAACAAGTAAACAGAAATTGGTGTTGGGAAACATATCTATACACATTTCTTATGGTCACGAGAAACCTTTTTGATAAGATTCCCAGAGAGGAAGAATCCGAATCTACAAATAAAAATGATTAATCAGAAGTGTTGTAGGGATCAGGTCACAACGTACGCTGCTGCAGTACTACCATTGAGTCTGACCAAAGGCTTCGTAAAAACAAATCGAAGAGGCATAGCCACTGTGCTTTTATTCAACAAAAGGCTATGATAGAGTGCCAGAGTTGGCACCAGATATGTGTGTGTTCAAAGAGCAAATCCTTTTTATATAAATATATAAAAGCAAAAAAAATCTTGTAATTACCTTACAGTGCATTTCATTGCTTCAAAATTTAATCTGAAAATATTTTAAACTGTATTTTTAAAATTAGTCATGGAAATGTTTAAAGGTATTATCGTTCCTTTTGGAGCCATGGTGATATATCATGTGAATATACTGTATTATATTACAGAGCTTTAAAAAAACACACACACACATGTAAGAATTATGTAACGGAGAGTGGTTTTTGTCCAGTCTTGTGAAGAATACATGCTAACTGTATTAATATTGATAACATTATTGTGCAATGAGTATAGGGCATCATTTCTCCTGGTACAAGGGATTGCCAAAGAACCTTCTTTCCTTCATCCTGGAATGGCTGGGCAAACCTTCCTGGAACACTTGTTACGGCTTAATATTGTGGGCAAATCTGATGTTAAACTGCTTACGGTAACATATCAAAAGGAAGGAAATGTCTACAAAACACCCCACTTACACATCTGTGTAACAACCATGGTTCTTGCCTTCTGCCCCAACATGTTTCTAGTGATAATAATAATAATAATAATAATAATAATAATAATAATAATTTATTATTTATACCCCACCCATCTGGCTGGGTTTTCCTAGCCACTCTGGGTGGCTTCCAACAAAAGATTAAAAATACATTAAAACATCAGTCATTAAAAACTTCCCTAAACAGGGCTGCCTTCAGATGTCTTCTAAACATCAGATAGTTGTTTATTTCTTTGACATCTGATGGGAGGGCGTTCCACAGATGTTAAAGAAATAAATGTCAAAGAAATAAATAGATGTTTCTGTGATGCTGCTAGGAGTCTCAGAGCACTCTTGTGATTCTCACAGCTACAGTGGGTTTTTTGTGGGGAGCTATGAGTTACATTAATTTAATGTTACTTTGCTCCAGAATTAGTCTATTAAAATATTTCAGAGCATAATCCCATGCATTTCTGCTCAGGTGCAAGTTCCCATTACATTCAGTGGAACTTTCTCCCAGGTAAGTGTGTATGGGATTGAAATCTCAAGTCCGTTAAGTCAAACCTAATCAAAGTGTCAGGTTAGTGCACAGCTTTCTTTCTTTTTTACGGCAAAGAATTGATTTACAAACGGTGCATAAATGATCGCTTTTCTGCAGCGTTTCCACTGGTAACAGTACAAAGTGAAAGTAATTTATATTCCAAACATTGGCATTAGCAAAGAAATAAAGTGTTTATGAAAACAAAGGAGCTTTTATTTGTATTTTTTCAAAATTGTAATGGTGATTTGACCAACCGTATTTAACAAAAAATGCTATATCGTTTTGACTATCAACTGATGTATCCCCCCCCCCATTTGTTTACCAATCTTGAACCTCATGTATAAGTCATTGCTGTTTTAGTGTTACAAGGAGAAAATGGGAAAGTTTATCAGACTGTTGTGATACTGGCTGAAACTTCTCTCGAGAGTATGTTATGTTGTATTGTGATCATGATTTCAGGCAGCGGAACCATGCATGTTTTGAAGAAATTCTACCCATTTGTGCAAGAAATCCAGTGCACATATTGTTGGATCTGTTACACAGAGGAGGTAGGTGTCATGCTAACAGATAAATCATGGGTAGGCAAACTAAGGCCCGGGGGCCGGATCTGGCCCAATTGCCTTCTCAATCCGGCCCGCAGACGGTCCAGGAATCAGCGTGTTTTTACATGAGTAGAATGTGTCCTTTTATTTAAAGTGCATCTCTGGGTTATTTGTGGGGCATAGGAATTTGTCCATTTCCCCCTTCAAAATATAGTCTGGCCCCCCACAAGGTCTGCGGGACAGTGGACTGGCCCCCTGCTGAATAAGTTTGCTGACCCCTGAGATAAATGCTTTCTGAACATGTCTTCTTATAAGCACAAATCTAGGGCAGAGGAGAATCGGTGTTTGGGGGTGGAGAGGATGCCTAACCCTTTCTACATCTTATCTCACAATGCAAAAGCTGCTCTCTCCCAGTGCCATTTCCTCACATCCTAACTTCTTCCAACATCATAACCTGACGGGTTGGGATGGGGAGAGAATAGCTTCAAACCTTAAAAAACTAGAAACAAATGAGAAGCCATGAAAGTCTTGCAGTGTTCCCATTTCCTGTACCATGAGCAATTTTCTAACAGTCCATGTTAAGTTGTGGGTGAACATATCAGACGACACAGCGATTCTTCAAACAGCTCTTGTTTATTCACAGGCCAGGACAGAACTGAACTGAAGGGCTCAGTCAGCCTGCTTATATAGAGCTCCAGTACAATGTAACTGTAACAATTTTCTAAAACTATCCAATCACTGAACGTCACTTTCGATCCCTTATTTGCATAACTACAGTATCCCCCTGCTGGCCCAGGGTGAGAACTTCAGTACATAACAGTCCATATGTTATTCGGCCCTGCACCAAAGGCTTTTTTTATTAATTATAACCCTGCCCTTCACCAAATACTCCCAAGGTGGGTGGATGTTGTTGCCATCATCACTAATGTTTAAATTGCCTTCTACACCATCATCTCAAGGCGAGGTACAGTACAAACTGCAAACCTTTGAACACCAAAAGTTTTGTTTGAAAGCAAAACTAAAACAACACAAAATAGACGCATTTATCTAGCTGAGAGAGAAGGCTGTTGGAACAAAAATGTCTTCTGCTGTTTCTGGAAAATGCAGAGAGTGGGTTTCTGTTGTCTCTTGACAGGAACGCTGTTCCACAGAGCAGGGATATCCATATTGAAATTGTGCAGAATGCAATACTAAAACCAACAAATACAAAAAATAAACAGCTGGAAAGTACCAAATACAAATGGTCATATGATAAAAACAACCAAACGTTGCATTCAGACTGGAATTCCATACCTGCTTTCCTGGGAACAGGAAACGCCATAGAATGTACTTCTGAGTAGACTTTATAGGATTGCACTGCAAGATTTTAGAACTAGAAAGAACTATAAACACAACTAACATTTTTTTAAAAAAAACAACAACTGGCCATTGTGAAGAAAATTAATTATTGAATTTTAATCATCTCTCATGTTGGTGCAAGAGAGCTCAGGTTGGAAGCCGATGTTTTTCCTTAAATTCTATTTTGTTGTTGTTTAGTCATTTAGTCGTGTCCGACTCTTCGTGACCCCATGGACCAGAGCACGCCAGGCACTCCTGTCTTCCACTGCCTCCCGCAGTTTGGTCAAACTCACGCTGGTAGCTTCGAGAACACTGTCCAACCATCTCGTCCTCTGTCGTCCCCTTCTCCTTGTGCCCTCCATCTTTCCCAACATCATGGTCTTTTCCAGGGAGTCTTCTCTTCTCATGAGGTGGCCAAAGTATTGGAGCCTCAGCTTCAGGATCTGTCCTATTTTATGTTTTGCTTATTACAATGCTGCACTTGGAATTCATTCGTTTTTCCTCCCATGCTTGTTTGGATAAAACTCCTAAGGAATTTGAGCTATCCCTGAATTCAGCATGGGCATGGAACAGAGTTACAGTAGACATGAATTTCCCAGTACTATTAGGATTCTCTTTAGTTCTTTGGGGGCTCTTGAATTGGACATTCTCAGAGACATATTCATTCAGTTGAAATGGTAGCTGGTTGATAACTGGATAAGTTTATTTATCAAGGGGGTGGGTTCCTATTGCCCCTGCCCCAAACACAGTATTTCTCAGGAGACATTATACTAGTCTTGATCATTTTGGCTATCTCATCTTGAAAATCCCTTTCTGTTGGGTGAACAGAGTGCTTGTTTATTTAGCAACCCTAATTCAGAGGATTAGCAAATCACTTTATATATAAAAAATCAATACAGCATATTTTAATCATTTTGACAGTATCCGCACCCCTCCCCCCGAAGCCCTAGGATGAAATTGGGCCTGTGATTAACTGAAATGCAGGACTCAACGTAATAGTTTGAGATTAAGCCGTTATCATTTTTAATTACTTGAATGTGCTTCGCTTACCTGGGAGAAAGATCCATTGAACCCAATAGGATTAATTTCTGAGGAGACAAGGATTGCTCTGTGATAGGATATCTGAATCCTGTAATCTGAGGAAATAATTGGTACTACGGTGTTGAACAACCTCTGTAAGTAAGAATAAAAGTTTGGAAATACTAAAATTGGCTGATGGAGGTGGGGAGAAGAATGACCTTAAAGGGCAATGTTAACAGTTCAGTGTCCACTGAATGCTGTTTAGCTGTTCCAATTGTCTTCACAGCAACCTTGCAAATACCTTTCTCACTATTAAATTCCATTTTACAGATGGGGAAAGTTTTGCCTAAAGTCACACTGTGCCATCCTGACTGGCAAGTGAACTGAACCTGGATCCCAGAACAAAATAGAAAAGAGCTATCCCACCGCCCCAAAAAGCGCTGATTAAAACTAGTTAAATATCTGAAGCAGGCTCTCAGAGAACAATGCAGTGACTACTTCACATTTTTAAAATGGCACAATCGGATTCATTTTTAAAATGGAACAATCGGATTCATTCCATACATTGCTACCCTGCTCTGTATCCCAAAGTTTCCAGAGTAGCTCACCAATCAAGAAGAAATTAAAACCTAAAAAAGTCCTCTAATGCAGCAAGTAATTAAAAACCAATACACTTTTCTAATCGCAGACGTAACGGCTGCAATCTTCCATGAGTCCACACTTTACAGATTAATTGAAACTCTTAGAAAAGTTATTGAAAAATTTGATGCTCCTACTGAGGAGTGTTGCTTGCCCTTATTATTACCCTTTCACAGACATTCTTGGAGAAGCATGCGGTGAAGAAGAGGGGAAATAGCAAACATATCACTGGCTGAGTAACAATGGATCCTCAGACAGGGGACGTGGGTGGCACTGTGATCTAAACTCCTGAGCCTCTTGGGTTTGCTGATTGGAAGGTCTGCGTTCGAATCCCCGCAACGGGGTGAGCTCCCGTTGCTCTATCCCAGCTTCTGCCAACCTAGCAGTTCGAAAGCATGCCAGTGCAAGTAGATAAATAGGTACCGCTGCGGCAGGAAGGTAAACAGTGTTTCCGTGCGCTCTGGCACTCGTTACAGTCCTCTGTGCACCGGTAGCGGTTTAGTCAAGGGGCCACATGACTCGGAAAACTGTGGACAAACACCGGCTCCCTCGGCCTGAAAGCGAGATGAGTGCCGCAACCCCATAGTCACCTTTGACTGGACTTAACCGTCCGGGGTCCTTTACCTATATCATACGTTACAGTTAGGGGAGCTGATTTATGCTGTAACATTTAAAAGCTTGCCACCACATGGTGGGAGCTAACTAAACCATTCTTGCATAGCTGGGACAGCAGCAATAATAATGAGCTAAGGAACTTGGGTGGCGCTAGGGATGCGGGTGGCGCTAGGGACGCGGGTGGCGCTGTGGGTAAAACCTCAGCGCCTAGGACTTGCCGATCACATGGTCGGCGGTTCGAATCCCCGCGGCGGGGTGCGCTCCCGCCGTTCGGTCCCAGCGCCTGCCAACCTAGCAGTTCAAAAGCACCTCCGGGTGCAAGTAGATAAATAGGGACCGCTTACCAGCGGGAAGGTAAATGGCGTTCCGTGTGCGGCTCTGGCTCGCCAGATGCAGCTTCGTCATGCTGGCCACGTGACCCGGAAGTGTCTGCGGACAGCGCTGGCTCCCGGCCTCTTGAGTGAGATGAGCGCACAACCCTAGAGTCTGGCAAGACTGGCCCGTACGGGCAGGGGTACCTTTACCTTTACTAAGGAACTTTTATAAAGGTCCCTCTCAAATGCCGGCATGCCTTTAAATGCTACAGCGGCACCATCTATAGGATAAACCTGCAGAAGAACAGCTCTCATGCCACTTCTGAAACACCCAGACTACCCAAGATGCCCTTGTTTGTAGTTTCTGCAGCCAAGAATTCACTAGTGTACAGTATTTGAAAGTAGTTTTGATATACTTAAATCAACCTTGCCAATGAATACCTATGTCACACCCACATTATTTATAATGAGTGCAAATTTATTTTGGAAGTGTGCATGCACGCAGTAGGAATATTTCACTGTTGTATCTGATCATCTTAGGAATATGTTTTCCATACATCTTAAACAAGCCAGAGCAATGGCTAGAGAAACAAAACAATAGCTACCTGCTGTTGATCTGAAGAATTATTCTGAGTAAGTTTAAACTTGGCATATGCAGCAGTAGCAAAAACGGGAGACAGCCAGGTTTCTTGGCTCATCGTTAAAGAGACCCACTTATGCAAAACTGAATTTGTTAA